CCCCAAAAAAAAAAAAAAAATAATAATAATAATAATTAAAAAAAAAACATCAAACTCTGGCTACGGCCCTGTATGTTGGTATGCCATAGTATACAGGAACCATGTTCAGACGTGGCTCCCAAGTCGGCGAAAGTTATCACTGCAGCAATATACATTCCATGAATATTTGACTTACACCATCCCGGATCGGCGTACAGGTCGGCGTAGCTAACACGACTATCGCTCAGACGGTCACTACGCCTACCTTTTAATACGCCGACCTTACTATACTAACGCCGACTAACTCCAAACACGACCTTTACGCCGACCTAAATTGCCATCGTGTGAACACGGCTATAGAAGCTAGACTTGATCCCATATTTTATACAGTTTAGTGAAGATGGGTTATCGTTGGAGCACTTCCATGCGTCATTTAAAGTATTTCACCATAAGTGAATCCCACAAGAATGTAACTCACTTGTATAAATTACTCAACACATGCAGATGCAATTTTATGAATAGTCGGATATGAATATTCGATATTACAGGAACACCAAATTAACCAGTTTCCCGTTTATCAGATATGGATATTGCCTTGATCATTGTGATTATCCCTTTAAAAATCTGACAACGGTCGTTTTTTTTTTGGGGGGGGGTAATAGACAGTGATACGTTTTTTTCATTTAGCACCTTTCTGAATGAAATTCCGATTGACTTTCTCTTTTGCACATCTAAACCACTTTTACGATTCTTTTTTCTTTTTTCGTTTGTTTGTTAGTTTGTTGTAGTTTTGCGGCAGCTTACAAAGGCATATCTAAACAAGTTTTTATGGGGACAATATTTGTTTAATTTAGTTCACATGTCAGCTAGACACAAAATACACATGTTCTAACTTTATTGTAAGATTGGAAAAATTGCTCGTCCAATCTTGCAAAATGTTATTTGACGATGTACTGATAGAATTACACTTCCTCTTGAACTATGTTATTTTAATACATGTTTGTTTGCGTGATCATTCAAGAAAGTCAATACTCTTGGTTTCAGGTTCACAGCTTAAGATAAGTTCAGTGGCGGCACAAGAACTTCAGAATGTGCGCGTGGTGGAGGAGGAAGTCTTGGGGCAGATATAGGAATCTTCCTTACTCTCATCTAAAACCTCATTTAGTGAGGAGGGGAATAAATCCCGTGATAATACGTAAAAGGAGAAACAAATGTTTCAAAAAATGAATATTTTCAAAACATCTCTCTTTTGATATTTGCACAAGAGCTGACAGGGGGAGTTGAGAGGGAATGCTCAGAATGTAGAAACTATATCCATGAATTAGCGATGTAATTAGAGACATGACATAATTAGCGACCAAGAGCCTACACGAGACCGACAAAATATAGAAATACATGAGAGAAGCTGCTTGTAAGTATCGGCTTGCATGGTAATGTAGATATACAGTAGGCTTGCGGGTGCACCATGTGAGGGAGAGGGATGATTGAGGAGTCCTGAAAAGGACTCTTGGTAATCTTTCTTGAGGGTGCGTAGTCCTGAAAAGGACTGTTGGTGTAGTCTTGAAAAAGACTGTTGGTTATCTTTCTTAGCTTATAGTTCTAAGGAGAACTATAGCGCTTGGAGAGGATGGGTGGCCGGAGTGGCTCGACGTTTCGAACAGGTTGACGATAGTCAACCTGCTCGAAACGTCGAGCCACATCCTCTCCAAGCGCTACAGTTCTCATTAGAACTATAAGCTAAGAAAGATAACCAACAGTCTTTTTCAAGACTACACCAACAGTCCTTTTCAGGACTACAAACCGATAGTCCTTTTCAGGACTCCTCAATCCTCCCTCTCTCTCTCTCACATGGTGCACCCGCAAGCCTTCTGTACACGAGAGAAGGTAAACAAAAAATGGGCGGCACTCGTTTGAGCGAAGGTTCATAACGCCCAAGGTTTTTAAAGACCGACACACCAATTTCCGATATAAGGCGCTTCATAATTCTAAAAATGAAAAAGGTTCGTTATTCCCGCGAAAGTTTGTATTTCCGTTAAATGATATATGGTTTCGTGGCAATTATGTAAATATGAACCCCATTTCATTTCTGAAACTATGATTATTATTCCATTACGGAAATGCGAACCTTTGGAATCATGAACCTTCGGATAAACGGCATGAAGGCCCTAACCGAAATGTGTCGGGATCGTAGGCCGTCGGTCTAGTAAATATTCAAAAAATGTCATAATTACAGCGTAAGAGGACGACATTGCCGGTCTCGTAGGCTGCTTAGTTTAGCTTAATAAAAAGCGAACCGAGTGTTAACCCTAAAAAGGCCGGGCTATTTGAGGTCTTAGTACGGCCGGGGGGTATTATGGCCCCCCCATTTCGCCGCGAAAATTTGCACGCATGTCAAGTGAAGTGTATAGAATAATATGATAATTTCAATTTTTTGAAAAATTCACTCATTTGCATATTTATGGTAATTTATGCAAATAAAGTCATAAAAATCACATTTTTACCCATAAATCATATATTATTCATATTTAAACACTCTTTTTCTCTACATATATCCATTAGACCATTCTAAATAATAATACGAAAAAAAATTGGAAGAGCCAGCTTATTCCTAATGTTATCCCTTGTTTTGATAATTTCTTATGTATTTCATTGTTTTTTTTAACTTATGTATTTCATTGTTTTTGTTGTTTAATTTCATTTCTTACTACAATTCAACTATTTTGACTCCCAAAACAACCACCTAAACTTTAAACAAGACCCAATAACCCATGTTTGATCTGTTTTTAGGAAAAATGACTTTTCCATATGTTTTGTACACAAATCACGAACATGAGCGATTTTCGGGCTGACATGCAAAGACAAAAGGTCACGTGACCTTGTAACCGTAGGTCCGATATTCAAAAAAATTCCTTTAAAAGTTGCGCAAGACTCTAAACAAAAAAGTCAGCGAGCGGCGGAGCGCCATCCATATGCGTTCCCGAGCAATCTGAAAAATCGTGGAGGGGGGGTCATAATGGCCCCCCCCCCGGCCTTTTAAACGAAAGCGACAATGTCGGTCTCGCGGGCTTTGTGACAGCTTTTTTAAAGAAGTTATATAATGTTTAACGTATCTATAAGAATTCCGGTAAATAATGAGAAACATATTAAAGACGTATCATCGTAACCGCACTTTAAAGAATTCACACATCAAACAATAAATATTGGCTCCGTCCCTTTTCATTTATCTTTGGGGCGTCTCCTCTGAATCCCGAAAATATAGACAAAAATATATACATATAAAAATGTGAGAATACAGTGACCTTGTTAACAATTGCAATCATACTAGCGAGAAGTTATTATGTTTGCCAAAGCATAATATTTTCTGTCAAAATATGAAATAGAAAACACTTTTTCATAGTTATGCTGTCATGTAGATCTTACTAATATATTTGTTTTCGTTATCATACTTCTATATTCTTCCTCTTTTCGGCTGAGATTGGTCTATTTTGTAGCCGCGTAGACCTGTTTACTTATGTACTTTGATTTATGCATGTTTCTCTTCCTAACCTCTAGTTACTAGCCACTCCATTCACACGTTGTGAATTATGACATCTCTATAGACGGAATCCACTTTGCATTCATAAATTAGTATTATATTTCACATGCCGTTGGAATTTAACCTTTTCATTTGTTTGACCTGCAAATGGGACATTGCACCTTAAAGGTGGTTGTCACCTTTTATAAATAAAAAATGCTTCTGCAACAACAAACTTATTGTGTGAAATCAGGAACTGTCATTGGCAATACTGATTGGGTTTTCCCAGATAGTTAAAAATAGAGGTACAGGTTTTTCCAAAGGTATAAATAGGGACTTTTAGATTTGCGTGGACTGATACGTGTGACGTCCATTCAAGGCAGTGCATTAAAAGGATGTCGATCGTAGCAACCCACATTGTCTTCGTGCAAATCTAAAAGTCCCTACTGAACCGACTCTACCTACTCGAATTGGCACTATTCTTTCTTGTCTTTTACTTTTGTATTCCTTTCAGGCAAATCGAAACGGGGGGAGGGGCACGTGCCCCTCCCCCCCCTACCCCCCCCCCCCCAAAAAAATCCAAGATCGGTTGAACTTTTTAGACCCTTCCCCAGGACGTCGATCAATTACATGTATGTCCCCCCCCCCCTCCCCCCAACATCAAATTCTGCCTCCGGCCCTTGGAAGGACGCGACATTTTCGAAAGCTTAACGACCGTGATGGGAAGATCTGCATAGCATCCCCAACCCCCGAATTAGACCGGTTTTCTATTTCAGTGTAAGATTTCGCATCCAAGCGACAACCCTCTTTTAATCATTATTTACTTTCATGCGAGATCCCTTAGAAAATAGAAGAGATCAATTTCCAGGGGGTCGGCCCCCTGAAGAATTTGGGTCCCCCAGGTAGCTCATGGTAAAGCACTCCACTAGCACATTGAGTGAGCCGTACGTAATCAGTGTCCATGACATTAATGACTAAGAATTATTCATTCGTCGATGAGAGGGATGCAGCTTATGGCTGGTAACCGAAGCTTATATTTTTTAAGGTCATATCTTACGTGCTAAAGAATATAGATTATTTATTGACAGGCTTCTAGCAGCAGTGATGTAATGAGCCAAAATTCTGAGGGGGCTTAGCCAGAGGGGACTGAAAGGACTGACATCAATCCGTTTGGTGAGGGGATTTGTGTGTTACACCCGCCCCTTCCCTGAAATAACATGACTATATTTCCTTGTTCAGTGTTTTTTAGGGGAGGGGGAATGCACACACACCCACACACCAGTGCCTAACAGGGTAGCAGGGTTTTTTTTCTCTATTTTTCTGATATAGCCAAGGAAGTATTAGCAAATAAATTCTTGTGTCCAAAAACAAATTGACATTGTTGTACCTTTGCACCTTATCTGTTAAATAATGCATTGTTTGTGACTTTTTATTCATGTGTCGAGTAACAACTACAAGAATAATCTAAACTGAAACTATAATAAATACAATGCATACTGAACTGATGATTCATTTCCCATTTATTGCTAGGATGGTATGCAAGGCAGTGCGAAGCAAAAGCTGCAATAGATAATAAAACCAGACATTCTTACGACAACCCCAAGAAATATCTTTAAAAAACAGGATCTTCGAAAATAGTACTGTTGAAGAATACGACAAAAATAGAAAGAGGTAGGATATAAGGAAAGTACCTGATGGCTAAATATGCACTTCTTTTAATACAGAGAAAAACATTAGGGAAATGTACATTGTATACATATTACGTAAAATAGATAAAAGTATAGAATTATCAAGGATGTGTCAATAATTACGCGTAAGAACGTATCATAAAAGTTATTTCATTTATTTCAGCAACATAGCGAGATAGGCCTACTCAGTGTTTGTTAATCCTTTTAGAAAGATTGAAGGAACGGATTAGAAAAAAAATCTAAGAGAATTTACCCCAAACGCATTAAACATCAAATATGTCAGCGTACGTATACCTTTAATACTGATCATAAAATTATTGATTTTAACTCTTCAAATGGACTTAAGGAAATGCTAAGCTCGAGGCTTAAAGAAATCTTAACTAAAATAAATTGGCGATCCGACCATTAACAAATAGAAAGTAGGGGTAGAACATTTGTTTCAGCTGTTCCCTTTCTTTGGAGTCAGTTACCCTTTTCAATTCAAACAGCCAATACCCTTCAAACCTTGAAGACCAGACTAAAGACCCACCTAGTGCTTGCTGACTACAATTAATTTCCATTTTTCCAAATTTAAACTTTCAGCTTGTGAACTTCAAATTCATGTAAGTTTTTATTTTTTTAAACAATTAATTCAAATAATTTCATGCGATTTAAGCATCTCTAGAGATAAACGTGTGCTTTTTGTCAATATTGTCATTATCATCAAATACCCTTGTTCCTTATCCTTAGTGAACGACTCTTGACGATCTTTTCATTACGATCTCGATTTTTTTTTATTTTTTAAGTTGCAATAATAATTGGCACAACAGGAGTTACTTATCAAAGATCACAAAAAGTGTAAAAGGCAGAAAAGGAAATGATAACGAACAAATTAGATGTAAAGTATTTTATTTTGTAATCATGAATTGCATAACAGGAAGGTTTAAGGGCTGTAACTTATTCTTTCTTTTTCCAGATTGATATATAATATGAGGTTTAAAATAAACCCTGACAATTGGCTTTTAGTTTAAAAAATGAATACTTTAGAAATAATCAATTTCGAAAAGATGGAAGAAAAAAAAATATTGTTGTCACTAAATGTAAGAATGCTTGCATGTTTACTATTTTGTAAGCTGATCCTTTCAGAGTATGCTGTATAGAAATAGATGCTCGCCTTAAAACCATTACTATAACAAAACCTGATTATATGGTATGCATAATTATCATCAACTAAATATTGTACAATCTGTTATTAATATCGCCCATTTCCTTTTATTAGGAAAAGCAAATAATAATTGTATATAATTGCCTTTTATATCATATAATTTCAATCGACTATTTAATCCAAAGCGATATATTTCAATAGCAAGTTTCCTTTATTCTTCAGGTGAGCCGTGGTCTTTTTCTATTTCTCCGTTTTCATCTTCTCCAATCGGTCCTTTGTCTTCCATGTTGTCTCTACACCTGGTCTGATCTGCCTCGGACCTTTACACACAAAAAAGGAGATGATTTGTAGCTCATTTTTATCATAAAATGAAATTTTACTGATCGACACGAACTGTAATACTTCCAGAAGTAGATTGAAAGATTTATTAGACTTTTAATTATCTGATTTAATTAGTTAATTAATTAGTAACTTGTGATCATCAACCACGCACCCAGCACATGAAGTGGGAATACGTAAACGAAAACTCGTTCACTACCATTATTCTCCATAGATTCTAGAGTATTTTCATAAAAAACATCAATTTTTATTTAAAAATCAAATTTTATTCTTGAAATATAGAATGATAAAGAGCTAATTAAAGATAAACTCCAGTACTGGTAAAAAAAGAAAATTATTTCTCACAGAATCAAACGAAACTTACACTGAATGTTCAAGATTACAAATAAATGACATGTGCCAAACAATTTTGGAAGAAAATGTATACTGGCTGAGTAATGAGCATAGAAAGACAAGGAATCAAGGTAGTACCAACCCCGACACCATGCGTGTTGTCCCATACATAGCTGTCTGTGTATGTGCTTGTTACTTTACCAAGACTCGGTCAAATTTATTATGATTTTGATGACTCCAGAACCTTGCAGTGCACACAAATACATACATGCTACATGATCAACTGTTTCTGATCCTTTCCACACCTTTTCTTTCACAATGCAATCGCATTACCAGTACTAAAGTTTATCTTTAATCATTTTAAATTTGAATGCAAAATTAATGTCTTTTTGTGAAAATTGTGTCTCATTATTGAAAATGTGTTGCATGTTCTGTAACTGTGTAAATCATGTATTCTGAGAATCATGGTAAAATTGTTTTCATATTTATATCTATGTTATGCTAATCATTAATAAACATAGTTCCTGTGTACATAGCCAAATGCTAAATACTGATTTCGAAAACTGCAAATCATCACTGATGTTTGGTCAGAACGCTAAATATAATTTTCCTCAGTCATGTCCTAAGTGAGCAGCAAAGCAGTTTTTAATTTCTGTTTCATTTTTTCTCGGATATTGTTACTAGTTTTCCTTTCACCAGTGTCGCCTCGAGTGTTGATCATTTTCAAACAATATTTATTCTAATATTGTCCTATTGTGTTACCTTCATTTCAAGTATGTTTCGAATCAGCTAATAATATGCTACTGGTCTTGCTTTCAAGCGCCACTTGACATTGAATGTAAATATTGCAGTGGAGAGGCCTTATTGCACGTATTCTCGAGTGTGAGCAACTCTGGCAAGTAAGGCGGGAGGCGAACATCCCATGAGACTGACGGTCCTCGAAACCGACTATGTTGGTCTGGTGAACCAACAGAAAAGTTATCAGAAGGCATACGAGAGAGGCTTGTCATTCTCGTTGGCTGTCGACCTCGTAAACCCTCGGATAACTTTTCCGAAGGTCCGTCAGACTGACGTTATCTGTCCCGTGAGCGATGGCCGTCTAAACATTGTTAAAGAAAGTCGCGGTGTATTGTTTCTTACTTGAGAGCGACAAGTGCTTCTGAAAGTTCTTTCATCTGCTCACTTTCCCTTTCCTGTGTTGCAAGCTGAGTCTTCAGGACTTGCTCTACATCACGTGTACAACACTCTGTGTAATACACATCTGCACTGTTGCAAAATCTACAGGATCCGGTATTAAATAGACAATAATTGTTATTGGACGCTTCTTACATAAATTTATGAAAAAAGGAGATTGGTGAATGGGCTACCCTGACAAAAGATTAGAAATAAATAAATAAATAAATAAATAAATGAATGAATAAATATAATGATGCGCTTTAGTCACATTTTCCAAAATAGAATCATGTGAAGAACATTAAACCTCGCTACAATCAAATACATAAACGTCCATAACGAATGATTGTTGCTCGTATACTTCTTTCTGGATAAAGTGACAAAGTAAGTTCTATATTGAAAACTGAAACATACATACAAGTGTTTAATGATTGTAATGAAATACCTGAAATAATCTATTAATGTCTATGTGATTCTTTTTTAATTCTAGGAAGCCGTATATTTTTTGAGGGTAATAGGAGAGTATCTTTAGTTATCGAATTTCAAGTAGAAGCAGTTGATAACTACTTTAAGTTTTCAGACGTACTCTTGTTTCTTAAAAATAAGTTGTCGTGTAGATTACAACCGGAAATACGTTGCTTCCTTGGACAAGCAGTGACGTTTCTAGATATTATGGCGCCCGGGGCCAAAAACAAAATTGCTCATTTCTAATGCAAGTTACCCAGCGTGTTGAGGGCGTATATGCGTATGGGTCTTCCTTTTCTCAACTTTTTGTTCGCCTCTTTCAAGTGCCGCCGGGGCACGTGCCCCCAGCCCCCAGCCCCCGCCACCGCCCCCGTAAATACGCCACTGAGGGCGTGATCAAAACTGAACCACTTACGCCTCTACAGCCTCGTAGCATCTCTTCTTCACGTCTTCGAGACATATCAGAGAGTTTTGTTGAGTGGATGTCAAGCTCTCCAATTTACTTTCGATAGAAGCCCTGATCCATTGGCGAACCTGCATGAAAAAGACACCCGCAGCGGCCGCAATTCGGCGCAGTAGAACGTTACGTTCTTCATCGGTTTCAACTGCAGGTAATTAAGAGTGAGATATAATTTTAAGATGATTATAAATATTATAATAATTATATTAATAATAACAATAACGATAATAACTTAAGTACGAGCAATTAATCCCCTGAATGTCCGGATAAATGTTTGTCAAACTAGAAAGAAAACGAAATGTGGGAAGTCTTCCAAACTGACATTTAAATTCGGTTAGTGTAGGGAAATGGACATCCGAGCATGGGTCATTCCTTGCCATCGCATCGTACGCGAGTATACATAGACAAGGTGGCGGACTGTGCGCAAGTTTACATGGCCGTACCATGGTATCGTACGCGAAGGTACATGGACAAGGTGGCGGACTGTGCGCAAGTTTACATGGCCGTGCCATGGTATCGTACGCGAAGGTACATGGACAAGGTGGCGGACTGTGCGCAAGTTTACATGGCCGTGCTATGGTATCGTACGCGAAGGTACATGGACAAGGTGGCGGACTGTGCGCAAGTTTACATGGCCGTGCCATGGTATCGTACGCGAAGGTACATGGACAAGGTGGTGGATTGTGCGCAAGTTTTACATGGCCGTTCCATGGTATCCTACGCGAAGGTACGTGGACAAGGTGGCGCACTATACGCAAGTTAAACATGACCGTACCATGGTATCATACGCGAAGGTACATTGACAAGGTGGCACACTGTCGCAAGGTAACATATGGCAGTACCATGGTATCGTACCCGAAGGTACATAGACAAGGTGGCGCACTATACGCAAGCTAAAATGGCCGTACCATAGTATCTTACGCGAGGGTACATAGACAAGGTGGCGGACTGTTCGCAAATTTTACATGGCCGTACCATGGTATCCTACGCGAAGGTACATGGACAAGGTGGCGCACTATACGCAAGATAAACATGGCCGTACCATGGTATCGTAAGGGAAGGTACATAGACAAGGTGGCGCACTATACGCAAGTTAACATGGACGTTACATGGTATCGTGAGCGAGTTGTCGTAGGCGAGGCAGTTAAGGGTTAATCATAGTGCATGACAAGGAACTAAATATGCCGAGAGTAAAAATGAACATAATGTTTAGCTGCAAGAATGCATACCACATGTGCGATGCCCTTTGAAAGGAAGTGAAAGGAAGTGATCGCCAGTAAACTGAGATGCAAACAAATATGTTCAGGATGCATGGACTTTATTTTACATCTCTTTAATGTTTAAAGATAAAGTTAAGTTCTGGTCATGCGATTGCATTGTGAAAGAAACGGTGTGAAATCGATCAGAAAAGGTTGATCATGTAGCGTATATGTATTGGTGTGTACTTGGCCCAGTCTTGGTAAAAAAGTAACAAGCATTGTACACAGAAATATGTACATGGACTACACAAACATGTGACATAAAAATGAGGCCCACATTTTAAAGGTGTTACAAGTCTAATCAGATATCGAACTACAATGTTCTTCAATGTAAGCCTACTTAAAAAATCTATCCGTTTTTCGCCCATTTCTCTCTAACTATGATATGGGTTTAAGGTGATGGAACCGAAACGACTAAACTTGTCGAAACAGTTCCTAAAATGTTTCCATGAATTCCAGGTGATTAGTGGCGCAGCTACAGAAGAGGGCGCTCGGGCTCATGCCCCGATCAAATAGCGGGGAGAAAAAAAAAGCAATAACAGGGGTAAAGTGAGAGAAAAATTGGTGATGGAGAAGTGGAATGTAACATAAGATGCTATGACCGCTTGTCACACCTTGCCCCCGATATATGGTCTTCTGTATTTGCATTCCATCCACCGAATCAGAATCCCCTTGCTGACGATGCGCCATCAACGCCTGGACTCACTACGCCACTGTATTTGAAATTCGGTCTACTCAGTACAAAACATGATGAATTAAAGATAAACTTTAGTACTGGTAATGCGATTGCATTGTGGGAGAAAAGGTGTGGAAAGGATCAGAAACAGTTGATCATGTAGCATGTAAGTATTGGTGTGCACTGCAAGGTTCTGGAGTCATCAAAATCATAATAAATTTGACCGAGTCTTGGTAAAGTAACAAGCACTGTACACAGAAAGCTATATATGGGACAACGCACATGGTGTCGGGGCTAGTACTACCTTGATTTCCCTGTCTTTCTATGCTCATTACTCAGCCAGTATACATTTTCTTCCAAAATTGTTTGGCACATGTCATTTATTTGTAATCTTGAACATTCAGTGTAAGTTTCGTTTGATTCTATGAGAATTAATTATTTTTTTTTTTTTTACCAGAACTGGAGTTTATCTTTAATGTCCACTCTCACCACCCTCACAAAGATGAAGAATGATTGTCTACCTGCGCTTATTCGCCTGCGTCTCGTGGCAAAGGAGGACCACACGGCATGCTCAGTGATTCCTGTTAGGGCCCTCTGAAGTGCCCCCTCTGGAATCTGGGCCCCTTCCTCGATTTGCTGCATTTGGGACTCGAGTTGAAACGCCCTCGGTGGTTGGTGAGGGAAGTTTTCCATGTGCTTCTTGTAGGAATCTGTAAAAAATAAATATAATAAACGCCTACAGTGGGTTTCATAGATTCCTAATGTGGCAGTTGTCCGTGCCCCCTCTTTAAAAATACAACACTTAAAATACAGAAAGACTAAAAGTACCTCCAAAATGCTTTTTGTCCCTTTTTTGTAATTTGAAAACCCAAAAAGGACATCAAAATATTTTCGGAATTGTTCTTCATCCCATTTACCTTGATTAACCTCTGCCTGATAAATAGATGTTTGTTGTTTTGAAAGTTCAAAGGAAGTTTTGGTTTAAAAAATAAAAAATAATGCATAATTATGAAATACGAAAAATGTGGTGATTTTCCAACCAATAAACAATGACGCTGAATGAGGACTTTATTTGTGTTTTATTGTGAACTTTTTTCACACCATATTTGTTTGAATTGAAGAAGAAAAAATTGTCACAACAAGCATCCAGTCACCAGAACATATTGTTTTTGGTGCACTGTTACGCCTAACAAATTCATGGAGGGCCATGTTGCAACTCAAGAGCGATAATTATATCTCATTTTCGATACAGAACTAAGCAAGTGTAGAGTACTTGATAATAATCTACTTGAAACTTTAAGTGCGATTATTAATGACGTTTTAATGTGAAGGTGTTTTCTCTCTAAATAGTAAAGAGGGTTGTTATCTATTGTTCTCAAGGTTTTAATGAGAGTGTTTTTGGTTTCAGCGTAGATCATAGCAATAGAGTCATTTATAAAAGTACTTTGACAGTCCCTAAAATAGAATCTAGTTGGTCATTTTGCGTTTTCAAAGGTATGAACAAAATTAATGTCGGAGAGAAAACGCTAAATGTGTGATATTTCTCTCACCTAGTATACCGAATGAGTAATCATCGCAGACCTTCGCCGTAGCGCGCTGAAACTCCGCTAGCATCTTCCGATACCAGTCCATGAGGGCTCTCTATTAAAAATAGATATTGAAAAGCAGTTTAAATTAATTAAATAAATAAGTTGTACATAAATTACTTTGTAGGGCCCTGAGCTTCACATATAATTTAGACCCACAAATGAGACATAGGCCTGCAGTTTTTTTAATCAGTGGAAATTAATCAGCGAGCCAAACAACAAGCACTTTCGTTTAGGTTTCTTTCCATTCTAAGTCATTGTTGGTGCATTTTGTAAGCATCTCTGTGGCTTCAAAATGAAACTTATGAACTGCTTCCAGCTCTATTTTACCCGATATTTTTGTTGGGCAGCATAAAGTCACCCGCGGGCCACAATACCAAACTCAATGGTGTATACTAGGAAAAAGGCTTTGTAAAAAAAAATTAAAAAGAGTTTAAAATATTTTCATTAAATATGAGGCGATATTATTCAACTTCATGGATATTTCTTCAGTAAATTAATTATGAATTAGCAGATTTATTCAAGACTATCAAGCCATACCGATCGACTCACCTCAGCATAACTATGCACTTGGTCCTCCTCGAATCGATCAGCAACCGAGCTTCTTTTCAATGTCTGGGTCATTTTCTTGCTAACCTCAGTCATACAGTGAAATACCTAAGACCAGAAGACAATCATAGAACAGAACGCAGTTATTTCTGGTGTGCGATTGTGCATTATGCTTTTCTTTTCATTCATTAATTATCAAACGATTGATTTCGTCGGCTAGAGAACATCCTAATTACAAACTGAATCTAAGTTTCAAGCCATTTCTGGTGATGGTGGCTCTCATTTTTAAGTCTCAATTGTACGTGTCACAATACTTTACAGGAACAGTTTTCTGCCTTTCTAACAAGCCGAAATTAAGGTAACTTAGAAATGAATAACATGAATAATAAAAACGAATCTTTTTGGTTCCAGATACTGGGACTCAAAATGGCTACAGCCCAAGAGACTGACAGCCGATGGGAGTGACAATAACGGTGTCACAGGCCTATTAAAAAATGTATCTGACATGTCTGAGGGTTCACGAAACCGACAACCCAATAAGCCGCCGGCCCATGAGATTGACATATCAGTCTCGCGGAACTTCTGAAACTTTTCTGAGGGTTCACGAGACCGATCTTGTCAGTCATGTCGGCCGTTGGCCTCGTTGGCTGGCGATATACAGGGAATGAACGAAAGGGAAATCCGCAGAGAATGGTAGGCCTAAATCAAGAACACAAACGAAACCATATAAGGGTAGAAATACTAGGGTCAATGTCGCTATTTTAGATGGTTCGTTGAAATTTAACATTCAGTGTAGATGGTTTGAATGTGTTTTGAAAAATGAATAGAGTCCATATAGACACAAAAACATAGTCCATATAAGGACGTTGTTGGAGAATAAATTAATCACATGGATTACATGTATTTGATATCTGTTAAAGTAAACCGTATAAAGTGTGATTAGTCCTACCGATTGGGAGATTATGTTCAAAGCATTATTCTTCTTGTCTTGGCTTTCCTCCACAAACTCGGCTCGCTTTATTTGAAATGATTCCAGACCCTTCTTCAAGCAGTCAGTTTTTACTTTGCCGTCTGACCTACAGGGAAAATACACAATAACAAGATGCCAGATTAAATATAGAAATCACGTCCGGCATATCCAATTATTCCAGATTTCTCATTTCAAAGTTGTTACAGCCGTGGTCACGTTCATTTGTTTATTATTTTGTTATTACGAGTCACAGATTTTATGTCAATATGTTATGGTCTTCTTTACACAGGGTACCTTCATCAGAATTAACATTGTTCTCCCAGAGGGCCCCATAATTACAGCACTCCGGTAATGCCAGTTGCCTATATTGCACACCTGGGTCGAGAGAGGCAAGTGTGGGTAAAATGCTTTGTCCAAGAATATAAGCACCGACTAAAGATTACATCCGATACCCGGTACCCCTCGTATGATAGTTAAAAGCCTTCACCAAAGCGCTCCCATACACTGGTATTCTGTTTTTTTAGTTGTCGATCATGGTCATGGCAACTGATAGAAAAGTTATATAAAGTGGCCATCCATGTATTCTTTAAAATAACACTGAACGATCATTTCTTCCTGTCGTACATGGATCTTATGGGTCAGGACTTTAACCTACACCTATACACCTACGTCTGAAGGGACTCAGTGATTTTGTGTTTCGACACCCCCCCCCCCCCCCCCCCCCCCCTCCCCCCGCCATACCCTCTCTTGCTTAACAACGGCTTTTATTTATTCTTACACCCGGCTTTGAATCTGTGCATCCACTTCAATAAGACTCTTGGCGCATTGATGTAAGACCTCTTGACACGTGTCTCGGTTTAGATGCAATTTGGCGGTCATACCCGCAGAAGTAGCTCTCTCCTGTAAAAGTAAAAGATGAGATGGCAAGATTTATAAAGAAGATTATTCAACTAAAATCCTGATACTTTTCGTGATTTTGGTTAATCATCAAATCTCAGATTAACCCCCTGTCAGTTCAGAAAGGACGGCCAACTGCCGTCACCTTATATTTGGACAGCCATGTGGTCGATTAGTACTTTTTATAGTTTACCAAATCAATTTAAGGGACGAAATATTACTTATATTTTTATTTTTTTTAAATTGTTGCTTGATATTAAAATTAAGAGGTCAGAAAGTTTACAATTTTCTTCTGCATACAACTTCGATTGAAGTATGGTCATTTTTAAATGTGCCTTAATTTGACAAGATTCTGAAATGCTAAAACATGGTAGGTAAACCAGTTTCACCCGAACTTGATCCAAGTTACCTCTATTTTCGAAACGAACCTCTGGAAAGTGCCTTCTCGTTCTTCCCATCCCTTGATCAAGAATCCTACAAGAGATGTTTTAATGAGAGGATGAAATAACGAGGTAATATAGAAAACCAAGAGTATTCCTCATAGTAAAAAGAAGAGGTGTCGGGGTATAGTGGTTCATTCAATTTACTGTCAATCCAAGGGTAGAGAGTTCGCATCCCAGCTCGGCACTAACGCCCTTTGGCAATGCATTTATCCACATTTGCCTCTGTTCACCGAGGTAGAAACATGGTAAATGTTGAGGTGCTAATAATTGCATGACCCTCATAAAGATCAGCATTAATGCTGATGAGGCCTGGGTTAACAAAAGTTGTTATTTTTGCGGTATATTGATGATGTTGTAAGTCTCTCGAGATCGCTACCTTGATGTTAATGTTGAGTTCACATATGACTATAGTGATTACAGAGTGAGACAACCTTCAGACTTTACATTTATGTAGATTATAGAACATGTCAGAAACTAAAAATGTATTTAACTCTACGTTATATGTTATTCAGGGCGAGTCCCAAATTAAAACACACCCCTCCCCCAATCTAATTTTAACTTGTCTTGCAACCATTGTATTTTTTTACAATACTTATGTATGAAACCCAAGCGCGTGACTCTTTGAATTTATTTACATTTCATTATGTTAAGAAGAAAAAAAATTATTCTAAAGGCGAATCCAGGATTTCGATCAAAAAAGGAAATAACTACAAAAATATCGGACTAACGGAGGAAAAGTTTATCACATTTGCAATTGCCTTTAGAGTCTACAATTTGAAGATGGCTATTTTTTCTATAATTAAGAAGTGCCCGATTGAGTTTTCAAAAGAGGGCACGCATGGGCCGAATGCAATTTTGTAATAGCATTGACCAACCTTTTTCATCAAGAGCCAAGTCGAGGGCCTCTCTTCCAGAGAAAAAGAAACATCTTTCCTCTGCTTCCTCTCTCGTATTCACGACATCGAGTTCTTTCAGCAACTCAAACACCGAGTCGACGTGGCGAGCTTTCACCTGTATAAACAATAGTATGTACATTAGATGGATGAACCTCTTCATTAAAATCTGCGTTGGGTTTGCCCCCCCCCCCCTTAATGTGGGTCAATAAAAGGCCACCGGTAAAATGTCATATTTCTTATATTAGTAATGCAGAGTCTAAAAAGAAATTCGCCACGTTTCTGCCAAAAAGTGAATCCATCCTAAAGATGTCCCTCTCGACTCTTTGACAGTAAAACCCTGTTCCCTGAATACGTTTCAATTATATTATTTGTAAAAACTTTTGAAGAAACAACTTCCAGGTAATATTGAAGCAGAACATTTAGGTTAGTGTGGATGATTTTGCATGGATGTATAAATTAATAAAAGCCTTGATAAATATATAGACGTTGCTTGATTCTTGCCAATTGCAATGAAGGTGTGACGATGACTATATCTTAAACAAAGGAGTGTGTTGGGTGCGCGGAACATTCATCGACGTTTAGATATAATTTCTTACTTTAAAATAAGGAGATTCCCTTTCAGTACTGGTTCTTAAGCGGGGGGGGGGGAGGAGGCTCGAGTGCTCAGGTTTTTCCCAGCCCGATCCCCGATTTCTTCAAATCCCCCCGTAAAAAAACCCAACTATTGATTATACACGAATCTAAGCGAGGCACATGACTTGTACAAGATGAATGCAATAACTATTTAGCGACCCCGCCCCCTCCCCAACAAAAGATAACAATATATATGTATTCTTCTAGAACCTCGCCTGACCCCTTGTACCATAACACACTTTGTTTACCTCTTCAGGGCGTTTTTCTCTCGCTGATAGATCCCACTGAGTGAAACCGACGATGATGTCGGGCTTAGGAAGACGTTTTCCTACTTCTACAAAATGATCCCGCTCCTGTGATGATATCAAATATGAATATGAATTTCAGAACATCTCAATATAACTTACATTATGTTGTGTGCTGGATATTATCTGAATTATACAGCCAGTTAACTCTATTTAATTTAAAGGAGTAAATTCCCCTCTGGCATCAGCTCAAGATATGTGATTGCACTTTGAATTCTCTTGATTTCAAGCAAATTTCCAAAACCCCTTCTGCCCCCTTCTCCGTCCCTCTATTTCTCCGACTCTTTCTTTTCACCCATTGCCTACTGAAACAGGGTGGCTCCTACATTCAATATATAGGGAATATGTGATTCAATAGTCAATGGGATAAGTTGTAGTACGTAAATTAAAAAATGTAAATAAACTTTTGAACAATAACAAATAGAATATTTGTCAACATACTTCTGGTGACATGACTGTCTTGGGATTCACAATGAATACATGAACATCTGAGTCTGCGCAGAAGACTTTAACTTTATCACCAAGCTCTCGACATTTCGTGACTCCAGGACTGGGTTCATTAAGATAAAATGAGAAACAGGAGCATTTAGAGCAGAAATTTAGTCGAAATAATGTCTACATCCTCATTCAAGATAAATGTAACATTTTGATACTACAATCAGAAATCGAATTTTTCATTTCGCAAATTAGAATTTAAGAATATTTCCAATTATTTATATCCGGTATGATTATAATGACTCTGGCCAACGCACAATCAGTAGTTATAGCAGCCCTTGCCTTATTATTTTGTGAGTTGTAGTAGTAGTAGAAGTAGTAGTAGTAGTAGTAGTAGTAGTAGTAGTAGTAGTAGTAATAGTAGTGTAGTAATAATAGTATAGGAGTGGTAGTAGCAGTAGTAGAAATAGTACTAGTAGAAATTTTGCTCGAAACCGGGCAAACGAAATGCGTTTAAAACGTGAAAGCACTTAATATCATAACAAAGATGAGGTCCAGTTTATATAACCGTTTTGAAAGCTTTGAAAATTAATACTTTTCAACTGCGCTATTTAAGTATTTGCTCAATGACTTATTGGGTCTTATTTTCCAAGGTAGTCACATCAGTATTATTACTGCTCTTCATGCGGACCCTGCACCTTTCATTACTCCAGCGCTTGCCCATTTAATCCTGGGTGGAGAGTGGCAAATGTGGATGAATGTCTTGCCAGAGGACGTTAACGCGGGCTGGGATTCGAACCCATGAACCATTGGATTAGGAGGCAAGTGAACGAATAACTATACCACCACACCTCCACTTACCAATCCATAATCTGGAGATCATAATTCAGCAGATGATCGCTTATGACGTCATTTTCTGAAAGGTGAATCTCTATGAGATAAGTCGCATCCAGGGAACGATTTGACTTGGCATCGCACAGATCTTCTAAGGCCTGCAAGAGAGAAAGAGAATTATAGAAACGTACTTTATTATTATCATTGTTATTTAATGTGTAACGCTGAGCGAAATATTACGAGAATAAGTAAAATCTGAACTATACCTAACTCGATGTTGTGATTACATGTGGAGATGTCGTGGTAAAGTAGTTAATTCACTTGACTCTTAACCTAATGGCTGAGGGATCAGATTCCAACCCTGTGATTACATGTTTGACAGGGTATTAATCTACATTTGCCACTCTCCACCCAGTTGTAAATGGATACAGAATTGTTTAGTGTCACGGATGTTTGACCGGGTAATAATATTGAAGCGCCGAGGAGCGTCACAACATGAATTCGTGAGCACTACAAGAAGACGCGATGGCTCAGTGGTATAGCGGTGGGCTTGTAACCGAATGGACAGAAACGCCGTCGGTTCCCTTGGAGCTTACTTACAAGCATACACATACTTTCTGAGCAGTCAGGTAAAACGAACCATCAAGCCAATGATCAAAATAATCAGAGCTACTATTCGGGCAGGATAAGACACTGGGTCTCAAAAGTCTAAAGTCAACTGGAAAAAGTGTAACTTTTCTCATCTATCGAAAAATTCTTTAAGATTTACATACCTTCAGCTCAAGCGGCTGTCTGTTTTCTAAGAACGAATGAAGGGACGCCTCCTTCCCCCCACTCTCGACTTCCCGAACGAAGAAATAGGACCCCGTTCTAGGTGGTTCCAAATCTACCCTTTTCGTACTCGTGCTGTGGTCTTGGTCCCGTTGGCCCTCTTTTACTTTGAAGTCATTCGTGCTAGCACTTCCGGTGACGTCATTGGTCATCTTCTCGATCTGGATGAAACAACTTGTTGTATCACCCATCCCAGAAGGGAGCAGTTCTCGTCCAATCATGGCATTCAGTGTGGTTGTCTTCCCGCTACTCGTCCTGTAAGTTTGAAATTAGAATTTATTGATGAACATATTTCTTACCCAAACTCGCCTCGTAATTGTGTTAGAGCCCTGGCGAAATTAGCCACTGCATTTGTCAGCATTGTCGTTGTTTTCCCTCTATTTATTTAGGATTATTATTTTTATCATCCGCTTGTATCATCTAACTAGTTTAGCTTGCAACCCTCATAACATTATGTGTAGAATAATGAAAACATTGAGAAAGGGCTCCTTAATATGATAGGCCATGATGGTTTTAATATTCAAGCTTTGGTCTTCAGGTTCCCGGGCCCAAAGCCAAGACGGAACCTGCAAAACAAGCCCTGTTATTACAATTTTTTTTTAAATAGAAAATAGCAGCGTTAAATCTGCTTATTTAAAAAATATAAATTATCATCTTAATATAATTTCTTTCAGAATTCATCTTAGGATTGACTGTCAGACGTACCCGCCAAAGAATGCTATTTTCATTTTCGTCCGTAGCAGGTCACTTTTCAGGCTCTGGATTCTCCCTTCAAGAAGATCAATTTTCTCGTGCACCGATTCCGAGTCTATGCCTGCATATACAAACAACAAACAATGTATCGAAGTTATAAACACTTATGGAATCTCACGAAATTTGTATGGAATGGGTTTTCTTCTCAACTAGTAATCTCTCAAGGCCTTCAAATAAATCTCTAAAACCTCATCATTGTAAAGCGCATTTTAAAATGTAATATGGAAAAATGCATTATAGATTGAGCTGTACTTGGTGAAGTGTATTAACCCGTCGACTACTGAATTGTCTGGGTCCCATAGGTTTAACACAGGGACCACCAGGTTCCCGTAAGCGAAGGGTTAATATCTTCGTAATTGTACGTGTGCATAATAATACTGGATCGATTTAGGTAAATGACTCATGCCAGAATATTCTGGATACCTCATGCGTACACGTAGGCCATTATATTAATGAGCGAGGGGCTTATTTACTGTAATGATTAAAATTGGTCGTTGCCAAACATGTACATTTATTTACAAATGCAAAAATGTAATGGGTTTTAGTGCATTGTATATATATATATATATATATATATATATATATGTAGATCGAACAATATGGAAATATAGACTGTGATTATAATAAATAAAGTGATAACGATGATTGGGCCTATCATCTCGGAAGAAAAAAAAGTGGGAAAAGAATGGAAAATAGAATGCAAAAAAATAAACCTTAAAAAGTATAGACTAGTAGGACTCTTATAGACGAGAAGAGGCCTTGTCTTGCATCCGATTCACTTTGAAGCTGGTTTAGGTTTGACGTATAAGATTTATGTAAAGTTCAAATTAGGGTCTGTGCTTAAAGACTATACGACGCGTCATGCGGTCCGGGGATTCCCCTATACGTGATAAACAACGAGGGACGCATTGCGCATGATCAGGGGGGTTCCCAAAAATGAATTGCGCAATGCATTGCAAAAAAACCCTTGATATATATCAAGAAGGGGCAAAATTTAGGGTAGATAGATAACCAGAAGCTTCAGTGTGTTTGATGGATATCATTTCAAGATAATGCAATAAGTAGACAAATGTAACTAGATCATGAATAGATAATAAAATCGGCCTACATCAATTGTGTTTGGTTGGATTTAATAGAATCAAATAGGATGTGAATAATGAAGGCTATTTGGAATGAAGTAAAAGGTGTAATACAGGTTTATACCATTTCGATGTTGTGTAAATAATTATCCTTTTTTAGTCTCTAGATTGTGAAATTTTTTGAAAAAATTGAGGTTCCTAAATTGGTTTAATATTTCGATTGTACTTAGCCACTACATAGTTATTCATTTATTTTTGTACCACTCACTTTATTTACTATATAAGTTCATGAGTAACTGATTTCTACCATTGTGTGATTGCTATGTATCTCTGTTTTTAATTTGTATTTGAAATCCAACCTTCTTGATTGCAATAAATAGATTAAAAATCCTTGTTGCGATTCAACTTTTTCCCTATGTTATAGTTCCGTATGTAGTTACGGACGTGTTAATTTAATTACTCATTCCTAAGAACCATTTGAGATGTTTACACCTACGAGCATTGCTTTTTAGTGGCCCCTCTGTTTCCAATATGTATTCCTACATTTGTGGTAAATGTTCATAATTGATTTGTAATGTTTTGTTGGAAACATAAATAAATTGAAATTGAAATTGAACTTTATAATAATCATTTCTACATGATTGTTTAGGCTGGTCTTAGAATACATCACTGTTTGATATGATTATTGTAACCATTTAAAAGCTCGATGGAAACAAAAAAAGGATTGTCCATGTACCATCACTACATGAACTGCGTTACAATGTATTCGGTAAAGGAGGATTATGCGATTTCTCAATCAGCGCGACGGCTTGGGGATTCCCCATTACGTCTGGGCATAAATAGTCTACGTGTCAAGCCCATTAATTCGTCGTCCATTACGGAGGCCTATTATGTTGTTATGCATATAATATCCCATCTGCAAGTTAATTATGCCAATTCAAATCATCCATGTCAAATATACATGTTTGTAAGTTCCTTGTCAATTAATCCTCATCTATTCCTTGTCAAAGATGTTGGGCAAATTAATGAAAGGAAATGAATAAATGCATGGATGAATAATAAATGAACGAATGAATGAATGGTATTTTCCCTCTTTCTAAATCCATCTGAGACGTTAACATATGGAATTCGAGGATGCAAAGCATGCTCCATCTCTCTCTCTCGCTCTCACTCTCTCTCTCTCACTAGTGACGGATGGGGGATTTTGGTAATAAATAAACCACCACTCTTTGAAGGTACTTTGTCCCATTTGCAGCCAACATCAAATTTTGTATAACTTTGCAGGAATTATGAATATGTCACACGTATACCCTATTCAATTTTGCAAGGAAACCCATTTACTCTATAGACGTCCGTGTCAGACACTATTGAGTGACTGACTTCTTTAATAATAACAATATAAAATGAGCTGTAAAGGTACATGAGCATTTGTCTACATCAATAACCCACTTCTTGTAATGGCCAAAATTAAACTGATTGAATTTTTGCGCAGCACAAAACGTACGACCATTCGGTTAAAGGGTATGAAAATCAGACTCTTACTTAAATGATTACAATCACTTAAATCGATTCGACAACTAATGGTCGTTATTTTCCTACTCAAAGCCATTTTCAAGCCATTCGTTTTGAGAGAAGATCTATATTAGCATTGTTTTTCAAATGCCTTTGGAATTTAACATTTTCATTGTATGGCCTGCAATTGGGACATAGGGCACTACCTTTAAGGGAAACATCATTTTAAGTCAATCAGTTGTTGAAATGTTTGACAACGTAAGTATACGGGACTGTTATTATAATGGAAATTCTCTTTACATTCCTTTAAATTACTAAAAAAATAGGTTTAAAACATCATAAAATGAGTCCAATTCTGAAATCATACCCATTTGCATTAAAGTCGGATTTTCCTTCGAACCCCCCCCCCCCCCCCTCAATCCTTATCCACCCTTCCAACTCCTCGGAATGGACAAATCCTTTCCTTCCTTCTTTTTAAATGCAGAAAGTACGACACATGCTCTCATCCTCCAGGAGCCGAATGCCTTATGTCAACCCTGATCCAAATACTTGACCAAGAACCCTATTGCCAGGCCCGTAGCCAGAGTTTGATGTTTGGGGGCACTACATGTAATCGATCGAGGAAAAAAAAAAAAAAAAAATGGAGGGTCTAAAAAAGTTCAACCGATCTTGGAAATGTTTGGGGGCACGTGCCCCCCCCCCCCCCCCCCCCCGTGCCTGCCTATTGCAACCTCGTTAAGCCAAGGATTTACTAGTTGGTTAGGCCCATAAACTGCACACTAGACACCATTCTTGCAAAGTTTGCGTTAAACGATTGATGCACTTGCTCTATTAGCACAGTTAACGTGGTAATTATAATGACGGCTATTGTACAACGGGATTTACCCTATATGACACAACAATGCCGGAGCAATAAATGTCGCTGGAACACCTCCTAAGCAATGAAGGGTAAAATGATATTCACCTACGAGTGGCAATTCTTCCAGCTTATGTTTAATTCTGCTGATGAGGTCACCTGTGACATCATAGATTAATTGCTGCTGTCTCTTCGCCTGGGCGAACACCTCGAGATGAGCCTCTGAAACAACTATTCTTGAAGACTCCATCAATTATTATCCCACACCGTCCTGCGTAACGACTTTTGAAGTGTATAAAATCTTTAAAATGTTGTGACTAACCGTTCACGAAGTGGGTGTGCTATCAACCGAGGTGTCTTGGTCTGAAGTGCAGTGTTTATTAGAACATGCCCATTTCGATCGAAGAGCAAAATAATGCAACTGACACTCTTTTCAGAGCCCTATATATTATGATGACATTTTTATCCACCTTTTGTATTCGCTGCCAAAACCACAAACATTTCATGCAAACAGAGGGGCATTGCGAAATCCGCATAAAAGGGGGGAAAAGGGCTAGTATTCGACTCCAACATCTGTATTTCCTGTCTCTACTTCTTCGTCCTTTCCCGTGTCTCTCTCGCTCTAGTATTCTCCGCATATCTGTTTTCTCTATCTCTCTCTCTATCTCTGTCTCTCTCTCGCTGTCTCTCTCTCGCTGTCTCTATCTCTCTCTCTTCCTCTCTATCTATCTCTCTGCCCCTATCTCTATAATATATATCTCTATATCTCTATTTCTCTCTCTCTCTCTCACTCTATGTTTCTTTCTCTCTCTCTCTCTCTCTCTCTCTCTCTCTCCCTCTCTCTCCTATCTCTGTATATTTTATCTCTATCCCACTATCCCTCTAACCTGGATGGAAGGATGAAAGGATCTGATGCACGCAAAGATTGATTTTTATATATCCTTTACGTAACTTTTTTTATTTCATCATTAATTTCGTTGCATAGGAACAGAAATAGATAGACCATAAATTATTAACAATGCTAATTGGAGACGTGCTCTTAAACGAGATAAAGGGAACAGGAAGTCAATATTTGAGCAACTACTAGTGTATACAAAAATACAAATAAAAGTGACAAATTGGGTATATCATGATCAGAACGTTCATGTATATTTCTTATAAAACTATCTCTTACATCACTATTGAGCAAATTTCAAAAGAACAATTTGCATACAAGATGTAAAAAATCCACATATTTTTTCAATAATAATAATTTACAGATTTTCACCTTAATATAGATAAAGAAATCATGTCTAATTAGGGGTGTCATTAAATTATTAATGGGTCATTTTAACTTTGTTGTTATCACAAGTATGCAGAAAACTGAATTTTTTATCGCTCAGGGTAAGGTAAGGCCTTTATGACTGTCGTGATTGTGACGTCACAATGAGGCATTATTTCTTGTCAAGAACTACATACCCTGTCTTTTGGGCATTATCATAATAAGCATAATTTTTTTTTTTTTTTTTTTTTTAGAAAGCACAACAATTTTCAGCATAGAATATAATTTTTGTGCAGTATTTTTTAGTTACTTACATGTAAGTAGATATTATAGTGCGCTATATAATATGATAAAAAGTAAACATACGCATATTCACCCACGCATACACACATATGTACGTACATTTTTCCCAATATAAAATATATATATATATTATTTTGATATCAAGTTCAGCTTACATTTGAAGACCCCTGCAATACGATACATCGTGCGATATAAAATATAATAAGATATATAATGCAGTTATATGCATATTACCTAACAATATTGAAGAAAAGAATATAATAGTGATTTTCATTCACTATATTAATAATTAAAATATCGAACAACGCAGGGGAACAGAACAGGTCTAAATATGCATGTCAATAGAGTTTATAACACATAGGTCATATTTACAATTTGATATGCGGGAAAAGTACTTTCTTAAAAACGATAGGACAAAACATCATAAGAGGGGAAAAGTATTTATAGATTAAAAAGACAATAATCAATAAATAGTACTGTTAAAATAAATATACTTTCTTTAAAACACGACAGGAAAAAACATCATAACAACAAAAATAAGGTATTTATAAATTTAAAAGATAACAATCCCCAAATAGTACTGTTGTATATTTTTAAAAAACGTTACAAAGCCTGGAATGACACATGTTTGAGCACTTTTAGTAGGTTGGATCAAGCCAGAGTAATATAACCTGTGTAGCACCAAGATAATATAGCACCGAGACAATATCTATTCGTGTTAAGCCTAAGTCACACTAGAGTTACGACCGGTCGCCGACTCCCGACAACCACTGGTCGGTAGTAAGTTTTCAGAGGTCGGAAAGAGGTTATTGGCAGTTTATAACAAAAGTTGTCAGTGGTTGGCGGTTGGTCTCCGTAGCATTTTGGTCGGCTGGAGGTTTACGCTACTGCACAGGCGCGGATCTACGAGGGGGGTTAGGGGGTTTAAACCCCCCCCCCCCCCCTTGGGCCGCCAAAAAAAACACAACAACAACAACGCACACTGGAGAGAAAATTGCCTCGCCGCTACGCTACGCTCGTGGACGATGCTTTGCATCGTCATTGGGTCAAACCCCCCCCCCCCCCCCCCTTAGCAAAAAGCTAGATCCGCCCCTGCTGTATCGGAAACCCTTTGCCAACCAAACTGGTCGCGCTAATGTTTTTTCTTGGTTTTCCATCTTTTGACACAGTTCTCAGGCTGATTGGCGACACTGATTGGCGATTCAAAACAAAGTTTGACGACTATTTCCGGGCGATATTTGGTTGGGAACGGAAACTGCTCGACGAGACGATCAGTTTTCGGTTAACACATTTCTAATTTTGCTGATAGTGGTCTACTTTTGGTTGTCAGAAGTCTTAAAACGGTTCGTATGCCTAGTGTGACTTGGGTCTCCATAACAGACATTTTTAAAACTCTATTATACATTTTTTTTATTTTAAATCTGAGGATAGTACAAAATATGAAAATAATAACATTTTTCACACTCTAAAAATCTAATCTAATTTCATGGTGGATGTTGATCAACCAATAACCTTATCAACACCTGGGGCCCGTTTCACAAAGCCTTTTTCAATGACAAATTACAAAAATCAGTGACAATTCTGCCGATAACCAATCAGAAGCAAGGATTTCAGTAGCTTTTAACACAAACTTTCATTTGTCACTGATGACAAGTTTTGTGTAGCGCTCCCAGGGCATTGTTTCACGATACCGTGATAAGTATAAGTTCGTCGATGCCCCATTGAGACACTTATTCATCTTAAAGGCACACTGTCCTACTTGTAGCTACTTGCGCCCTCTATATAACAAACAATGCCTAATCGGTGACCATTGGTCCCCCATGATCCTCTTTTTCTTAAGTTAACTGAGAGCTGAGTTGATGAGATAACCACCTGTCTAGTGACCTTGCAGAGCGGTCTAATCCCTCCTGTAAACTACGGCAGATAAGCTTTAAGTGATGTCGGTGAACTTGTACTTATGACGGTTTCGCGAAACGATGTCCTCAGTGATACACATTATGTCTCAAGCTTATATGTATGTCAGTTCAGCTTTAACATGTGTGACTTTAGTTCATATTTTATTCCTTCATACCACATATAAATACTATATATGGACATATAGTGATTTGTCTTTTGCTTGTGTCTCTGAATTCAGAAGCCCGACTCAGGTGGTCTGGAACAAATTTACCTCTGTCATGTCTTGTATAACAAGATTTTTTAAATTACATTGTTACAATGGGTGTCACTGATTCATCTGACTATTCGGTCATGTGATCATCGCTGTTGTCTTTGCATTTGATCTGGTCTGCCTCAGCCCTTAATCAACAACAAAAAGGAGAAAAAATGAATAACGTTAAAATAGTAATCATGTTCTTTGTACTCGTATTGCATGAGGTGTTTATATAAGTCAAACAAGTAGAAATAGACATGCCTGAACATTTCTAGAAACGCTTTAAGGATATTCCCTTCTCAGACGTAATTTGAAGGTAAAATATTTTGTATTTTTCTGCCCATATCTTCATCAAATTTAACACACAGAATTTGTCTTGAATTCTTTTTTTGGTGTCATTATTGAGGAGGGATTTTGCCATTTTCAGTCAAACTCATTTTACATAAATATGTGTAAAACAAAAATTAATCATTAATCAAGCAAATCATTCAGCATAAATTTGCTTTCTTAACTAATTTCCTTGTTAATTTTTATTGTATTCTTATTATATGTAATGTTACCCTTTTACATGTATTTATGTATTTCAAATTTCATTTTTGTTTTATTTTGTTAATACTCTGTATGTATTGTATATGTTTTTTTATGAAGAATGAAATAAATACTATACCAAACCATTAATAGTCAAAATCGCCTTAGTGGTAAGCTCTTTAGAAACATGATAAAGGCCACTCATATATAATGACTGTGCATATCGTCTCCCTTGAGAAAAAAACGTGTGTTTTAGAAACTGTCTAGAAAGGCTACCTGTCAAGAGTGGCCACTTACTCTGTTTCCCTTGGGTAGTTTTGACAGACAGTTTCGGCTCTACATGTATTGTATTTCAATCGTGTATACGAACTTCACTATGGGAAATGCAATAATTACCTAAGATTGACGAAATCTGTGGAAAGTTGTATCATTTGGGAATGCTTCTCCTCCAACTTCGCCTTCTGTGTTTGGAGAACTTCCTGCACTTCACGAATACAAGTCTCTCTGTAGTACCCATCAGCGTTGTCGCAGAATCTGTCCAACATTATATCGAGAGAAATTGTGTTCCGTCATAATGCTCGGGTGACAATTGCTCAGGGCCGATATTGTCCAATATTTGGGTTTTAGGTTAGGTAAAAGTTTTGGGGTTTAAGGGGCGGTCACACATAGTGGACGCACAGGGGACGCACGGCCCACGCATTGAAAATTTGCAATTTTGGCCAGTGCGTTGTCGTTCGCTAGGTGTGCGTCATCATTCGTTTCTTATTCGTCAAACGCGCTGGACCAACGCTATGCATTCGACGTCATTCGCTGTGTGCGTCGGGATTTTTTGAGCATGCTAAAAAATGTGCTTGGAGCTCGACGCATCCACGTAAACGCCAAAAGGACGCCAGACACGCGCAGAGCGCGGTGGACCAACGCCAGACATCACGAAGCACATGCTGTGTATTCGTTGTAAGTTCGGCGGCCGAACGTAATGTAGGCCTACATGGTTACAAATTAATGATACTGACAGTCACATTAAAGTTTGTATACTCATATAGTGCGATTAGTGTTGCCACTCATTGTAAATCATCAATATGGCTCGTTCAGATGTGAAACGGAAAACACTTAAGTAAAAAGAACGCAGCGTTTTAGTTTTATTGTGTGTTTGTGTTGGGGATTGGTTTTTGTTTTTGTTTAAATGTAATGAACGGCAATTGTGCGCAACAAAAGTCCTGCGAGTATTCAGAGATAGTATAGAAACGTTAACAGAAATGTGAAGCGTATTAACTCTACAACGCCGTTGTTTACCGGTGCCATAATTATTATATAATATAGGCGTGAAGAAAATGGTCTAGGAAAGTGAGACGTAGCTGTACTTGACAATTTTCGTACGAGCTTTCGGCTTGTGAGGCCTTCTTCAGGTTCCGAAGTGCAAACACATATATACAAACAAATACATTATATGAACACATATATATATATATACATGGCATACAAACTTAATATCGTCTCACGTTCCTTAGACCATTTTCTTCAAGCCTACATATTCTGGATCACTCTTTGTCATGTCAGAGTTGAGAATTCTCGCACATATATATATTTATATCGAGGCGTGAATAAAATGGTCGAGGAACGTGAGACGTAGCTGTACTTAACAGTTTTATTACGAGCTGAGAATTCTCGCACTTTTATGTATATATATATATATAAACATTTTATTATACAAAATAAAGGAACGACGGTGAATATTATTGAAAAGCACTCACATCTCTACTGCTTCGCGGCATTTTACTCTGATAGGAGGACAGATCAGGAAGTCTTTCTCTTTGGTTGTCAGCCTCTCTAACTTCTGCTCCACAGAAACCCTGATCCACTGCCGAACATGCATGAAGAAAACTCCTGTAGCAGCAGCCATTCCGCGTATTAGGGCATTACGTTCTGCGTCAGTTTCGACTGCATGCAAAGAGGGTAGAGAATTAGAACCAGTGCACACGAGTTGTTGTTGGTTATGCACGATTCAAGGACAGTGGGGCATCAATGCTCAGGACAAGTCCAGGTGCATTACTAACAATATCATACCATTGTCTTCCTCTTTTTTCCTGGTTATTGTGGTTATCTATAAAATATCTTTTAGAATTCGCATCTCGCCGTAAATTTAATTTAGAATAGGCTATTTGAGTGTGGATAATTGACAACGGTATTGTACAAACTGTTGTTGTTTCATACACCTATACTTTTGTGAGTGGAGCTGGATAGTGGCGGAGAGCGGGCACAGTCAATGCGGGGGGAGCAGCCTCCCGGGGGACCGGTCTTAGAATACTGGATGGACTATATAATTGTAAATTATTAATGATTTTGATCAGGGAATTTTGCTTCGATCGTGGCGTCTTATTTTCACATTCCTTCGCCTTTAAAACTTTTTTTTTTTTTGCAGTTCGATGGAGGGACACGTGCCCCTGTGCCCCCCCCCCCCGTAATACGCCACTGCATGTGTAGCTGGGAATCCCAAATGTCCAATAGTTCAATACGCACCTGAGGAGAGTCGTCGACGAGTGGAGGCGAAGGAAGCCCAAACGGGGCGAACGTTAATACCAGATAGCACCCTCTGCACCGCGGCTCTGGGAATCGGTGATCCAGGGATGGAATTGGGCTGTTCTTGTTCGTCTTGGTTATCAAGCAGATAGGCCCTGGGAGTGTCCTGGGGGAACATTGACATGTGCTTCTCATAGGATGCTGTTCAATAGAATAAGGGGAAGAGATTCGTTCGATGACAACAAATAAATCTCAGGAACCGATGATGGTGATTGTAATGCAGTTAGCCTATTGCACGTCCCAGAATGAACAGACAAATAGGAGCAAATATAAATATTTTAATTGGTGCATCAATTTTCTTTCTATCTTCATAATGTTGCCTCATTATTTTTTTTTCCTGTTTCTTCTTTGCTTAATCAATATCTGCTTACATTCGTTGTCTTCAGTAAATCACATAACAATTTGTTTTCATCTATTGAAATTGGACTAAATATATTGCAAACATAAAATTATAAATTTCTATTTTGATTAATGAACGAATGATTATTTACTAATTGAATGCATGATCATTGTCGAAAAAAGTGCAACATTGAATTGTTTATGCCCTTGTAATAAATATATTATAAAGTTTTCCTCACCTAGCACATAGAACGAATAATCCTCACATACTTTATCCGTAGCTCGCTGAAGCTCATCTAATATCTTTCGATACCAGATTAAGATTGCTCTCTTCATAGAAAGAAAAACATGATGACGGCTGTTACGAACACTCCACAGTCATTCAAAAAAGATGAAAATCAATCTTATAAATTGCCAACTGAGAACAAAAAGTTATTCAAATAAGTATCAAGAATAAGTGAAAAGTAATGCAGGAGGAGGTCAAATAACGTTTGTTGCACGCAAGTATTTGACGAAGTGCAACGATTTCCGAGGCGCCACGCGTGGCTTAAAGGAAACCGAACCCCAAGTAATAACTTTACTTATTATGAGAGATTTATTATGTTATTACCCATACATCTACAAGATTCCCCACCAAAGTGTATGAGAGAGGTATAAAGCAAAAATAAAGTACAGTTTCTCAGCACGACATGGGCATCGCCATTTTCTTGATAATGTGACGTACTATGCGAAGTCGTTTATCAAGTAAATGTATTCAAATTTATGGATGCTTCTTTCCCAGACGTGTGGTGATGAAGCATTTCATTCACCTGCTATTTTCCTTTGTACTATAATTGCCAGAACGCAAATTGCATAAATTAGTTAGTGCTCTTCTGGGTTGAAGGTTTCTCATAAATGAAATATATTTGTCAACTGCTATAGTGTAGAATTTATAAATGAATTTGTTACAATTGGGCCCCTGTTATTTATTTTTCACCTAATATAATTTCTATCATCTCAGTTGTTATTTTTTTTCATTGAAAAGTAAAGGTTTCGTTATTGATTTAAAAATTCTTTCCAACTAAAGCTTGGTGCATGATACATGTACAACTTCAACAGATACGTCACATGTTTAAGAAAATGGCTGCGCCCATGTCATGCTGACAGGCATCACATCATGCCAGGAATATCTTCATTTATATATATCTTGTACATTTTCGTAAGGAATATTGTACATCAAAGGGCAGGAATACATCTCATTTTTCAGAATACCTACACTTATTCTTTGGGTTTAGGTTTCCTTTAAAGAAGAGAGGGTATAGTTATGTCATCTCCATCTCTAACACGATCTTGACCTACTGAAAACCTTACATTGACAAAAAGGGTGTCACACCAGGGGAGTATTTCATCGCACAATCTGAAGGTAGGTCTGAATACCAGGTTAGATAAACCATGGGGGTGTTTTACAAAGACTAAGGTCGACTTTAATTTGAACTTAACTATGGCAGGCCATTCATGACACTGCTTGCTCTCACCATTATTATCTTTAGATTATTTTTACTTCAATAATGAATTATCAACAAATACAAATTCTGTAGAATGTGACCACGATTTGTACGTCCTTTGAGAGACCAATGCCAGTAAATGGTGATAGAAAACAGTAGCATGAACAGCCTTCCATAGCTAAGTCCAAGTCGATCTTAGTTTTCGCGAAACACCTCCAGGTCCTCTTTAACATATATATCGACCAACAATCTAATGTAAACTGATGTATCTCTTTTCTTGCAACAACTACAAAGATTTGTATAAGCTATAACGTAGAATTAAGTGAACGTTACGACTTACTGAGGGAGACACGATTAATCTAAAGAGAAAGGGTCAATAATTGTAAATCTTTTTGTTTCAAGGCTCTGGGCCCTGTTTTATCAAACGTTTTATACTTTTATTAGCAACAACTGCCACATGCAGATCTATGTCAAATCTGCTCATAGTCAATGAAATTTAAGGAATTCAGTATCTAATAATATTTGTCGTATCTTGTTATTCAGGACAAGTTTTGTTTTTAAAAAACAGGATCCGATCTTCTAAACATAGTGCACTCACCTCAGCATACTGATGGACCTGATCTTCCTCGAATCCGTCATTGTCTGAATTTATTCTCAAAGTTTGAGACATCTTGTCGCTAACTTCAGCCATGCAACGAGATATCTGTCACAAAAAGAGACGCTGAACTTGAAACGTATGGCAAGGGACCGTATTGTTTCACGACACTGGATATGTTAGAAGAAGCGATCGTCATTTAGATTTTAAAGTAGCCTATATAATCAGTACATCACGACCAAACAACAACGTTCGAATATTGAATCCAATGACAGTTCCAATACCATGAACACATTATTGTAATGCCTGTTGAAACCTTTTTCGGATATAGTTTTGTGTCATTGTAATGTTGACACATTTCAGAAGATAATGAACAAGGCTATTGAAGATGCCTCAAGGTTGAAACATGAAACATCTAAACTTCCTATAGAATAACGGCGGTAGGGAAGGGAACGGGAGTGGTACAGTGCCCCATTTTCTAACCACTCAATTTTTCCCTTCTAGAAAATGCCCTTCTTTCACGACGATCACTTGCTTGTGTTCTCAGAGTCCGCTTAGACTACTACAAAGAGCAATTTTAATCAAGACTTACCGATTCGTCAATTGTTACCAGAGCTTTCGTTCTCAGGTCTTTACTTTCCTTCACAAATTCAGCCATTTTCTCATCGTATGATTTTAATTTGCTCCTTATGGACTCAATATCATTCTTGAAATCAGACCTATGCATGAAAAAACAAAATGGTAATGTTACGTTTGCATAATTTTATGTCCTATTTGTCCACTGAATCAAATAAGAGTATGTTTTTGTTCTCATTGTTATATCAGTGAAGTACAGTGTTGTTCATAAAGCTGGAACATTATTTTGTGTACATCTTTTCATGAAATTATTATAGAGAACCTGGTTTATTTTTATGGATAAAGTCTACACATCTTCCCCGAACTTTATTGATCAACCTCTCTAAACAATAACTGATATTTTCACAAGCATTTCATAAAAGAGATGAGGAAAGATTATTTAAACTTTATGGGCAACAGTTTAGAATTAAAGGATTATGCATAGATAGGGTATGTAGTCAAGGGGGTTCTTTTCAAATTGAAATATTCTTCGGGTCGGCTTTCATAGCTGACTCCTTTTACATCTCTGGTTTATTGCAAGGTATACGTACGTCTTGTTTTGCATGCGTTTCTCCAGTGCTGACAGACTTCCGATGCACTGATGTAGGACTTCTTGGCATGTGTCACGGTTCAGATTTAGTTTGGTCGTTATCCCCGCTGATGTCGCCCTCTCCTGAAATAAGGTAGAAGCAAAGAAGATTTGACCTTAAGAACATAGGACGGTTAAACTGTTCTTCTTTTTACAACTCTTATTATAGATCAGGGTCCTGTCTTCAAAACGGTCCGGGTTGAATACTTCAAACATGGATGAGATCTTAAGCTATTTATCATCTAAATTTTAGATTTCTTATCATCTCTACTTCATCCAACTTACCTCAATTTTGGAGATGAAATTCTGGAACGTCTTGAATCTCTCTTCCCATCCCCTGACCAAGAATCCTTAAAGAGACAGAGAAAATATGAAAGGGAAACAAATAATCTTTCAAACACCTTATCACTATATCATTCATGATGAAAGATCAGGATGATGTACCAATCGATCGTTGTTTGAGTTTATCTACATGTAGTTGTTCAAGCGTTGCCTTTTCGTAGAGTTATCTAATAAGTGAGGGTGAGAGTATGTCCCATCCATCCTATATTAATATTAATACTTTTCATGGATTGTAATTTCCAGCGAGAGGCATCGCCATTGCAATCCTACCCTGGTAATAACTTCATTGGTATGGAAGCAGAACAAATAAGAGACACAGAATGGCGAAAGTTTGAAAAAAATCAGACCAATAATAAGGGAGATATGAATGTTTGAAATCTAAGATCACTAAATCCATGCGAATCTTAAATTGGCAACTATAACCAGTCTGCTTCTCTGATTCTTTTGATTTAGTTTAGAGCAGTTCTCTGTTAAAATTGGATTTCCCTTCAAAGCATTTCCACACTGCTCACAACTTATTTGCACATGCATGTTAGTACCTGCTATTTATGACTTTTAAAGATTAGTAGCTTACCACTCGGCGACGTTTTGCCTAAAGGAGCCAGTATAGGAACTAGGGAAACGTCGCGGAGTAGTAAATAGATCTACTTCTTTTAATTCATAATTCGCTACTAATTTCTACGGAACTGGATGAATCATATCTTAATAAAACTATATGATTTGTAAAGTTTGGATATCATTTTTACTTACCTTCCTCACCAAGAGCCAAGTCAAGAGCCTCTCTCCCAGAGTAAAAGAAACATCTTTCCTCTGCTTCCTCTCTCGTATTAACGACGTCGAGTTCTTTCAGCATCTCAAATATCGAGTCGACATGGCGAGCTTTAACCTGAATAAAACAAACAATTTTTTTTTTTATCTCCTTTTTTTTTTCTCGATGAATTAGCGATTTTTATGTCGAAATTAATGATAAACTTTGACTTTTTAAGTGCAATTAGTCGTCTCTCTTTTAATGTATGATAAAAAGGAATCAGTGTCTATACAAAAAATGGTATGTTCCATAATAATGCCAGTAAATCAATGTTATGTGGCTCTGGGTCCTGTTTCATAAAAGTTATCATTAATGACATATAATATATCACATATCTATGACAAATTTGCCAACACCTAATCAAATACAATTATTAGCTTATTACAATGTTAAAGGTAAAGACCAGTTATGGTCATGCGATTGCATTGTGAAAGAAACGTTGTGGAATCGATCAGAAAAGGTTGATCATCTAGCATCTAGCATCTGCAAGGTTCTGGAATCATCAAAATGATAAGAAATTTGGCCCATTCTTCGTAAAGTTACAAGCACTATACACAGAAAGATGTATATGGGACTACCCTATATCTCTCACAGACCATGAGAGAAACAAATTTACCAAATATATGAATTAGTAGGCGGTTTCCCGGCAAATTTTTTATCATCATGTATTAGTCAAAACATATTCTTTCACATGATTGGTAATGAGAGCTTCCATTTCATTTTTTGAAATTGGGGCGTTTCCAATACTGGTCTTTACCTTTAATTCATAACAACTATTATGAAACAGGGCCCAGAGCCACATAACATTGATTTACTGGCATAACTAAATCGAACTAAACTCCTCCACCCACTTACCCTCAACCCCCCCCCCCCCCCCCCCATAGCAGCATCTCCTTTAATCACAAAATGTATTAACTTACAACTAATTTTATGTTAAAGGAAAATGAAGAAGATAAACAAATTCATTGTAAGAAACAATGATTTCTATCAAGAATTACGATGCAGTTAATTTTGTTCTACTTCAAATTGATGGCAAGCCTATATTAATGCTTTAAGGCGCAGATAATAATGATTTGCGCTCTCCAAAATGAATATACAACAACTAAATTGACCATTCATGTTTTGGGATGCAATGCTCTTAATCAGTCTTAATAAGTAAAAATAGGTAAATATTTCCCAGAAACCTCTGTTCATGAGCTAACCTCTTCGGGGCGTCTTTCTCTCGCCGATAGATCCCACTGAGTGAAACCCACGATGATGTCCGGCTTAGGAAGACGTTTGCCGACCTCAACGAAATGATCTCGCTCCTAAAGAAAATATTACATTTCATTTACATCATGTGCTCTTAACACTTTTCAGGTCTCTCATTTTCTCCACTTTCCTGCATTTTTTAAAAATAACAAACTAGCGGAGAACAAGATGACCACAAAAATGATTGTAATTGTATCGGGGGAGGAAGTTACATCATTATTCCAACCGTGATTGCTAATAGTTTCATATTGAAATGTTCTGTAATTGGTTATACTTTGTATTGGAATCACGTAATCTATTTTCTCCTGATCAAAGCAACTAACAAATATGATTGTCATGAGTATCGATATTCGTAAATAGCTAGATTATGATTTTTTTTTATAAGAAAATAATATTTGAGTGAAATAAACATTTGTGAACATACTTCCGGTGACATGACGGTCTTTGGATTCACAATAAGTACATGAACGTCCGAGTCTGCGCAGAAGGATTTCACTTTATCGCCAAGCTCTCGACATTTCGTAATTCCAGGACTGCATATATAAACAGGAGATATGAGAAAAGCGAATGTTTTTGATAGAGCAAGGGTGGATCCAAGATTCTGTATAAAAGAGGGAGCAGAATTGAAGAAATTTCTGACGAGCAAAAAAATATTGTTTGTATTATTCAGGAAAATAGGGTCAATTGTGCCCCCCCCCCCGTCCTATTATAGTCTCTGCCATTTTGGTGATGGATGACAGAGCTAGGTAAAAATATGACCCTAATTATTCCATGGAAAATGGCGAAGGAATGTTTTTGTCAGTCACGAAATTATATAATCTTATACGACTCTAGAATTAATCCCGCTGATCCAAGAAAGGATGATCAAAGTAGAAAACGATGGGACAAAATGTGCCCGATAAATACATGTAGATACTAAGATGACTCATCAGTCCATGATTTGAAGATGGGGCTCTGTGACGCCATCTTCTGTGAAATGAATTTCTATGGGGTTATATTTTAAAGATTAGTTTCAGGGTCAGGGCTATAACTTAGGGTCATGGTTGGGGTTAGGGTGACTGTGTTGTGGAATTCTACTGCTGTTCCAAATCACAGTCGCCTATAATAATAATAATAATAGCTCACAATTTTAATGCGCCTAATACTTTGTTTATAGGCGCATCACATTATTATAATGACTAGCAAGGATCATTAAATGACTTACCAATCCATAATTTGAATATCATAATTCAGCAAATGGTCCTCTTTGACGTCACCTTCTGAGAGGTGAATTTCGATGAGATAACTTGCATCCAAGGATCGACCTGAATTTGCATTGCACATATCTTCTAGGGTCTAAGGAAAAAATAGGTTCATAAACTATCCAATGGTATAAAATAGTACTTTGGAATACTGAGATTTGTTATCATTTTTATTGATGTTGTTGTTATCATTATTATTATTATTATTATTATTTTAATATTTGTTGAGAAGACATTCGGCCACTCATATACCATTAACAAACAAAGATTCACAATACATCGATAAGTGATTGCTGCATTTTCATTTCGCTCTGAGGTGTCTCGTTTTATGTTGTTCAGAATCACTTTCAGATTCGTGTAGAAGTATTGTGTTGTAATAAACAGCTGATTAATTGGGCGTCTTTGTTTAGTAAAGGAACTACGAGTGACATGCACATTGCAATTTTTAATTGATTGTTGATTGATTTCAAGATCAAATGTTTTCAGGCGATTAACGATCGGAAGACTCTCAAAGTGTGAAATGTAGCATAATTATATACTGTGTGAGTCAAATAAAAGTTTACACCTACAAAATTGTTAATTATTTCATAAATAATCTATGAACAGTAAATTATTATACATCTTATAAAAGAGTGTTTTATCCCGAATCATTTAGTATCATTTTTCAGATTCAAGCATCATAACCGTTTTAAAGTTATATAACTTTAAAACGGTTATGATGCTTGACGTTTTTAAGCCAAGCAGTTTTGAACGGAAAGCAGTAGATAGATAGAGAGAGAGAGAGAGAGGGGGGAGAGAGAGAGAGGGGGGAGAGCGAGAGAGAGAGAGAGAGAGAGAGAGCGAGAGGAGAGAGAGAGAGAGAGAGAGAGAGAGAGAGAGAGGGGGGATGGGCATGTAATGCCCGAGCCTGGTGATGAAAGATGAATATACGAACATTTTGGTTGAGAGGTTGTTTGTTTTCCATCAAGGAGTTAATCGACGCTTCCTTTTCTCGACTCTCGACTTCTCTAACGGAGAAATATGACGTTTCTTCTTGGTCTTCCCTTTTCACCCTCGCGGAGTTATCCTTATCTGCATTGCCTTTCGAGTCTCCTTTATCATCTTTACCAGTGACGTCATTGGTCATCTTCTCAATCTGGACGAAGCAACTTGTCCTATCACCCATTCCAGAAGGTAGAAGTTCGCGCCCAATCCCTGGCGCAATCATGGCGTTCAGAGTCGTTGTCTTCCCGCTACTCGTCCTGACGGGGAAATATGACATATTACAAATGTCACATAATTATAGTCTTTTTTAATTCTAGGATGACAATTATACGGTGTAGACAGGATAGGGATGGAGAAAATGGGCTATAAGCAAAGTAACGTTGCCTGAACATACCTCTTTCAGAGTAAGATTTCAAAATGCCCCCCCCCCCCCTCCCCCAAAAAACCCAAAAAAAAACAAAAACAATAATAATAATAATAATAATAATAATAATAATAATAATAATAATAATAATAATAATAATAATAATAATAATAATAATAATGATAATAATAATAATAATAATAATAATAATAATAATAATAATAATAATAATAATAATAATAATGAATCATGATGAATAAAGGATCACAGGCTCAATCGGGAAAGGGGGGACCGGGGATTTTATTTCCCAACGATTTATTTTCCCTTTCAATATAGAGGTTAAGCACTAATTTGAGGGGGTTATGAGCGATTACTCCCCCCCCCCCCCCCCAACCTATTTTTTTTAATAGGGCGGCCCCATCACCTCTCCCAGATCCTTCTACAAGGGAGGGGAATGGTGAATGTTCACGAGGCGATATTTCTATTTTTAAAAAAACATACTCAAGCGGAATTGGTTTATAATTTGGTGGAGAATATCAATTATCATATATGCCTGACTAATCATCTAAGTTATAGCTTGGTGCTTGAGAATGACTGTAATATGCCTACTCGTGCTCACTTACCCACCAAAGAAGGCTACTTTCATTTTCCTCCTCGATAAATCACTTTTCAGACTCTCAATCCTTCCTTCGAGAATGTCTATTAACTCTTGAACAGACCTGGAGCCAATGCCTTGGCATTAAAGATACAAAATCGATGAAAAATATCATATATTAATTTTGTTATATATTTGTTAAAGGATCATTAATATGGAATAGTATACCTCAGGAAATTAAAAAATGCAAAACTCTCAATCTTTTTAAAATATAAACAATTTCTGTTAAATAAGTATAATAATCAGTATTAATAGCATGGGAAAAAATTTTACACTTTTTTTTACTCTGCATGATAGTCAGTTTTAGATTGTTTTGTTTTTCTGTTCTTTTGTTCTCGTTTTCCTGTATGTGTGTATATAAGGAATCCCTCCTTTCTGCCTATCCCAAATGCTCTTATAAATTGCCATTGTATTTGTTATCACTTTCTTGTTTTTTTTTTATAACTCCATTTTGTATTTGTATGTTTTAAATGTTTTTATGAAAAGTGTTGAATAAACTTTGAATTTGAATTTGAATTTGAATGCTAAAATGGGTGTTAAAGGCAACCTTATCCAAAGAAATAGCTTTACTTATTCCGAGAGATTTGTTATTTTCCATTGATCTCCAAGATTCCCCATGAAACTGTATGAGAAAGGCATAAAGCAAGAATAATGTACAGTTTCTCAGCACAACATGGGCATCGCCATTTTCTTGATAACGTGATGTACTATGTGAAGTCGTTTATCAAGTAAATGTATTCAAATTTATGGATGCTTCCTTCCCAGGTGTGTGTGGTGACGAACCATTTCATTCACCTGCCATTATCTTTTGTACTACAATTGTCAGTACGCAAATTCCATAAATAAGTTGGTGCTCTTTTTTAGGGTGAAGGTTTCTCATAAATGAAATAGATTTGTCAATTGCTATGTTTTAGTATTTTTAAATGAATTAGTAACAGTTATTCCCCTGTATTATATTTTTCACCAGATATAATTTCTATCTTCTTAGCTATGATTTTCCACTTTGAAAAGTAAAGGTTATGTTAATGGTTTAAAAAGTCTTTCCAACTAAAGCTTGGGGCATTACACACGTACAACTTCAACTGGTATAATATCACATTTTCAAGAAAATGGCTGCACTCATATCATCCTAAAAGACATCACATCATACCAAGAATATCTTCATTTGTACATCTCTTATACATCTTCGTAATGAATATTGTATTTTGTACATCAAAGGGCAAGAATACATCTAATTTTTCGGGAATACCTACACTTAGGTTCTTTAGGATGAGGTTTCCTTTAAATAAATATCACCGTCTAACAAGTAAGCATTTTGAACTCCTGCATTATCCATGAGTGCAACAAGTAGGCCTATTAGTTAACTTATAGTAAAATTGAGAATGAACTGCTTTATAATCACATAAGTAGCGGGCTGATGCATCTATACAGCTACACAGTTCAAATGTATAGTTTTACCGAGGAATGAAACTGCAAACTGATCTATTAGTGACGGGAATTCCCACCAAACATGCATGTGACCTGTTTAATGCACGCCATGGGAATCCCCGTGCAAATAATGTGTGCAACAATTTAGATCAACTCATGCAATTTGCAAACGATGCCCTCGTTATCCATTTTCAATAAGAGAAATGGCATATATAGATTTAAAAAATGTCCAATCGAACGCACAGAATACACTGTGTAAGCAAAATACAGAATAATAAAGAATAAGCAAGCATCATGTAATATAAGCACAGAAGCAACATTTGGATGAGGGAGAGAGACGAAAATGGATAGATTAACCGTGAGATATATAAATTATAGATATATAGATGGATAGATAGATATATAACTAGATTCATAGTTAGATACATACATGTAGATAAATGAATCAATAATGAATCAATAAATTGATTACTTAAGTAAATATATAAATAAACAGAGAGAAAAAAAAGAGAAATTTCACTACCCAATTGCATTGTACACCCCGTATAAATCCGTATCTGATTAGGTAACATGCCACTGTCAAGCTCTTGCATTTCAATATGAATAGGTAACGTACAAGCTAGGCTATCAAAATTGCCTAAGCTTGGTTTTTCGGAAGTGGTTGCTATCGTGTTAATTTGATATGATATTTGCCTATTTTGACAAAGAAAAGCTATATTATCTTCGTTAACATAACAATGTTAATATTGCCATATGCTTATATCTGTTGCATCATATTAATAAGCCTGCTTAATCATCATTTTGCTCTATACTGTTCCTTGTCTTCTGTGAGGATAAAGTTGTCTGATCTTGTGGGTACGTGATATCGCCTTTTCTTTGTCGTGGTTTGTCCGAGATAATATTAGATTGTTATTATTACGCTACACGGGCACTGCTCACGTACCACCACTTAATAAAACGAGTAATGTGAACGTTTCTCACCTTCGAATGATGACAGTTCATCCAGCTTGGTTTTTATTCTACTGATGAGGTTACCTGTGACATCATATATAAATTGCTGCTGTCTCTTCGCCTTGGCGAACTGTTCGAGATGAGCCTCCGGGACACCGAGCCGTGATGATTCCATCAGGTCTCGTATACCTGAACAGCACCTTTCGGCCAGTTTACACAATCAAGTTGTCCAAACTACGCCCTAAACAAACATAAACCTATTTAAGAGGCTACCGAAAAGACTGGCGTAAGCTGCGTACATCCTTTCCAACTGTACTGGTGCAGAGTTTTGACAAAGTCATGTAATTTCAACCAACATCTAGATTATTATGACTGATTTCCGTTTTCGATTTGGATTTTAGCAGGTTTCCTTTGAACAATAAATTCTAGATTTTATGGCGCCCGGGGCCAAAAATAAAATTGCTCATTTCTAATGCAAGTTACCCTGCGTGTTGAGGGCGTATATGCGTACGGGACTTCCTTTTCTCACCTTTTTGTTCGCCTCTTTCAAGTGCCACCGGGGCACGTGCCCCCAGCCCCCGCCACCGCCCCTGTAAATACGCCACTGAGGGCGTGATCAAAACTGAACCACTTACGCCTCTACAGCCTCGTAGCATCTCTTCTTCACGTCTTCGAGACATATCAGAGAGTTTTGTTGAGTGGATGTCAAGCTCTCCAATTTACTTTCGATAGAAGCCCTGATCCATTGGCGAACCTGCATGAAAAAGACACCCGCAGCGGCCGCAATTCGGCGCAGTAGAACGTTACGTTCTTCATCGGATTCAACTGCAGGAGTGAGAGATGATTTTAAAATGATTATAAATATAATAAAAATGATAATAACAATAATAATAATATTAATAATAATAATAATAATAATAATAATAATAATGATGATGATAATAACAATAATCACAAAACCGGTTCCTTATATGACCAAACTGCTTACACAAAACAGTACAACATTATCATTACCGCGTTCACTGGATTCAATGCATATTATAGTGCACATTCTTCACTCCCTGGGACTGGGTAGCATTTCAGCTAGTAACCTTTTGTACGTGCGCACACTTGCGAATACAACCACAAAGACGTTCGCATTCTATCGGGTATCCAATTAACACCCGGATGAAGAGGAGCAATGTAGATGAAATGCCTTGTTCAAGGACATAAGTCCCATGCCGGGGCTCGAATCCTCAACTGTTGCATTTTCATGCAAGTGATTAAACCACTCGACTACAACACCTCTAATTATCTATTGATTTAAATTTAATATTTTCCTATTAATCGTCAATACATCAGTCAAACCTCCGAACTGACTCCACATCAACCCCAAACTGACCGAATGTTTTGGATACAGGGAGCTAAGTAATACGTTGTTCGGTCTATAGATGAGCAATTAATCCCCTCTGTGCCCGGATAATTGTTTGTCAAACTAGAAAGAAAACGAAATGTGCAAAGTCTTTCAAAGTGCCATTTAATTTCTGAAAAAAGTACCGAAACATGAGACTTTTGCTCCGGGCTTAAAATTGCCAAAGGTGTAAATGTACGTTGTAAGGGTTGTGATTAGGTATACGTTAGGTTTAGGATTAGAGTCCAGAATATTCATTCTACTAAGGCAATCAGAATTGCAATTCGGAGTTCGGTTAGTGTAGGGAAACGGACAACCAAGCATGGGTCAATCCTTGCCATCGCATCGTACGCGAGTATGCATAGAAAAGATGGCGCACTATACGGCGCACATAATATACGCAAGTTAACATGGCCGTACCATGGTATCGTACGCGAGGGTACTTAGAGAAGGTGGCGAACTGAATACAAACTTATACATGGACGTTACATATGGTATCGTGAGCGAGTTGTTGTAGGCGAGGCAAGTTAAGGGTTAATGGTGATGACAAAGAACTAAATATGTCGAGAGTAGAAATGAATAACTGTTCAGCTACAAGAATGAATGCAACATGGCCGATGCCCTTTGACAGGAAGTGAAAGAAAGTGACAGGAAATGAAAGCCAGTAAACTGAGATGTAAACAAATATGTTCAAGATGGACTTTATTTTTACATGTCTTAAATGTTTAAGTGTTGCGTTACTAATCAAATAACTTTAAAGTTCTATCCGTCTTAGAAGAAAATTTACCATTTTCTCACCAACTATGATAATGGTCATGGAACCGAAACGACTAAACTTGTTAAGAAAAGAAAAGACAGAGTGAAGAAATTTCGAGGAAATACTCGTCGAAACAGTTCCTAAATTGGTCCATGAATTTCACGTGATTAGTGGCGCAGCTACGGAAAAGGGCACTCGATTAAATAGCGGGGGGGGGGGGGAGAAAAGGAAAGAAAAGGGGTAAAGTGATAGGAAATAGGGTGATGGAGAAGGGGATTGTAACATAAGACGCTGTGACCGCTTGTCACGCCCTCCCCCTGATATATGGTCTTCTGTATTTGCATTCCATCCACCGAATCAGAATCCCCTTGTTGACGATGCGCCATCAACGTCTGGACCCACTACGGCACTGTATTTGAAATACGGTCTACTCCATATGGAAACAAAAATGCTCGACCAACAACTCATCAGCGTCTGAATTGACCTTTTGACCTTGAATTCCCTGATGCAAGCGCATGACGTGATCTTTGCTAAATCGGTGTCTTTTATCGTAAAATGCGACACTTTCACAATGTTTATACATCTTTTTTTAATTATTAGTAAGATATAACATATTTTTTCTGATATCACTGAAGTTTTGGGTTTTATTTTATGAGTAATTTAAAAAAGAGCCATTTTATTGTTTTAATTTACTGGATCGTACCATTAAAGTTGCAAGGTAGAAAGATGCATTTTCCAACCGCGCCAAATTTAATGTACGTTCCGACATTCTGTTAAATGGGTTCGTGTTGTTAAGAATCCACTGCTTTCTGCTCCAACAAACGTCCACATGCGGAGTCGTTTATCAACTAAATTATTCAAATTTATGGATGCTTCCTAGCTTCCCAGGTGTTTGTGTTGCTGTTGAAGCATTTCATTCACCTGCTATCATTCTTTGTACTCCAATTGCCAGAACGCAAATTTAATTTTGGTTTTATAGTTTCATCAGAGTCGTTTATCATATTATGTATTCAAATTTATGAATGCTTCCTCCCCAGGTGTTTGTGGTGTTTATGCATTTCATTCACCTGTTATTATTCTTTGTAATCCAATTGTTAGAATACAAAATGCATTTTGGTTTTATAGTTTCATGCAATAAGTAAGTCAATAAAAGAGTATGTTCTGCACAATAAAAACAATGTGTGTCCCTAGTGTACAATGTAATGTGTCCCCTCATTTTGTAATAGTTAATTTACCCATTCACATAATGGAACTACCTGCCCGATGAAGCCAGTGGCCTGTGACCCCTGAGCACTCAACACCGTGTGGGAGTCAGTTCGTGCTCAAATTCTTTTATAAGACAAATACAAGCAAACGTTTCCATATGGTACAAAACACGATGAATTAATGTCCACTCTCATCGCCCTCACAAAAATGATGAATGATTGTCTACCTGCGCTTATTCGCCTGCGTCTCGTGGCAAAGGAGGACCACACGGCCCGCTCTGTGATTCCTGTTAGGGCCCTCTGAAGTGCCCCCTCTGGAATCTGGGCCCCTTCCTCGATTTGCTGCATTTGGGACTCGAGTTGAAACGCCCTCGGTGGTTGGTGAGGGAAGTTTTCCATGTGCTTCTTGTAGGAATCTGTAAAAAATAAATATAATAAACGCCTACAGTGGGTTTCATAGATTCCTAATGTAGCAGTTGTCCGTGCCCCCTCTTTAAAATACAACATTTAAAATACAGAAAGACTAAAAGTACCTCCAAAATGCTTTTTGTCCCTTTTTTGTAATTTGAAAACCCAAAAGGGACATCAAAATATTTTCGGAATTGTTCTTCATCCCATTTACCTTGATTAACCTCTGCCTGATAAGTAGATGTTTGTTGTTTTGAAAGTTCTAAGCAAGTTTTGGTTTAAAAAAATAAAAAATAATGCATAATTATGAAATACGAACAATGTGGTGATTTTCCAACCAATAAACAATGACCCTGAATGAGGACTTTATTTGTGTTTTATTGTGAACTTTTTTCACACCATATTTGTTTGAATTGAAGAAGAAAAAATTGTCATCAACAAGCATCCAGTCACCAGAACATATTGTTTTTGGTGCACTGTTACGCCTAACAAATTCATGGAGGGCCATGTTGCAACTCAAGAGCGATAATTATATCTCATTTTCGATACAGAACTAAGCAAGTGTAAAATACTTGATAATCATCTACTTGAAACTTTAAGTGCGATTATTAATGACGTTTTAATGTGAAGGTTTTTTCTCTCGAAATAGTAAAGAGGGTTGTTATCTATTGTTCTCAAGGTTTTAATGAGAGTGTTTTTGGTTTCAGCGTAGGTCATAGCAATAGAGTCATTTATAAAAAGTACTTTGACAGTTCCTAAAATAGAATCTAGTTGGTCATTTTGCGTTTTCAAAGGTATGAACAAAATTAATGTCGGAGAGAAAACGCTAAATGTGTGATATTTCTCTCACCTAGTATACCGAATGAGTAGTCATCGCAGACCTTCGCCGTAGCGCGTTGAAACTCCGCTAGCATCTTCCGATACCAGTCCATGAGGGCTCTCTATTAAAAATAGATATTGAAAAGCAGTTTAAATTAATTGAATAAATAAGTTGTACATGAACTTACTTTGCAGGGCACTGAGTTTCACATATAATTTAGACCCACAAATGAGGCGTAGGTCTGCAGTTTTCGAATTAGTGGAAATTAATCAGCGAGCCAAACGAACAAGCACTTTCGTTTAGATTTATTTTCATTATATTTTTTTATATTTATTTTCATTTTTGGTGCAATTTGTAAGCATCTCTGTGGCTTCAAAATGGAACTTAGCAACTGCTTCTAGCTCTATTTTACCCGATATGTTTGTTGGGCAGCATTGCGTCACCCCGCGGGCCACCTGACTCGTGGGCCAATATACCCTGTTACACATACCTCTGAAACTCAAGACCAACAAACATCCGCAAAATTATTAAACAAACTCAATGGTGTACTAGGAATAAAGCCTTTGTAAAAATAAAAAACCTAAGAGTTTAAAATATTTTCATTGCATATGAGGTGATTTAATTCAACTTCATGGATATTTCTTTAGTAAATGAATTATGAATTAGCAGATTTATTCAAGACTATCAAGCCATACCGATCTACTCACCTCAGCATAACTATGCACTTGGTCCTCCTCGAATCGATCAGCAACCGAGCTCCTTTTCAAAGTCTGGGTCATTTTCTTGCTAACCTCAGTCATACAGTGAAACACCTAAGACCAGAAGACAATCATAGAACAGAACGCAGTTATATCTGGTGTGCGATTGTGCATTATGCTTTTCATTCTTTAATTATCAAACGATTGATTTTGTCGGCTAGAGAACATCCTAATTACAAACTGAATCTAAGTTTCAAGCCATTTCTGGTAATGGTAGCTCTCGTTCTTAAGTCTCAATTGTACGTGTCACAATACTTTACAGAAACTGTTTTCTGCCTTTCTAACAAGCCGAAATTAAGGTAAGTTAGAAATGGATAACATAAGTAATAACACGAATCTTTTTGGTTCCAGATACTGGGACTCAAAATGGCTACACCCCAAGAGATTGTCAGCCGACGAGAGTGACAATATCTGTGTCACAGGCCTATTCAAAAAGTTATCTGACATGTCTGAGGGTTCACGAAACCGACAACCCAGTAGACTGACAGCCCATGAGATCGATTTTACATTCTCGCGGAACTTCTGGAACTTTTCTTAAGGTTCACGAGACCGATCTTGTCAGTCGCGTCGGCCGTCGACCTCGTTGGTTGGTGATCTAGAGGGAAACCAACTGAGAGTGGTGAGCATTATGTTAAGAGCACAACAGAAACCATATACAAAGGCCAGAAATATTTTGATGGTTCGTTGAAATTTAATATTCAGTGTAGATGGTATGAATGTGTTTTGAAAAAAATGAATAGAGTCCATATAGACACAAAAACATAGTCATTATTAGCACGTTATAGAATTCATCACATGGATTAAATGTATATGATAACTTTTAAAGTAAACCGTATAAAGTGTGATTAATCCTACCGACTGAGAGATAATGTTCAAAGCATTATTTTTCTTGTCTTAGCACTCCTCCACAAACTCGGCTCGCTTTATTTGAAATGATTCCAGACCCTTCTTCAAGCAGTCAGTTTTGACTTTGCCATCTGACCTACGGGGAAAATACACAATAACGAGATACAGGAGTGAAAATAGAAAACATATCCGGCATATCCATTTATTCCAGATTTATAATTTCAAAGTTGTTACAGCCGTGGTCACGTTCATTTGTTTATTATTTTGTTATTACGAGTCACAGATTTTATGTCAATATGTTATGGTCTTCTTTACACAGGGTGCCTTCATCAGAATTAACATCGCCCCTCACGTAGTATTGCTCAAATATTGCCAGTTGCCTATATAACACACCTGGGTCGAGAGAGGCAAGTGTGGGTAAAATGCTTTGTCCAAGAATAAAAGCACCGACTAAAGATTGAATCCAATACGTGGTACCCCTCGTATGGTATTTAAAAGCCTTCACCAGAGCGATCCCACTGGCATTCTCTTTTTTTAGTTGTCGATCATGGTGGTGGCAACTGATAGAAAAGTTATATAAAGTGGCCATCCATGTATTTCCTTTGTCTTTAAAAATAACACTGAACGCTCATTTCTTGCTGTCATATGCAGGGATCTTATGGGTCAGGACCTAAGTTTTGGGAAATTTTGGAAACTGAATGGATAGTAATTTTTTTAAATTGTGATATAGTTGGATGCCCCTGCACGTGATGGGATTATAAGCACTAGAAATATATAGCCCCTAAAACACTGCTGCTTTCGAGAAATTGAATAATCCAAAATTTACCGGTGCCCCCGGTAAATTTCAAATATTTCAAATAGCACCTAAGGCAATTCCATGGTAGCTGCGACCATGAAAATCTCAGAATATGCAGTTCTGATATATAATTTTAGAACGGGAATAGCAAATCGGTCGATTGAAGTCAAGAACTATTGTTTTAAAGCTAAATTAATATCAGTCTTGAGAGGGAGCAATACTACATAAAAAGTTTAATATTTATAATGCTATCACTTACATCATTTAAAATTTCAACCGCGACAACGATCATTGAATATTGTAAAATTGCATATGCTTCCAATATGTCCATTTGAACCAAATTCATGACCCCATACCAAAACTTTGTATTACCTTTAACCTATACCCTTTTGTGATTTTGTGTTTCGACACCCCCCCCCCCCCCCCCCGTGCCATTCCCTCTCTTGTTCAACAACGGTTTTTATTTATTCTTACACCCGGCTTTCAATCTCTGCATCCACTTCAGTAAGACTATTGACGCATTGATGTAAGACCTCTTGACACGTGTCTCGGTTTAGATGCAGTTTGGCGGTCATACCCGCAGAAGTAGCTCTCTCCTGTAAAAGTAAAGATGAGAAGGCAAGATTTATGAAGAAGATTATTAAACAAAATCCTGATATATTTTTGCCTTTGTTTTAAAATCATAAAATCTTAGATAAACCCCTCTGTCAGTTCAGAAATGACGGCCAACCGCTACCTTATATTTGGACAGCCATATGGTCTTTTAGTATTTTTTATAGTACAGTGCGTCCCAGAAAAAACGAAACCGAGAAGTATCGATGTTTTATCATAACTTAATCACAACCATAATTAATGAATGATACATATTTGGAAAGCTTAGAGTCTCCTCTTTCAGTTGATGATACTCAGGTGATGCATATTTCACGCATGAGTGATTAAAAGTAATTTGAAGGAAGGAAACCAAAAAATAATTTGGCGGGCGGTATTTGAATTTCAAAGAAAAATTCATATTTCTAGAAAGTTCATTTTGTGCTCTTTCATATGATACCTCAATCAAGAAAAATGAGCGAGGAATAACAAAGTTCTGTTTGTTTAAAGTAGCCCTTACATTTTCAAAATTTTAACAAACGAATTCGTTTTCACTGGGTGCCTGCCGTAGCAAAAAGCAGATTTGACAAAAGACTTAACTCCGTTTCGTTGACAATCAGCCATGCATGAAGACTCTCGTCTACGACTGATTGTCAACGAAACGGAGTTAAGTCTTTTGTTAATTTCGTTTATTGATACGGCAGGCAGCCAGTAAAAACGAATTCGTTTAATAAAATTATGGAAATGCAAGCACTACTTTAAACGAACAGAACTTTGTCATTCCTAGCTCATTTTTCCTGATTGAGGTGTCATATGAAAGGGCAGAAACTCAACTTCTAGAAATGTGAATTTTTCTTAGAAATTCAGATACCGCCCGCCAAATGTCTTTTTGGTTTCCTTCATTCAAATTGCTTTAAATCACTCATGCGTGAAATGTGCATTATCTGAGTAGCATCACATGAAAGAAGAGACTCTAAGCTTTCCAAATATGTATCATTCATTAATTATAGTTGTGATTAAGTTATGATAGAACATCGATACTTCTCGGTTTCGTTTTTTCTGGGACGCACTGTATAACTAATCAATTTTGGTGACGAAATAATACTATAATTGTTTTTTTTTTCTTCTTTTCTTTTCTTTCTTTTTTACTGTTGGTCGATCATAAAATTAAGAATTCTAAAATTTTACTATTTTCTTCCGCATACACCTTTGCTTGAAATAGGGTCATTCTTAAATGTGCCTAATTTGACAAGAGTTCTGAAATGATAAAACATGGTAGGTAAACTAGTTTTACCTGAACTTGATCCAAGTTACCTCTATTTTCGAAACGAACCTCTGGAAAGTGCCTTCTCGTTCTTCCCATCCCTTGATTAAGAATCCTACAAGAGACGGGTTGATGAGAGGATGAAATAACAAGGTAATATAGAAAAACAAGAGTATTCCTCATAGTAAAATAAAAGTGGTGCAGGGGTATAGTGGTTTATTCAATTGACTTTCAATCCAAGGGTACAGGGTTCGCATCCCAGCTCGGCACTAACGTCCTTTGGCAAGGCATTAGTCCACATTTGCCTCTGTTCACCGAGGTAGAAACATGGTAAATGTTGAGGTGCTAATAATTGCATGACCCTCATAAAGATCAGCATTAATGCTTATGAGGCCTGGGTTAACAAAAGTTGTTATTTTTGCGGTATATTGATGATGTTGTAAGTCTCTCGAGATCGCTACCTTGATGTTAATGTTGAGTTCACATATGACTATAGTGATTAAAGAGTGAGACAACCTTCAGACTTTACATTTATGTAGATTATAGAACATGTCAGAAACTAAAAATGTATTTAACTCTACGTTATATGTTATTCAGGGCGAGTCCCAAATTAAAACACACCCCTCCCCCAATCTAATTTTAACTTGTCTTGCAACCATTGTATTTTTTACAATACTTATGTACGAAACCCAAGCGCGTGACTCTTTGAATTTATTTACATTTCATTATGTTAAGAAGAAAAAAAATCATTCTAAAGGCGAATCCAGGATTTCGATCAAAAAAGGAAATAACTACAAAAATATCGGACTAACGGAGGAAAAGTTTATCACATTTGCAATTGCCTTTAGAGTCTACAATTTGAAGATGGCTATTTTTTCTATAATTAAGAAGTGCCCGATTGAGTTTTCAAAAGAGGGCACGCATGGGCCGAATGCAATTTTGTAATAGCATTGACCAACCTTTTTCATCAAGAGCCAAGTCGAGGGCCTCTCTTCCAGAGTAAAAGAAACATCTTTCCTCTGCTTCCTCTCTCGTATTCACGACATCGAGTTCTTTCAGTAACTCAAACACCGAGTCGACATGGCGAGCTTTAACCTGCATAAACAATAGTATGTACATTAAATAATGAAACTCTTCATTAAAATCTGCGTAAGGTTAGCCCTTTCTCCCCCCCCCCCTTTAATGTGGGTCAATAAGGGGCCACGGTAAAATGTCATATTTCTGATATTAGTTATGCTAAGTCTAAAAGGAAATTCACAAAGGAGTGTGATGGGTGCGTGGAACATCGACGTTTAAATATAACTTATTTCTAATAAGAAGGAGAGCCCCTTTCAGTAGTGATTCTAAAGCGGGGGGGGGGGGGACTCGGGTGCTTTAGTTCTTCCCCCGCCCGCCTCCAATATTTCAGAGCCCCCCTATAAAAAAACATTAATGATTATAAATTAATCTAAGCGAGGCACATGACTTGTACAACATGAATGCAATAACCATTTAGCGACCCCGCCCCCTCCCCAACAAAAGATAACAATATATATGTATTCTTCCAGAACCTCGCCTGACCCCTTGTACCATAACACACTTTGTTTACCTCTTCAGGGCGTTTTTCTCTCGCTGATAGATCCCACTGAGTGAAACCGACGATGATGTCGGGCTTAGGAAGACGTTTTCCTACTTCTACAAAATGATCCCGTTCCTGTGATGATATTAAAAAAGAATATGAATTTTAGGACATCTAAATATAACTAACATTATGTTGTGTGCTGGATATTATCTGAATTATACAGCCAGTTAACTCTATTTAATTTAAAGGAGTAAATTCCCCTCTGGCATCAGCTCAAGATATGTGATTGCACTTTGAATTCTCTTGATTTCAAGTAAATTTCCAAAACCCCTTCTGCCCCCTTCTCCGTCCCTCTATTTCTCCGACTCTTTCTTTTCACCCATTGCCTACTGAAACAGGGTGGCTCCTACATTCAATATATAGGGAATATGTGATTCAATAGTCAATGGGATAAGTTGTAGTACGTAAATTAAAAAATGTAAATAAACTTTTGAACAATAACAAATAGAATATTTGTGAACATACTTCTGGTGACATGACTGTCTTGGGATTCACGATGAATACATGAACATCTGAGTCTGCGCAGAAGACTTTAACTTTATCACCAAGCTCTCGACATTTCGTGATTCCAGGACTGGGTTCATCAAGATAAAATGAGAAACAGGAGCATTTAGAGCAGAAATTTAGTCGAAATAATGTCTACATCCTCATTCAAGATAAATGTAACATTTTGATACTACAATCAGAAATCGAATTTTTCATTTCGCAAATTAGAATTTAAGAATATTTCCAATTATTTATATCCGGTATGATTATAATGACTCTGGCCAACGCACAATCAGTAGTTATAGCAGCCCTTGCCTTATTATTTTGTGAGTTGTGGTAGTAGTAGAAGTAGTAGTAGTAGTAGTAGTAGTGTAGTAATAATAGTATAGGAGTGGTAGTAGCAGTAGTAGAAATAGTACTAGTAGCAATTTTGCTCGAAACCGGGCAAACGAAATGCGTTTAAAACGTGAAAGCACTTAATATCATAACAAAGATGAGGTCCAGTTTATATAACCTTTTTGAAAGCTTTGAAAATGAATACTTTTCAACTGCGCTATTTAAGTATTTGCTCAATGACTTATTGGGTCTTATTTTTCAAGGTAGTCACATCAGTATTATTACTGCTCTTCATGCGGACCCTGCACCTTTCATTACCCCCCAGCGATCGCCCATTTAATCCTGGGTGGAGAGTGGCAAATGTGGATTAATGTCTTGCCAGGGGACGTTAACGCGGGCTGGGATTCGAACCCATGAACCATTGGATTAGGAGGCAAGTGAACGAATAACTATACCACCACACCTCCACTTACCAATCCATAATCTGGAGATCATAATTCAGCAGATGATCGCTTATGACGTCATTTTCTGAAAGGTGAATCTCTATGAGATAAGTCGCATCCAGGGAACGATTCGACTTGGCATCGCACAGATCTTCTAAGGCCTGCAAGAGAGAAAGAGAATTATAGAAACGTACTTTATTATTATCATTGTTATTTAATGTGTAACGCTGAGCATAATATTACGAGAATATGTCCAATCTGAACTATACCTAACTCGATGTTGTGATTACATGTGGAGATGTCGTGGTAAAGTAGTTAATTCACTTGACTCTTAACCTAATGGCTGAGGGATCAGATTCCAACCCTGTGATTACATGTTTGACAGGGTATTAATCTACATTTGCCACTCTCCACCCAGTTGTAAATGGATACAGAATTGTTTAGTGTCACGGATGTTTGACAGGGTAATAATATTGAAGCGCCGAGGAGCGTCACAACATGAATTCGTGAGCACTACAAGAAGACGCGATGGCTCAGTGGTATAGCAATGGGCTTGTAACCGGGAGGACAGAAACGCCGTCGGTCCCCTTGGAGCTTACTTACAAGCATACACATACTTTCTGAGCAGTCAGGTAAAACGAACCATCAAGCCAATGATCAAAATAATCAGAGCTACTATTCGGGCAGGATAAGACACTGGGTCTCAAAAGTCTAAAGTCAACTGGAAAAAGTGTAACTTTTCTCATCTATCGAAAAATTCTTTAAGATTTACATACCTTCAGCTCAAGCGGCTGTCTGTTTTCTAAGAACGAATGAAGGGACGCCTCCTTCTCCCCACTCTCGACTTCCCGAACGAAGAAATAGGACCCCGTTCTAGGTGGTTCCAGATCTACCCTTTTCGTACTCGTGCTGTGGTCTTGGTCCCGTTGGCCCTCTTTTAGTTTGAAGTCATTCGTGCTAGCACTTCCGGTGACGTCATTGGTCATCTTCTCGATCTGGATGAAACAACTTGTCGTATCACCCATCCCAGAAGGGAGAAGTTCTCGTCCAATCATGGCATTCAGTGTGGTTGTCTTCCCGCTACTCGTCCTGTAAGTTTGAAATTATAATTTATTGATGAACATATTTCTTACCCAAACTCGCCTCGTAATTGTGTTAGAGCCCTGGCGAAATTAGCCACTGCATATGTCAGCATTGTCGTTGTTTTCCCTCTATTTATTTAGGATTATTATTTTTCTCATCCGCTTGTATCATCTAACTAGTTAAGCTTGCAACCCTCATTACATTATGTGTAGAATAATGAAAACATTGAGAAAGGGCTCCTTAATATGAGGTGTCATGATGGTTTAAATAATGAAGCTTTGGTCTTCAGGTTCCCGGGCCCAAAGCCAAGACGGAACCTGCAAAACAAGCCTTGTTATTACAAAAAAAAAATAAATAGAAAATAGCAGCGTTCAATCTGCTTATTTAAAAAAATGTAAATTATCATCTTAATATAATTTCTTTCAGAATTCATCTTAGGATTGACTGTCAGACGTACCCGCCAAAGAATGCTATTTTCATTTTCGTCCGTAGCAGGTCACTTTTCAGGCTCTGGATTCTCCCTTCAAGAAGATCAATTTTCTCGTGCACCGATTCCGAGTCTATGCCTGCATATACAAACAACAAACAATGTATCGAAGATATAAACACTTATGGAATCTCACGAAATTTGTATGGAATGGGTTTTCTTCTCAACTAGTAATCTCTCAAGGCTTTAAATAAATCTCTAAAACCTCATCATTGTAAAGCGCATTTTAAAATGTAATATGGAAAAAAATGCGTTATAGAAACGTAGAAGTATTAGTACAACTAGCTAATAGAGAAAGAGAATTTTAACTTGATTTTGAGCTGTACTTGGTGAAGTGTATTGACCCGTCGACTACTGAATTGTCTGGGTCCCATAGGTTCAACACAGGGACCACCAGGTTTCCGTAAGCGAAGGGTTAATATCTTCGTAAGTGTACGTGTGCATAATAATACTGGATCGATTTAGGTAGATGACTCATGCCAGAATATTCTGGATACCTCATGCGTACATGTAGGCCATGATATTAATGAGCGAGGGGCTTATTTACTGTAATGATTAAAATTGGTCGTTGCCAAACATGTACATTTATTTACAAATGCAAAGATGTAATGGGTTTTAGTGCATTGTATATATATATATATATATATATATATGCAGATCGAACAATATGGAAATATAGACTGTGATAAAGTGATAACGATGATTGGGCCTATCATCTCGGAAGAAAAAAAAGTGGGAAAAGAATGGAAAATAGAATGCAAAAATAAACCTTAATAAGTATAGACTAGTAGGACTCTTATAGACGAGAAGAGGCTTTGTCTTGCATCCGATTCACTTTGAAGCTGGTTTAGGTTTGACGTATAAGATTTATGTAAAGTTCAAATTAGGGTCTGTGCTTAAAGACTATACGACGCGTCATGCGGTCCGGGGATTCCCCTATACGTGATATACAACGAGGGACGCATTGCGCATGATCAAGGGGGTTCCCAAAAATGAATTGCGCAATGCATTGCAAAAAACCCCTTGATATATATATCAAGAAGGGGCAAAATTTAGGGGAGATAGATAACCAGAAGCTTCAGTGTGTTTGATGGATATCATTTCAACATAATGCAATAAGTATACAAATGTAACTAGATCATGAATAGATAATAAAATCGGCCTACATCAATCGTGTTTGGTTGGATTTAATAGAATCAAAAAGGATGTGAATAATGAAGGCTATTTGGAATGAAGTAAAAGGTGTAATACAGGTTTATACCATTTCGATGTTGTGTAAATAATTATCATTTTTTAGTCTCTAGATTGTGAAATTTTTTGAAAAAATTGAGGTTCCTAAATTGGTTTAATATTTCGATTGTAGCCACCACATAGTTATTCATTTATTTTTGTACCACTCACTTTGTTTACTATATAAGTTCATTGAGTAACTGATTTCTACCATTGTGTGATTGTTATGTATCTCTGTTTTTAATTTGTATTTGAAATCCAACCTTCTTGATTGCAATAAATAGATTAAAAATCCTTGTTGCGATTCAACTTTTTCCCTATGTTATAGTTCCGTTTGTAGTTACGGACGTGTTAATTTAATTACTCATTCCTAAGAATTATTTGAGATGTTTACACCTACGAGCATTGCTTTTTAGTGGCCCCTCTGTTTCCAATATGTATTCCTACATTTGTGGTAAATGTTCATAATTGATTTGTAATGTTTTGTTGGAAACATAAATAAATTGAAATTGAAATTGAACTTTATAATAATCATTTCTACATGATTGTTTAGGCTGGTCTTAGAATACATCACTGTTTGATATGATTATTGTAACCATTTAAAAGCTCGATGGAAACAAAAAAAGGATTGTCCATGTACTATCACTACATGAACTGCGTTACAATGTATTCGGTAAAGGAGGATTATGCGATTTCTCAATCAGCGCGACGGCTTGGGGATTCCCCATTACGTCTGGGCATAAATAGTCTACGTGTCAAGCCCATTAATTCGTCGTCCATTACGGAGGCCTATTATGTTGTTATGCATATAATATCCCATCTGCAAGTTAATTATGCCAATTCAAATCGTCCATGTCAAATATACATGTTTGTAAGTTCCTTGTCAATTAATCCTCATCTATTCCTTGTCAAAGATGTTGGGCAAATTAATGAAAGGAAATGAATAAATGCATGGATGAACAATAAATGAACGAATGAATGAATGGTATTTTCCCTCTTTCTAAATCCATCTGAGACGTTAACGTATGGAATTCGAGGATGCAAAGCATGCTCCATCTCTCTCTCTCTCGCTCTCACTCTCTCTCTCACTAGTGACGGATGGGGGATTTTGGTAATAAATAAACCACCACTCTTTAAAGGTACTTTGTCCCATTTGCAGCCAACATCAAATTTTGTATAACTTTGCAGGAATTATGAATATGTCACACGTATACCCTATTCAATTTTGCAAGGAAACCCATTTACTCTATAGACGTCCGTGTGAGACACTATTGAGTGACTGACTTCTTTAATAATAACAATATAAAATGAGCTGTAAAGGTACATGAGCATTTGTCTACATCAATAACCCACTTCTTGTAATGGCCAAAATTAAACTGATTGAATCTTTGCGCAGCACAAAACGTACGACCATTCGGTTAAAGGGTATGAAAATCAGACTCTTACTTAAATGATTGCAATCACTTAAATCGATTCGACAACTAATGGTCGTTATTTTCCTACTCAAAGCCATTTTCAAGCCATTCGTTTTGAGAGAAGTTCTATATTAGCATTGTTTTTCAAATGCCTTTGGAATTTAACATTTTCATTGTATGGCCTGCAATTGGGACATAGGGCACTACCTTTAAGGGAAACATCATTTTAAGTCAATCAGTTGTTGAAATGTTTGACAACGTAAGTATACGGGACTGTTATTATAATGGAAATTCTCTTTACATTCCTTTAAATTACTAAAAAAAATAGGTTTAAAACATCATAAAATGAGTCCAATTCTGAAATCATACCCATTTGCATTAAAGTCGGATTTTCCTTCGCGCGAGAAATCTCGGTGCCTGATGGCAAGAACCCCCCCCCCCCCCCCTCAATCCTTATCCACCCTTCCAACTCCTCGGAATGGACAAATCCTTTCCTTCCTTCTTTTTAAATGCAGAAAGTACGACACATGCTCTCATCCGACGGTTGTGCGCGGGCAAAATCCTCCAGGAGCCGAATGCCTTATGTCAACCCTGATCCAAATACTTGACCAAGAACCCTATTGCCAGGCCCGTAGCCAGAGTTTGATGTTTGGGGGCACTACATGTAATCGATCGAGGAAAAAAAAAAAAAAAAAAAAAGGAGGGTCTAAAAAATTTCAACCGATCTTGGAAATGTTTGGGGGCACGTGCCCCCCCCCCCCCCCGTGCCTGCCTGTTGCAACATTGTTAAGCCAAGGATTTACTAGTTGGTTATGCCCATAAACTGCACACTAGACACCATTCTTGCAAAGTTTGCGTTAAACGATTGATGCACTTGCTCTATTAGCACAGTTAACGTGGTAATTATAATGACGGCTATTGTACAACGGGATTTACCCTATATGACACAACAATGCCGGAGCAATAAATGTCGCTGAAACACCTCCCAAGCAATGAAGGGTAAAATGATACACACCTACGAGTGGCAATTCTTCCAGCTTATGTTTAATTCTGCTGATGAGGTCACCTGTGACATCATAGATTAATTGCTGCTGTCTCTTCGCCTGGGCGAACACCTCGAGATGAGCCTCTGAAACAACTATTCTTGAAGACTCCATCAATTATCCCATACCTGCGTAACGACTTTTGAATTGTATAAAATCTTTAAAATGTTGTGACCAACCGTTCATGAAGTGGGTATGACTATCAACCGAGGTGTCTTGGTCTGAAGTGCAGTGTTTATTAGAACATGCCCATTTCGATCGAAGAGCAAAATAATGCAACTGACACTCTTTTCAGAGCCTATTATGATGACATTTTTATCTACCTTTTGTATTCGCTGCCAAAACCACAAACATTTCATGCAAACAGAGGGGCATTGCGAAATCCGCATAAAAGGGGGGAAAAGGGCTAGTTTTCGACTCCAACATCTGTATTTCCTGTCTCTACTTCTTCGTTCTTTCCCGTGTCTCTCTCGCTCTAGTATTCTCCGCATATCTGTTTTCTCTATCTCTCTCTCTATCTCTGTCTCTCTGTCTCTCTCTGTCTCTCTCTTCCTCTCTAACTATCTCTCTGCCCCTATCTCTATAATATATATCTCTATATCTCTATTTCTCTCTCTCACTCTATGTTTCTTTCTCTCTCTCTCTCTCTCTCTCTCTCTCCCTCTCTCTCTCCTATCTCTGTATATTTTATCTCTATCCCACTATCCCTCTAACCTGGATGGAAGGATGAAAGGATCTGATGCACGCAAAGATTGATTTTTATATATCCTTTACGTAACTTTTTTTATTTCATCATTAATTTCGTTGCATAGGAACAGAAATAGATAGACCATAAATTCTTAACAATGCTAATTGGAGACGTGCTCTTAAACGAGATAAAGGGAACAGGAAATCAATATTTGAGCAACTACTAGTGTGTACAAAAATACAAATAAAAGTGACAAATTGGGTATATCATGATCAGAACGTTCATGTATATTTCTTATAAAACTATCTCTTACATCACTATTGAGCATATTTCAAAAGAACAATTTGCATACAAGATGTAAAAAATCCACATATTTTTTCAATAATAATAATTTACAGATTTTCACCTAAATATAGATAAAGAAATCATGTCTAATTAGGGGTGTCATTAAATTATTAATGGGTAATTTTAACTTTGTTGTTATCACAAGTATGCAGAAAACTGATTTTTTTTTTTATCGCTCAGGGTAAGGTAAGGCCTTTATGACTGTCGTGATTGTGACGTCACAATGAGGCATTATTTCTTGTCAAGAACTACATACCCTGTCTTTTGGGCATTATCATAATAGGCATAATTTTTTATTTATTTTTTTTTAGAAAGCACAACAATTTTCAGCATAGAATATAATTTTTGTGCAGTATTTTTTAGTTACTTACATGTAAGTAGATATTATAGTGCGCTATATAATATGATAAAAAGTAAACATACGCATATTCACCCACGCATACACACACATGTACGTACATTTTTCCCAATATAAAATATATATATATATATATTGTTTTGATATCAAGCTCAGCTTACATTTGGAGACCCCTGCAATACGATACATCGTGCGATATAAAATATATTAAGATAGATAATGCAGTTATATGCACATTACCTAACAATATTGAAGAAAAGAATATAATAGTGATTTTCATTCACTATATTGATAATTAAAATATCGAACAACGCAGGGGAACAGAACAGGTCTAAATATGCATGTCAATAGAGTTTATAACACATAAGTCATATTTACAATTTGATATGCGGGAAAAGTACTTTCTTAAAAGCGATAGGACAAAACATCATAAGAGGGGAAAAGTATTTATAGATTAAAAAGACAATAATCAATAAATAGTACTGTTAAAATAAATATACTTTCTTTAAACACGACAGGAAAAAACATCATAACAACAAAAATAAGGTATTTATAAATTTAAAAGATAACAATCCCCAAATAGTACTGTTTTATATTTTTTTTAAACGTTACAAAGCCTGGAATGACACATGTTTGAGCACTTTTAGTAGGTTGGATCAAGCCAGAGTAATATAACCTGTGTAGCACCAAGAGAATATAGCACCGAGACAATATCTATTCGTGTTAAGCCTAAGTCACACTAGAGTTACGACCGGTCGCCGACTCCCGACAACCACTGGTCGGTAGTAAGTTTTCAGAGGTCGGAAAGAGGTTATTGGCAGTTTATAACAAAAGTTGTCAGTGGTTGGCGGTTGGTCTCCGTAGCATTTTGGTCGGCTGGAGGTTTACGCTACTGCACAGGCGCGGATCTACGAGGGGGGCTAGGGGGTTTAACCCCCCCCCCCCCCTTGGGCCGCCAAAAAAAAAAAAAAAAAACGCACACTGGAGAGAAAATCGCATCGCCGCTACGCGGCTCGTGGACGATGCTTTGCATCGTCATTGGGTCAAACCCCCCCCCCCCTTAGCAAAAAGCTAGATCCGCCCCTGCTGCATCGGAAACCCTTTGCCAACCAAACTGGTCGCGCTAATGTTTTTTCTTGGTTTTCCATCTTTTGACACAGTTCTCAGGCTGATTGGCGATTCAAAACAAAGTTTGACGACTATTTCCGGGCGATATTTGGTTGGGAACGGAAACTGCTCGACGAGACGATCAGTTTTCGCTTAACACATTTCTAATTTTGCTGATAGTGGTCTACTTTTGGTTGTCAGAAGTCTTAAAACGGTTCGTATGCCTAGTGTGACTTGGGTCTCCATAACAGACATTTTTAAAACTCTATTATACATTTTTTTTATTTTAAATCTGAGGATAGTACAAAATATGAAAATAATAACATTTTTCACACTCTAAAAATCTAATTTCATGGTGGATGTTGATCAACCAATAACCTTATCAACACCTGGGGCCCGTTTCACAAAGCCTTTTTCAATGACAAATTACAAAAATCAATGACAATTCTGCCGATAACCAATCAGAAGCAAGGATTTCAGTAGCTTATAACACAAACTTTCATTTGTCATTGATGACAAGTTTTGTGTAGCGCTCCCAGGGCATTGTTTCACGATACCGTCATAAGTATAAGTTCGTCGATGCCCCATTGAGACACTTATTCATCTTAAAGGCACACTGTCCTACTTGTAGCTACTTGCGCCCTCTATATAACAAACAATCCCCATTAGGTGCCCGTTGGTCCCCCATGATCCTCTTTTGCTTATGTTAAATGAGATGTTAGCTGAGTTAATGAGATAGCCACCTGTCACAGTGACCTCGCTGGCTCGCTGGGTGGTCTAACCCCTTCTAGCTGAAGTAGAACTTGTACTTATGGCGATTTCGCTAAACGATGTCCACAGTGATACAAATTATGTCTCAAGCTTATATGTATGTCAGTTCAGCTTTAACATGTGTGACTTTAGTTCATATTTTATTCCTTCATACCACATATAAATACTATATATGGGCATATAGTGATTTTTCTTTTGCTTGTGTCTCTGAATTCAGAAGCCCGACTCAGGTGGTCTGGAACAAATTTACCTCTGTCATGTCTTGTATAACAAGATTTTTTAAATTACATTGTTACAATGGGTGTCACTGACTCATCTGACTATTCGGTCATGTGATCATCGCTGTTGTCTTTGCATTTGATCTGGTCTGCCTCAGCCCTTAATCAACAACAAAAAAGAGAAAAAAGAATAACGTTAAAATAGTAATCATGTTCTTTGTACTCGTATTGCATGAGGTGTTTATATAAGTCAAACAAGTAGAAATAGACATGCCTGAACATCTCTAGAAACGCTTTAAGGATATTCCCTTCTCAGACGTAATTTGAAGGTGAAATATTTTATATTTTTCTGCCCATATCTTCATCAAATTTAACACACAGAATTTGTCTTGAATTCTTTTTTTGGTGTCATTATTGAGGAGGGATTTTGCCATTTTCAGTCAAACTCATTTTACATAAATATGTGTAAAACAAAAATTAATCATTAATCAAGCAAATCATTCAGCATAAATTTGCTTTCTTAACTAATTTCTTTGTTAATTTTTATTGTATTCTTATTATCTGTAATGTTACCCTTTTACATGTATTTATGTATTTCAAATTTCATTTTTGTTTTATTTTGTTAATACTCTGTATGTATTGTATATGTTTTTTATGAAGAATGAAATAAATACTATACCAAACCATTAATAGTCAAAATCGTCTTAGTGGTAAGCTCTTTAGAAACATGATAAAGCCACCCATATATAATGACTGTGCATATCGTCTCCCTTGAGAAAAAAAACGTGTGTTTTAGAAACTGTCTAGAAAGGCTACCTGTCAAGAGTGGCCACTTTCTCTGTTTCCCTTGGGTAGTTTTGACAGACAGTTTCGGCTGTACATGTATTGTATTTCAATCGTGTATACGAACTTCACTATGGGAAATGCAATAATTACCTAAGATTGACGAAATCTGTGGAAAGTTGTATCATTTGGGAATGCTTCTCCTCCAACTTCGCCTTCTGTGTTTGGAGAACTTCCTGCACTTCACGAATACAAGTCTCTCTGTAGTACCCATCAGCGTTGTCGCAGAATCTGTCCAACATTATATCGAGAGAAATTGTGTTCCATCATAATGCTCGGGTGACAATTGCTCAGGGCCGATATTGTCCAATATTTGGGTTTTAGGTTAGGTAAAAGTTTTGGGGTTCAAGGGGCGGTCACACATAGTGGACGCACAGGGGACGCACGGCCCACGCATTGAAAATTTGCAATTTTGGCCAGTGCGTTGTCGTTCGCTAGGTGTGCGTCATCATTCGTTTCTTATTCGTCAAACGCGCTGGACCAACGCTATGCATTCGACGTCATTCGCTGTGTGCGTCGGGATTTTTTGAGCATGCTAAAAAATGTGCTTGGAGCTCGACGCATCCACGTAAACGCCAAAAGGACGCCAGACACGCGCAGAGCGCGGTGGACCAACGCCAGACATCACGAAGCACATGCTGTGTATTCGTTGTAAGTTCGGCGGCCGAACGTAATGTAGGCCTACATGGTTACAAATTAATGATACTGACAGTCACATTAAAGTTTGTATACTCATATAGTGCGATTAGTGTTGCCACTCATTGTAAATCATCAATATGGCTCGTTCAGATGTGAAACGGAAAACACTTAAGTAAAAAGAACGCAGCGTTTTAGTTTTATTGTGTGTTTGTGTTGGGGATTGGTTTTTGTTTTTGTTTAAATGTAATGAACGGCAATTGTGCGCAACAAAAGTCCTGCGAGTATTCAGAGATAGTATAGAAACGTTAACAGAAATGTGAAGCGTATTAACTCTACAACGCCGTTGTTTACCGGTGCCATAATTATTATATAATATAGGCGTGAAGAAAATGGTCTAGGAAAGTGAGACGTAGCTGTACTTGACAATTTTCGTACGAGCTTTCGGCTTGTGAGGCCTTCTTCAGGTTCCGAAGTGCAAACACATATATACAAACAAATACATTATATGAACACATATATATATATATATACATGGCATACAAACTTAATATCGTCTCACGTTCCTTAGACCATTTTCTTCAAGCCTACATATTCTGGATCACTCTTTGTCATGTCAGAGTTGAGAATTCTCGCACATATATATATTTATATCGAGGCGTGAATAAAATGGTCGAGGAACGTGAGACGTAGCTGTACTTAACAGTTTTATTACGAGCTGAGAATTCTCGCACTTTTATGTATATATATATATATATATATATGTATATATATATATATATATATATATATATAATTTTATTATACAAAATAAAGGAACGACGGTGAATATTATTGAAAAGCACTCACATCTCTACTGCTTCGCGGCATTTTACTCTGATAGGAGGACAGATCAGGAAGTCTTTCTCTTTGGTTGTCAGCCTCTCTAACTTCTGCTCCACAGAAACCCTGATCCACTGCCGAACATGCATGAAGAAAACTCCTGTAGCAGCAGCCATTCCGCGTATTAGGGCATTACGTTCTGCGTCAGTTTCGACTGCATGCAAAGAGGGTAGAGAATTAGAACCAGTGCACACGAGTTGTTGTTGGTTATGCACGATTCAAGGACAGTGGGGCATCAATGCTCAGGACAAGTCCAGGTGCATTACTAACAATATCATACCATTGTCTTCCTCTTTTTTCCTGGTTATTGTGGTTATCTATAAAATATCTTTTAGAATTCGCATCTCGCCGTAAATTTAATTTAGAATAGGCTATTTGAGTGTGGATAATTGACAACGGTATTGTACAAACTGTTGTTGTTTCATACACCTATACTTTTGTGAGTGGAGCTGGATAGTGGCGGAGAGCGGGCACAGTCAATGCGGGGGGAGCAGCCTCCCGGGGGACCGGTCTTAGAATACTGGATGGACTATATAATTGTAAATTATTAATGATTTTGATCAGGGAATTTTGCTTCGATCGTGGCGTCTTATTTTCACATTCCTTCGCCTTTTAAACTTTTTTTTTTTTGCAGTTCGATGAGGGACACGTGCCCCTGTGCCCCCCCCCCCCCCCCCCCCCCGTAATACGCCACTGCATGTGTAGCTGGGAATCCCAAATGTCCAATATTCAATACGCACCTGAGGAGAGTCGTCGACGAGTGGAGGCGAAGGAAGCCCAAACGGGGCGAACGTTGATACCAGATAGCACCCTCTGCAGCGCGGCTCTGGGAATCGGTGATCCAGGGATGGAATTGGGCTGTTCTTGTTCGTCTTGGTTATCAAGCAGATAGGCCCTGGGAGTGTCCTGGGGGAACATTGCCATGTGCTTCTCATAGGATGCTGTTCAATAGAATAAGGGGAAGAGATTCGTTCGATGACAACAAATAAATCTCAGGAACCGATGATGGTGATTGTAATGCAGTTAGCCTATTGCACGTCCCAGAATGAACAGACAAATAGGAGCAAATATAAATATTTTAATTGGTGCATCAATTTTCTTTCTATCTTCATAATGTTGCCTCATTAATTTTTTTTCCTGTTTCTTCTTTGCTTAATCAATATCTGCTTACATTCGTTGTCTTCAGTAAATCACATAACAATTTGTTTTCATCTATTGAAATTGGACTAAATATATTGCAAACATAAAATTATAAATTTCTATTTTGATTAATGAACGAATGATTATTTACTAATTGAATGCATGATCATTGTCGAAAAAAGTGCAACATTGAATTGTTTATGCCCTTGTAATAAATATATTATAAAGTTTTCCTCACCTCGTACATAGAAGGAATAATCCTCACATACTTTATCCGTAGCTCGCTGAAACTCATCTAATATCTTTCGATACCAGATTAAGATTGCTCTCTTCATAGAAAGAAAAACATGATGACGGCTGTTACGAACACTCCACAGTCATTCAAAAAAGATGAAAATCAATCTTAAAATTGACAGCTGAGAACAAAAAGTTATTCAAATAAGTATCAAGAATAAGTGAAAAGTAATGCAGGAGGAGGTCAAATAACGTTTGTTGCACGCAAGTATTTGACGAAGTGCAACGATTTCCGAGGCGCCACGCGTGGCTTAAAGAAGAGAGGGTATAGTTATGTCATCTCCATCTCTAACACGATCTGGACCTACTGAAAACCTTACATTGACAAAAAGGGTGTCACACCAGGGGAGTGTTTCATCGCACAATCTGAAGGTAGGTCTGAATACCAGGTTAGATAAACCATGGGGGTGTTTTACAAAGACTAAGGTCGACTTTAATTTGAACTTAACTATGGCAGGCCATTCATGACACTGCTTGCTCTCACCATTATTATCTTTAGATTATTTTTACTTCAATAATGAATTATCAACAAATATAAATTCTGTAGAATGTGACCACGATTTGTACGTCCTTTGAGAGACCAATGCCAGTAAATGGTGAGAGAAAACAGTAGCATGAACAGCCTTCCATAGTTAAGTCCAAGTCGATCTTAGTTTTTGCGAAACACCTCCAGGTCCTCTTTAACATTATATCGACCAACAATCTAATGTAAACTGATGTATCTCTTTTCTTGCAACAACTACAAAGATTTGTATAAGCTATAACGTAGAATTAAGTGAACGTTACGACTTACTGAGGGAGACACGATTAATCTAGAGAGAAAGGGTCAATAATTGTAAATCTTTTTGTTTCAAGGCCCTGGGCCCTGTTTTATCAAACGTTTTATACTTTTATTAGCAACAACTGCCACATGCAGATCTATGTCAAATCTGCTCATAGTCAATGAACTTTAAGGAATTCAGTATCTAATAATATTTGTCGTATCTTGTTATTCAGGACAAGTTTTGTTTTTATAAAACAGGATCCGATCTTCTAAACATAGTGCACTCACCTCAGCATACTGATGGACCTGATCTTCCTCGAATCCGTCATTGTCTGAATTTATTCTCAAAGTTTGAGACATCTTGTCGCTAACTTCAGCCATGCAACGAGATATCTGTCACAAAAAGAGACGCTGAACTTGAAACGTATGGCAAGGGACCGTATTGTTTCACGACACTGGATATGTTAGAAAAGCGATCGTCATTTAGATTTTAAAGTAGCCTATATAATCAGTACATCACGACCAAACAACAACGTTCGAATATTGAATCCAATGGCAATTCCAATACCATGAACACATTATTGTAATGCCTGTTGAAACCTTTTTCGGATATAGTTTTGTGTCATTGTAATGTTGACACATTTCAGAAGATAATGAACAAGGCTATTGAAGATGCCTCAAGGTTGAAACATATGATACATCTAAACTTCCTATAGAATAACGGTGGTAGGGAAGCGAACGGGAGGGGTACAGTGCCCCATTTTCTAACCACTCAATTTTTCCCTTCTAGAAAATGCCCTTCTTTCACGACGATCACTTGCCTGTGTTCTCAGAGTCCGCTTAGACTACTACAAAGAGCAATTTTAATCAAGACTTACCGATTCGTCAATTGTTACCAGAGCTTTCGTTCTCAGGTCTTTACTTTCCTTCACAAATTCAGCCATTTTCTCATCGTATGATTTTAATTTGCTCCTTATGGACTCAATATCATTCTTGAAATCAGACCTATGCATGAAAAAACAAAATGGTAATGTTACGTTTGCATAATTTTATGTCCTATTTGTCCACTGAATCAAATAAGAGTATGTTTTTGTTCTCATTGTTATATCAGTGAAGTACTGTGTTGTTCATAAAGCTGAAACATTATTTTGTGTACATCTTTTCATGAAATTATTATAGAGAACCTGGTTTATTTTTATGGATATAGTCTACACATCTTCCCCGAACTTTATTGATCAACCTCTCTAAACAATAACTGATATTTTCACAAGCATTTCATAAAAGAGATGAGAAAAGATTATTTAAACTTTATGGGCAACAGTTTAGAATTAAAGGATTATGCATAGATAGGGTATGTAGTCAAGGGGGTTCTTTTCAAATTGAAATATTCTTCGGGTCGGCTTTCATAGCTGACTCCTTTTACATCTCTGGCTTATTGCAAGGTATACGTACGTCTTGTTTTGCATGCGTTTCTCCAGTGCTGACAGACTTCCGATGCACTGATGTAGGACTTCTTGGCATGTGTCACGGTTCAGATTTAGTTTGGTCGTTATCCCCGCTGATGTCGCCCTCTCCTGAAATAAGGTAGAAGCAAAGAAGATTTGACCTTAAGAACATAAGACGGTTAAACTGTTCTTCTTTTTACAACTCTTATTATAGATCAGGGTCCTGTCTTCAAAACGGTCCGGGTTGAATACTTCAAACATGGATGAGATCTTAAGCTATTTATCATCTAAATTTTAGATTTCTTATCATCTCTACTTTATCCAACTTACCTCAATTTTGGAGATGAAATTCTGGAACGTCTTGAATCTCTCTTCCCATCCCCTGACCAAGAATCCTTAGAGAGACAGAGAAAATATGAAAGGGAAACAAATAATCTTTCAAACACCTTCTCACTATCATTCAAGACTCAAGGTCATGATAATGTACCAATCGGTCGTTGTTTGAGTGTATCTACATGTAGTTGTTCAAGCGTTGCCTTTTCGTAGAGTTGTCTAATAAGTGAGGGTGAGAGTATGTCCCATCCATCCTATATTAATATTAATACTTTTCATGGATTGTAATTTCCAGCGAGAGGCATCGCCATTGCAATCCTACCCTGGTAATAACTTCATTGGAATGGAAGCAGAACAAATAAGAGACACAGAATGGCGAAAGTTTGAAAAAAATCAGACCAATAATAAGGGAGATATGAATGTTTGAAATCTAAGATCACTAAATCCATGCGAATCTTAAATTGGCAACTATAACCAGTCTGCTTCTCTGATTCTTTTGATTTAGTTTAGAGCAGTTCTCTGTTAAAATTGGATTTCCCTTCAAAGCATTTCCACACTGCTCACAACTTATTTGCACATGCATGTTAGTACCTGCTATTTATGACTTTTAAAGATTAGTAGCTTACCACTCGGCGACGTTTTGCCTAAAGGAGCCAGTATAGGAACTAGGGAAACGTCGCGGAGTAGTAAATAGATCTACTTCTTTTAATTCATAATTCGCTACTAATTTCTACGGAACTGGATGAATCATATCTTAATAAAACTATATGATTTGTAAAGTTTGGATATCATTTTTACTTACCTTCCTCACCAAGAGCCAAGTCAAGAGCCTCTCTCCCAGAGTAAAAGAAACATCTTTCCTCTGCTTCCTCTCTCGTATTAACGACGTCGAGTTCTTTCAGCATCTCAAATATCGAGTCGACATGGCGAGCTTTAACCTGAATAAAACAAACAATTTTTTTTTATCTCCTTTTTTTTTCTCGATGAATTAGCGATTTTTATGTCGAAATTAATGATATTTTCTTTAAATGATCTGATAAACTTTGACTTTTTAAGTGCAATTAGTCGTCTCTCTTTTAATGTATGATAAAAAAGAATCAGTGTCTATACATAAAATGGTATGTTCCATAATAATGCCAGTAAATCAATGTTATGTGGCTCTGGGTCCTGTTTCATAAAAGTTATCATTAATGACATATAATATATCACATATCTATGACAAATTTTCCAACACCTAATCAAATACAATTATCTCATTAGCTTATTACAATGTTAAAGGTAAAGACCAGTTATGGTCATGCGATTGCATTGTGAAAGAAACGTTGTGGAATCGATCAGAAAAGGTTGATCATCTAGCATCTAGCATCTGCAAGGTTCTGGAATCATCAAAATGATAAGAAATTTGGCCCATTCTTCGTAAAGTTACAAGCACTATACACAGAAAGATGTATATGGGACTACCCTATATCTCTCACAGACCATGAGAGAAACAAATTTACCAAATAAATGAATTAGTAGGCGGTTTCCCGGCAAATTTTTTATCATCATGTATTAGTCAAAACATATTCTTTCACATGATTGGTAATGAGAGCTTCCATTTCATTTTTTGAAATTGGGGCGTTTCCAATACTGGTCTTTACCTTTAATTCATAACAACTATTATGAAACAGGGCCCAGAGCCACATAACATTGATTTACTGGCATAACTAAATCGAACTAAACCCCTCCACCCACTTACCCTCAACCCCCCCCCCCCCCATAGCAGCATCTCCTTTAATCAATCATACCTTTTCAAAATGTATTAACTTACAACTAATTTTATGTTAAAGTAAAATGAAGAAGATAAACAAATTCATTGTAAGAAACAATGATTTCTATCAAGAATTACGATGCAGTTAATTTTGTTCTACTTTAAATTGATGGAAAGCCTATATTAATGCTCTAAGGCGCAGATAATAATGATTTGCGCTCTCCAAAATGAATATACAACAACTAAATTGACCATTCTTGTTTTAGGATAAAATGTTCTTAATCAGTCTTGATGAGTGGACTAGTAGAACAAAGGTAAATATTTCCCAGCAACTTCTGTTCATGAGCTAACCTCTTCAGGGCGTCTTTCTCTCGCCGATAGATCCCACTGAGTGAAACCGACGATGATGTCCGGCTTAGGAAGACGTTTGCCGACCTCCACGAAATGATCTCGCTCCTAGAAAAATATTACAATTCAGTTACAACATGTGCTCTTAACACTTATTCAGGTCTCTCATTTTCTCCACTTTCCTGCATTTTTTTAAATAACAAACTAGCGGAGAACAAGATGACCACAAGAAATGATTGAAATTGTATCAGATTCTTTCGGGGGAGGGAGTTACATCATTATTCCAACCGTGATTGCTAATAGTTTCATATTGAAATGTTCTGTAATACTTTGTATTGGAATCACGTAATCTATTTTCTCCTGATCAAAACAACTAAAAAATATGATTGTCATGAGTATCGATATTCGTAAATAGCTAGACTATGATTTGTTTTTATAAGAAAATAATATTTGAGTGAAATAAACATTTGCGAACATACTTCCGGTGACATGACGGTCTTTGGATTCACAATAAGTACATGAACGTCTGAGTCTGCGCAGAAGGCTTTCACTTTATCGCCAAGCTCTCGACATTTCGTAATTCCAGGACTGCATATATAAACAGGAGATATGAGAAAAGCGAATGTTTTTGATAGAGCAAGGGTGGATCCAAGATTCCGTATAAAAGAGGGGGCAGAATTGAAGAAATTTCTGACGAGCAAAAAAATATTGTTTGTATTATTCAGGAAAATAGGGTCAATTGTGCCCCCCCCCCCCGTCCTATTATAGTCTCTGCCATTTTGGTGATGGATGACAGAGCTAGGTAAAAACATGACCCTAATTATTCCATGGAAAATGGCGAAGGAATGTTTTTGTCAGTCACGAAATTATATAATCTTATACGACTCTAGAATTAATCCCGCTGATCCAAGAAAGGATGATCAAAGTAGAAAACGATGGGCAAAATGTGCCCGATAAAGACATGTAGATACTAAGATGACTCATCAGTCCATGATTTGAAGATGGGGCTCTGTGACGCCATCTTCTGTGAAATGAATTTCTATGGGGTTATATTTTAAAGATTAGTTTCAGGGTCAGGGCTAGAACTTAGGGTCATGGTTGGGGTTAGGGTGACTGTGTTGTGGAATTCTACTGCTGTTCCAAATCACAGTCGCCTATAATAATAATAATAATAGCTCACAATTTTAATGCGCCTAATACTTTGTTTATAGGCGCATCATATTATTATAATGACTAGCAAGGATCATTAAATGACTTACCAATCCATAATTTGAATATCATAATTCAGCAAATGGTCCTCTTTGACGTCACCTTCTGAGAGGTGAATTTCGATGAGATAACTTGCATCCAAGGATCGACCTGAATTTGCATTGCACATATCTTCTAGGGTCTAAGGAAAAAATAGGTTCATTAACTATCCAATGGTATAAAATAGTACTTTGGAATACTGAGATTTGTTATCATTTTTATTGATGTTGTTGTTATCATTATTATTATTATTATTATTGTAATATTTGTTGAGAAGACATTCGGCCACTCTATACCATTAACAAACAAAGATTCACAATACATCGATAAGTGATTGCTGCTTATTTCATTTCGCTCTGAGGTGTCTCGTTTTATGTTGTTCAGAATCACTTTCAGATTCGTGTAGAAGTATTGTGTTGTAATGAACAGCTGATTAATTGGGCGTCTTTGTTTAGTAAAGGAACTACGAGTGACATGCACATTGCAATTTTTAATTGATTGTTGATTGATTTCAAGATCAAATGTTTTCAGGCGATTAACGATCGGAAGACTCTCAAAGTGTGAAATGTAGCATAACTATACTGTGTGAGTCAAAAAAAAGTTTACACCTACAAAATTGTTAATTATTTCATAAATAATCTATGAACAGTAAATTATTATACATCTTATAAAAGAGTGTTTTATCCCGAATCGTTTGGTATCATTTTTCAGATTCAAGCATCATAACCGTTTTAAAGTTATATATACATATATAACTTTAAAACGGTTATGATGCTTGACGTTTTTAAGCCAAGCAGTTTTGAACGGAAAGCAGTAGATAGACAGAGAGAGAGAGAGAGGGGGGAGAGAGAGAGAGAGAGGGGGGAGAGAGAGAGAGAGAGAGAGAGAGAGAGAGAGAGAGAGAGAGAGAGAGAGAGAGAGAGGGGGGATGGGCATGTAATGCCCGAGCCTGGTGATGAAAGATGGATATACGAACATTTTGGTTGAGAGGTTGTTTGTTTTCCATCAAGTAGTTAATCGACGCTTCCTTTTCTCGACTCTCGACTTCTCTAACGGAGAAATATGACGTTTCTTCTTGGTCTTCCCTTTTCACCCTCGCGGAGTTATCCTTATCTGCATTGCCTTTCGAGTCTCCTTTATCAGTGACGTCATTGGTCATCTTCTCAATCTGGACGAAGCAACTTGTCGTATCACCCATTCCAGAAGGTAGAAGTTCGCGCCCAATCCCTGGCGCAATCATGGCGTTCAGAGTCGTTGTCTTCCCGCTACTCGTCCTGACGGGGAAATATGACATATTACAAATGTCACATAATTATAGTCTTTTTTAATTCTAGGATGACAATTATACGGTGTAGAAAGGATAGGGATGGAGAAAATGGGCTATAAGCAAAGTAACGTTGCCTGAATATACCTCTTCCAGAGTAAGATTTCAAAATGCCCGCCCCCCCCCCCCCAAAAAAAAAAAAAAAAAAATAATAATAATAATAATAATAAATAATAATAGTAATAATTAATGAATAAAGGATCACAGGCTCAATCGGGGAAAGGGAGGACCGGGGATTTTATTTCCCAACGATTTGTTTTCCCTTTCAATATAGAGGTTAAGCACTAATTTGAGGGGGTTATGAGCGATTACTCCCCCCCCCCCCCCCCCCACCTATTTTTTTTTAATAGGGCGGCCCCATCACCTCTCCCAGATCCTTCTACAAGGGAGGGGAATGGTGAATGTTCACGAGGCGATATTTCTATTTTTAAAAAACATACTCAAGCGGAATTGGTTTATAATTTGGTGAAGAATATCAAGTATCATATGCCTGACTAATCATTTAAGTTAAAGCTGGGTGCTTGAGTATGAAAGTAATATTCTTATATACTCGTGCTTACTTACCCACCAAAGAAGGCTACTTTCATTTTACTCCTCGATAAATCACTTTTTAGACTCTCAATCCTTCCTTCGAGAATTTCGATTTTCTCTTGAACAAACCTGGAGCCAACGCCTTGGCATTAAAGATATAAAATCGATGAAAAATATCATATATTGTTATATATTTGTTAAAGGACCATTAATATGGAATAGTAAACCTCAGGAAATTAAAAAATGCAAAACTCTCAATCTTTTTAAAATGATATAAACAATTTCTTTTAAATAAGTATAGTAATCAGTATTAATAGCATGGGCAAATTTTTGACACTTTTTTTACTCTGATCTTGCATGATAGTAAGTTTTAGATTGTTCTTTTTTTTGTTCTGTTCTTTTGTTCTCGTTTTCCTGTATGTGTGTTTTTAGGGTAGGCTTTTATATAAGGAATCCCTCCTTTCTGCCTTTCCCAAATGCTCTTATAAATTGCCATTGTATTTGTTATCACTTTCTTGTTTTGTATAACTCCATTCTGTATGTGTATGTTTTAAATGTTTTTATGAAGAGTGTTGAATAAACTTTGAATTTGAATTTGAATTTGAATGATAAATGGGTGTTAAAGGCAACCTCATCTTATTCCGAGAGATTTGTTATTTTCCATTGATCTACAACATTCCCCATGAAACTGTATGAGAGAGGCATAAAGCAAGAATAATGTACAGTTTCTCAGCACGACATGGGCATCGCCATTTTCGTGATAACGTGACGTACTATGTGAAGTCGTTAATCAAGTAAATGTATCCAAACTTATGGATGCTTCCTTCCCAGGTGTGTGTGGTGATGAACCCTTTCATTCACCTGCCATTATCTTTTGTACTAACATTGCCAGAACGCAAATTCCATAAATAAGTTGGTGCTCTTTTTTAGGGTGAAGGTTTCTCATAAATGAAATAGATTTGTCAATTGCTATGTTTTAGTATTTTTAAATGAATTAGTTACAGTTATTCCCCTGTATTATATTTTCACCAGATATAATTTCTATCTTCTTAGCTATGATTTTCCACTTTGAAAAGTAAAGGTTATGTTAATGGTTTAAAAAGTCTTTCCAACTAAATCTTGGGGCATTAAACACGTACAACTTCAACTGGTATAATATCACATTTTCAAGAAAATGGCTGCACTCATATCATCCTAAAAGACATCACATCATACCAAGAATATCTTCATTTGTACATCTCTTATACATCTTCGTAATGAATATTGTATTTTGTACATCAAAGGGCAAGAATACATCTAATTTTTCGGGAATACCTACACTTAGGTTCTTTAGGATGAGGTTTCCTTTCAATAAATATCACCGTCTAACAAGTAAGCATTTTGAACTCCTGCATTATCCATGAGTGCAACAAGTAGGCCTATTAGTTAACTTATAGTAAAATTGAGAATGAACTGCTTTATAATCACATAAGTAGCGGGCTGATGCATCTATACAGCTACACAGTTCAAATGTATAGTTTTACCGAGGAATGAAACTGCAAACTCATCTGTTTACTGCAAGCTGTGGGGGGATTCCCCAAAGCAAACTGATCTATTAGTGACGGGAATTCCCACCAAACATGCATGTGACCTGTTAAATGCACGTCATGGGAATCCCCGTGCAAACAATGTGTGCAACAATCTAGATCAACTCATGCAATTTGCAAAAGATGCCCTCGTTATCCATTTTCAATAAGAGAAATGGCATATATAGATTTAAAAAATGTCCAATCGAACGCACAGAATACACTGTGTAAGCAAAATACAGAATAATAAAGAATAAGCAAGCATCATGTAATATAATCACAGAAGCAACATTTGGATGAGGGAGAGAGACGAACATGGATAGATTAACCGTGAGATATATAAATTATAGATATATAGATGGATAGATAGATATATAACTAGATTCATAGTTAGATACATATACATGTAGATAAATGAATCAATAATGAATCAATAAATTGATTACTTGAGTAAATATATGAATAAACGGAGAGAAAAAAAGAGAGAAATTTCACTACCCAATTGCATTGTACACCCCGTATAAATCCGTATCTGATTATGTAACATGTCACCGTCAAGCTCTTGCATTTCAATATGAATAGGTAACGTACAAGCTAGGCTATCAAAATTGCCTAAGCTTGGTTTTTCGGAAGTGGTTGCTATCGTGTTAATTTGATATGATATTTGCCTATTTTGACGAAGAAAAGCTATATTATCTTCGTTAACATAACATTGTTAATATTGCCATATGCTTATATCTGTTGCATCATATTAATAAGCCTGCTTAGTCATCATTTTGCTCTATAGAGTGGTGAAGTGTGACGTCATCAAAAAATCTATTTTTAGAATTTCTCAATTTTTTCTTCATATTCCGAAAGAACACCAAAAATAATGTCCAAATGTAGAAAACCAATTGAATATGTTAAATATTGGCTGAGTTATGACCATCCGAATGAATATATGTCCTATGGGAACTCAGTGTTATATGCTCTGGCTCCTAACCATTAGGAGCCAGAGCATATAACACTGAGTTCCTATGGGGAGTATCTTTATTCAGATAGTCATATCTCAGCCAATATTTAACATATTCAATTGGTTTTCGACATTTGGACATTATTTTTTATGTTCTTTCGGAAAATGAAGAAAAAATTGAGAAATTCTAAAAATAGATTGTTATGACGTCACAGCTTCGGTACTCTATACTGTTCCTTGTCTTCTGTGAGGATAAAGTTGTCTGATCTTGTGGGTACGTGATATCGCCTTTTCTTTGTCGTGGTTTGTCCGAGATAATATTAGATTGTTATTATTACGCTACACGGGCACTGCTCGCGTACCACCACTTAATAAAACTAGTAATGTGAACGTTTCTCACCTTCGAATGATGACAGTTCATCCAGCTTGGTTTTTATTCTATTGATGAGGTTACCTGTGACATCATATATAAATTGCTGCTGTCTCTTCGCCTTGGCGAACTGTTCAAGATGAGCCTCCGGGACACCGAGCCGTGATGATTCCATCAGGTCTCGTATACCTGAACAGCACCTTTCGGCCAGTTTACACAGTCAAGTTGTTCAAACTACGCCCTAAACAAACATAAACCTATTTAAGAGGCTACCGAAAAGACTGGCGTAAGCTGCGTACATCCTTTCCAACTGTACTGGTGCAGAGTTTTGACAAAGTCATGTAATTTCAACCAACATCTAGATTATTATGACTGATTTCCGTTTTCGATTTTGATTTTAGCAGGTTTCCTTTGAACAATAGTGTAATAGAAACTGAGCATTCATTGAGAGTGTTGACTTTGTGGTTTCTTATAGTAGGGATAAACGCATTTCAAACTGTCATGTGACGTGGGTTTCCCCTTTTCGTGTGATTGTTTTGGTTAAACCAAGGTCAAACCATGAGGTGACACGCCAGCATTGGGTAGGCATGTAGAGTTGTGATGCTACCAAAAAATAGTTTTCAGCATTGTTACTGAAGTGACGTTAATGTTTTGTTTGTTTTTTGTTTTTGTTTTTGTTTTTTTTAGATTATGATACTAACTGCACTTTTCATTAAATTATGAACATCCAGGTGACGCATAGTGTCAGGACATGTAGCCTCAAATCAGTAAATATAATTGCACACTTGGGAACTACAGTACACGCATGCATGGTGAGGAGATGGGAAGTATGTGTAAGTTGTTCTACATGTGAACAGGAGACGGTGTGATTTTTTTTTCTTTCGGGAATATTTCGTACTCTCTCGATCCCCTGCCCCCCCCCCCCCCTCCTCCACCTTATCATTCCGGTCCAGAATTCTAGATCCGATACTAAAGCTATATGTTGGGGTCCTGTTGTAGGTGCAAATACTGAGAGAGAGAGAGAGAGAGAGAGAGAGAGAGAGGGGGGAGAAGCTGTAACCTTACTACTTCCAGAATCCTTGGGATAAGGCCGATGTTAAGACCAAACAAAATTGGAGACCGTGCCATCTTTTGCTTGCAGCAGGGAGGGGATATCTTATAGTAAAATATATTGCTCCTGAAATAAGATCAGCCTAGCCCCCCCCCCCCCCTTCTCACTCTCTCTTTCTCTCTCTCACTCTCTCTCTCCCTCACTCTCTCTCTCTCTCTCTTTCTTTCTCTCTCTCTCTCTCTCTCTCTCCTCCCCCTTTTCTCTCTCTCTCTCTCTCTTGTCTCTTTTTTCTTCTCTCTCTCTCTCTCTTGCGTTCTCCTTTTTTTTTTACCTCTCTTCCTCTCTCTCCATCTTTTCGTCTCTCTGTCTCCCCCCTCCCTGTTCTCTTTCCCTTTCCTCTCATATAATATTGCCCTCTTTCCCCCTCTTTCCGTCTAAATTTTGATCTCCTCTCTCTCCCTCTCTTGATTGCCATTCCTCTTTCTCTTTCACTCTAAACGCATATCATTGTGCATATGTAAATAGGAATCATTGTTCAATCTTAATTTTATATCAGCGGCATTTGTCTCCACCATTAAAGTACTCCACGATACATAATGGAATAATCTCGATAACTTTGTTTAGTTTACCGAACTCTTTTCATTATAGATGCAATTAAGCTATAATCTTAGTAGGTTACTTTATTTGTGTCTTTTTCTCGATGATTCCATGATTCAGAATTTGTTTGTAATAAAATGAAACAGTGGAATAGGCGTATTGCTGAAAATGATCCAAATACCTCTTTTTATATTCGGTGTAGAAAATCAATATATAGGGAATAATACAATGGTATTATTATACATAATTATCATACAATTAAATGCAATTACAACCTTCGATTATATAGCTATCTTTCGTAGAATATTTGCATAATCTCATCGTTTTAGAAGTTTTGAAATAAAGCGTTTGCAGTAGCCGCTCCCTTCAAAAATATATTAATCATAAATTAATTTAAGCAATTAATAAGTAGAAAACTGATGCACGAACCCCTAAGCCTCCAAACAGGCGCGTACACAGGGGGCGGGGGGGGGGTTGGGGGTTAAACCCCCCCCCTTTGGTCATTTTTTTGTATGTAAACCCCCCCTAAATTTCTCTAAACCCCCCCCCCCCCTTTTGGATTTTTTTTTTTTTTTTTTTTTTTTTTTAAATATTCCCATGGTTGACCTAAAAAAGCTGACCTTCTCCCCCCCCCCCCAACGGAGCAAAATGTCAAATTTTCAAATTTCGAAGCCCCCCCCCCCCAAAAAAAAAAAAAAAATGTGTCCTCTTACCCCCCCCCCCCCCCCCCCCCCCCCCCGCTTATTCAACGGCTGGCTGAGTCGTTGCGAAATTTTCGGCCCGATTTATAAATGTTAACCCCCCCCCCCCCCCCTTGAAAAAATCCTGCGTACGCGCATGCCTCCAAATATATATAAATATATAACATCCTTGAACGGCACCTAGTGTTAGACAACGATATAAAATTCCAATATCAGTGACAATAAAACGTCATGATCATATTGACATGATGCGATCGTCTTAATTATCTGGAATGGAAATGTTTCGAGCTTGTTTCGCTAATATTGCACATAGCTTCCATGGCAATCAGAATGAAGCCTGCCTTATTTTCCACTCTTTTATTTGAGGGTGTAAATTTGAAGTTAATGACTGAATTTAAGGTGATATTTTGCTATTGTTATGGAAATCAATACTGAAAATGAAATGCCAGAGCTCATAACTGTTATTTTGTTTATTTATTGCAATCTTTTAAAGTCCCTCTAAAATGTTGGGAGCCCCACAAATTTGATGGCAAAATTTCACTCAAGTTGTATCATAATGTGAAAGAGGATGTCATTTAATACACATTTCTGCATGGATTTAAAAAACAAATGTAAATGAAAGAATACAAAATTTAGGTTTTCTGCGTACAACAGAAAACCTAAATTATGTATTCTTTCATCAATATTTGTCTTCAAACGCATTTTGGGGGGAAATCTTTGCTGAAGTGTGACTTAAATTTAATCGAAATTTTTCCATCCAATTTTTGGCGAATTCGGGGCTCCCAACACTTTAGGGCTTTAAGCCCATAACCACCCAAATTCATTTATTGTTTCACCGGGATTGCAGATAGCTGGCAACGGTTCTAAGTTACACTAAGGCCCTTATCATTCTAAAGTGGGCAAATTAGAGGGAAAAAAACATCAACAAATCTAAACATTCCTGCCGTGATATAAATTACCTCATGATTTCCTCTTTTTGTATTTGCTGTTCTTTAGATAACTCCAATTCTTTACATTACACAATAACGACTGCAAAAGTCTAATATCCAAAAGGTGATCGTATCACAATATTCATATTTCTCGAGACCTTACACATAATGTACATGTTTGTCTGTATTATGGAATTATTCATGCAGTCCTTTAACTCGTTTCGAAGATTTTACAATGATCATGGAAGAGAATTTGAAATAAGTTTGGTGTGATGAAGATTATCAATCACAGACATAGGAAATGATCTCTAAAGTCAGTAAAACCACAGGCCACGTCTAAAACTATCAACCATGCCAAATCAAACTTCCGTTACTGTCTCTATGACTTCGGTAGGAAAGAAATCAGGTTGGCCGCCTTCTTTGCGCATTTCCATTTTCAGAGACATCGTTGGCATGGCGACTGATTTTTTCCTAAAGGGTTCACTCCTCATCTTCTTGAGTGACCTTAGACTGAAGATGTGCTGATCTGTAGGTATCACACCTACAGCGCTCATCGTGCCATCACTGAACCTCCCCGACTTGATGCGGAGGGTGGTCGGCACGACTTCTCCATTGGATTTCCTGATTCCCAGGAAATACCTACCGTCTACGGAACCTCTCAAGGACGAGTGTTGATACTCCCTGTTCTTTCGGCTCATTTCGACAACTTCGCAAAAGCGCATGCAGCAGCATAGTAAGAATGTGGTTCGTATCCTTTGGAAGATGTCTTTGGCTTTGTTGCGGAACTTCTTGTTCATGACGAAGTAGACAAATACATTAAAACCACTATTTGAAACCGTAAGCCAGAACGTGAGGAATTCAACAAAACTCGGTAGGGTCTCATAGCGGACTGCATGGGTAAGGAAAAGACCTGATAATATAGTGTACGGCAACCACGTTATGTAGTACACTCCCGCTATTATTACAAGCATTTTAAAAGCTTTCATGTTTCTTCGGAAATGCAGCGGAAGTCGTTCGCCGTTGCGCGGGCCTGCCGAACCAGATCGTCCAAAGAGTATCTCTCGTCTTCTAGAGCTCTGAAGGACACGCACGTGGACACTGATCGACGTGAACGTGATCACCACGAAACTTGGTACCAGGAGAATCACTAAAGCGGCAATATAGTATTCCATCGTGTCTTCATAGGCCGCAGAACAAGCCAGTTTATCAAGATCATATTCGTATCCAAGTCCGACTTTTGTAAAGAGGACAAGGAAAAATGCGATGCATAAGAGCCACGTCATTATGATGGTAAAGAGAACTCGGTTTTTCGTAACGAAGCGATTGTACTGAAAAGGGTGGATAACTGCAATGTAACGTTCGATACTGAGACCGATGATCATTAGGAGCGATACTCTTGTACAAACCTCCGTCACATAGGAGGAAAGTTTACACATAAAATCCCCATACGGCCACCGGTGCATAGTAGCTGGAGCAATGCCTATCGTAGCAACGATCCCCATCCCTAAATCAGCGATGGCGAGTGAAAGGAGAAAATATCCTTGACAGCTTTTAAGCGACTTCGCCCCGCCAATCACCACGATGTTCACAATGTTGCCAAGGACTGCGAGCAGAGCGATTAGGAGCACGAAGAGGGCTTCGATTATGGACACGAAGAGCGGGTTCATTGGGTCTTCTTCTGTGTAATATTGGTTGTCGTCGTCGTCGTCTCCGCACATGGTGCATAGGCTCGAGGTTGATGTCATTCTATGAGAAAAGCCGAGATTATGGGGCTTCAGGTTGCTGCCTACCCTAAGATCTAAAGAACTATCAGTACTGCGCTCAAATTGTTCCAAGCAATGTCGTCTTTAGCAATCAATAGGTCAAAAACGCCTACGTGCATATTATAGTCACGAGGTCGGTTTTATTCAGCCTTTTCACGATTCCTTTTACACGGGTAGAACGCTGGCAGAAGAAAATCATGAGATGATGAAAGAATCATGTTGATGACTAATTATCAAATCCAGCTTCGTAATACCGTTAAATTGTTCATCAAGTGGGCGGTGGAAGCAGAGTCGGTCATCACAGAATCACGTAGACCTGGAGATAATATTCAGAGACAATTATGAAAAGAGACGAAATAAACATACATGTACAGAAATTGTCAAAAATGGTGATTACATTTTTTTACTAAGTGTAGCGCTACAATGGTGATATCCGAGAACGTACAATAAAATATCTATTTAAGAACAAGAAGCAAGTTGAAGAATATTCCTTTATTATGATTTTAATATCATAATTAGGAAATAATATATGTTTTATCTTAATTGAACGAAATATTATTTAAGTAGAATTGTTTTTGTGAAATATTTTCTTGTCCTCATAAGCTTTTCTTAATGATTTGGATTCAGAGGAGGAAATAAATTGTAGTCCAGCACGCGAACTATATATTAATTGAATTGGGTTTTAAAATATTTCTCTTATCTTATAACTCCTGGTTTATCTGAACTTTCTGAATTATGGAGTTCCAACCTTGCCTGCAATGTGCTCCTCTTCATAATTTCACGTGTTCACCCTTCCCACTTCGTCTATCGAAGTCTCCAAATGGAAACCTCAATGAAAATATATTAATGTTACCAACGCAACGGACTTGATTATAGCTTGATTATGAATGTATGTATATAATAATAATAACGATAATAATAATAATGATAACGATAATAGTAATAATAATAATGATTGAAAATATATAATGCAATGATGATGATAACAATAATAATAATAATAATAATAAACAATGATAACAATAATAAAAAAAAATGGGAAAATGATGATGATAAAAATATAAAAAATAATAACAATAATAATAATAATAATACTGATGATAATAATGATAATGATATTGATAACAATTATAAAAATACAATTAATTATTGATACCTGTAAAAACTTATCGTCTTTGCATCTTAATTTGCAAGCCGGTAAATTATTATCGATGCATGACTATATCTATTTTTGATTATTTTTGTTTTCGTTATCTGTCGACTCAAAATCATGTTTTGTATTTTGTCTTTTTTAAGAATGTATATTTCTATTTGTGTACCCATATGCCATGTAAATACCACGGATTTTCATTGTTAAATGGACAATTAATGTGAACCTTGCTAACCTTATAAACCTTATAAATTTATCATATTTCTCAAAATATCGTTTTACTTACAGATAACTACAACCGTGTTTAAAAAATAGAATCGCATTTAATTACAGTTTTGGAAAATAATCTGCATGATGTGAACAACTAGTCGATCATTAAACACACAGCATGTACACCATTCAACAAATCGACCACGTCGGGATAGAGAAAAGAGAGACATAGATATTGTTATTATTATTATTTGTGATATTTTGCGTAGTCACCAAAATTGAAAAGAATTGATGATATATATATATATATATATATATATATATATATATATATATATATATATATATATATAGCTCTCCTTTAGCTAAATATATTATTGGCATATTTATTTCAGATCAGATTCAGACTTCAGATTAATTTTATTGGTCCATTTGGAAATTCAGTTGTAATAAGCATGGACATCAGAAAAACAAAAATGTATCAAATTCCAATAGGAAATAGCAAATTAATCAACAATCCCCCTATACATGAAAACAAACAGTTACTTTTTCTTTTTTTTAAGACTTATTGGGATACAATTTTAAAATTCATTTTCCTTTTTAATTTTCAATCGAGCATTTCTTGAGTTGACAATAAATGATAGTGAAGTGCTACTGAAGATAAAATTTCCAAACGTCTTATAAAAGCATTTAGAAAAACTCGAATACAACCTCATGTTATACTTTCCATAAATCTAATAAATGCGCTAAGGTCATCTCCCGATGTTGTTAAAAATACATAAATTGAACATTCCATGAAGCTGGCAAAAATGGAAATAAATAATCTTACCGCTCATTCAAATGTAAGATTTAGAGCAGCTCCGATATAAACCGTGTCTGTAAGCCACCGAATAACGATATACGATGTACCAATCCGCTGTTGTTACCTGCAAGAATTTTAATAACGTAATTTTTTCGCCCGTCCGTCGGCCAAGACAAGTTAGAATCCGGTCTTTTTTTTATTCATAAAAATATAGTGTTTCAACCATCTACAAGGATGTATTATTCATGAGGAGAAAGATACGACCCTGAATTATGTGGTTAATGTTCAGTGACCCTTTTTCGATATTAAAGTAAACTGGATAATTAATATTTGTTTTCTTCATTATTTTACAGATTGGAAGGGGGCTTTCATTTAAAAAATACCTGTACATTTTTTCCTGATTCATTGTTTTTTACCATTAATCACGGACGGAGGCGGATCAAGGGTTGATTGTCCTTGTGAAAAGTTATAGGTCACGTAAATAACTTTCAAGCAAAGGAAAGCCGTGTAGGAATAACAAAAACCTGTCACTATTGGCTTAGGAGTATTTGTCAGAAACGGCTAACTTATCAATATATTATGTTGAAAATTATTATGGGAAGCATCAAGATTGTAACCATAATCTTTAACATCTTTTTAATTACTCTTTTGTGAAATTATTCCTTTAGTTATGAAACCTCTGATTGTAAAATTGGACATATTGCGTAACGAATAAAATTGTTTGTTGCAATTTGATTTTTTAGCAAGCGGTAAAATAAATTGACGTATTTTGGACATTATTTAAAAAGACCGTTGCGGTTGCTGTTTTTCGATTCTTCCTTTATATGGGTTTACCAATGAAAACATGAAGCTATGGTACGTGAAATATTTGTAGACCTATTTTTGTTGTTGGTGCTAGCTGCCAGAAAGTCCATGAGTGCAGAAAGGCAGTGCGAACCATTAGGAATTAAGATTATCAAAAATAAATGTAAGCGCAAGCTTTGTCGGACCCCAAAATGGTATAATGCTAAGGGGAGTAATTTTTTTCACAAAAGTGATAATATCTAACGAGAATTATAATTACTAGGTGTTCGCTTTTCTCACTTTTATGAAACATGTTAGCATTATTAGATTTGTTTGTTTTTCGTGTGCATGACCAGTTATGCAACTGCAACGAATGACAGACAGAGAGAGAGAGAGATGGCTGGTGAATCTAATTCAACACCTATAAACGTGATCGGGACGGATGAAATTCTGATCAATCTTATTCAAACGAGCATGACACACAAAAAGTGGACCACTCTGACGTTGGCCCGTTTGCCTCTTTCTCATTAAGTTGATTTGTCGACACGACGTGTTGAAAGCTTAATTTAAACCCGACTGAAAAGGCAACAATCATTCTTCGGGTTTAATGGGTTTCTTTCACCTTTACGATGTCTGCATAATGATCTTCTAATACCCCCCCCCCCTCTCTCTCTCTCTCTCTCTCTATCCCTCTCTCTTAATCACCCCCCCCCCCTCTCTCTCTCTCTCTCTCTCCACCCCTCCCTCCCTCTCTCACACACTCTCTCTCTCTCTCTCTCTCTCTCTCTCTCTCTCTCTCATCCCTCCCTCCCTCTCTCACACTCTCTCTCTCTCTCTCTCTGTCACTTGCCCTGGAAGTATACCCCTAGTATTCTGTTTTAGTTGATTTGATAATATTTATCCTCCTTGTATATCAGTTCTCTTTCCATTACAATTTTTCCCGCTGATTTGTTTGTCTGCCGGAAAGTGGAGGGGGGGGGGGTGTAAACAAACATAAAATATCTGGGTTAGGGTACCTTCATCTCTCATGTTTTCCTCTTTATCGTCATTACATTCGTTTGATCAAAACATGAAATGTTCCCCCTCCTCTCCCGTGAATGCGCTCACGCTATTATTTCTGATTACACAGATTACAGATGTTATCTCTACAACATGAACTATTATACCTGTCGCACCAACGGGACCAACACCACTGAGACCGACTGCAGTGGGGCCGAGTTGTCCCCGGGTCCGAGTTAGCCCGGATCCAAACAGGAAACAGACGGTTTGGTGTTGGTGTGGAGTTAGTTTGGCGGTGTAAGTCAGGTGTCGTACTTTAGAGACACCGACGAGACTAACAACAGACCGAACCCATCAAGAAAGAGGAGAAAATGAAGAACAGGATGAAAAAGAAAAAGAAAAGAAGAAGAAAAGGAAGAAGAAGAAGAAGAAGAAGAAGAAGAAGAAGAAGAAGAAGAAGAAAGAAGAAGAAGAAGAAGAAGAAGAAGAAGAAGAAGAAGAAGAAGAAGAAGAAGAAAAAAAGAAGAAGAAGAAGAAGGAGAAAGAAGAAGAAGAATGAAAATGATAAAAGAACAAGAACAAAATCCAAATCACAAATCACATCACATCAAAGCCGGACAAACATCTCCTGCAAAACTGATTCTAAACTAACTCCATGTCGACCTATATGTTTGCTTCACATGGAGGGGTGTAATTTTAAGTTCAATCTGTTGTCCGTCTTGCGTTTCTGCGTTTGTCTCATTGGTGTGACTTGGATATTTTAAAGATAAGCTTAAGTTCTGGTAATGATAGAAAATAAGTTTTCACAGATCCAACTGATACCTTTAACAAATTTTTATACAGAGTATATTATAACATTTAAAGTGATCTTTGTATGAATATTGAAATTAAATATACAGTCATTAATGAGATCATGTGATCATATAGTTAATATAGTATTATTTACTGCTTGTAAAGTTAGTGTTGATACTGTTCAGATTAATTTTAAATTATTAATATGACTTACTCGGTGATTAATGAGTAATGTGTAATTCGAAGATTGTTCAGTTGACTTAAAGCCCCACTGTCCTACTTGTAGCTACTTGCTCCCTCTATATAGAAAACTTCCCCAATCGGTGCCTGTTGGTCCCCCATGATCCTCTATTTCTTATGTTATTTGAGAGCTGAGTTAATGAGATAACCACTTGTCAGTGACCTCGCTGTGTGGTCTAATCCCTCCTAGCCAAACTAGTACTGACGGTCTTTAATGCTTTATGTAACCATGTGAAAAAAAGACAATAAAACAAATCAAAAAATTAAATCAAACAAAACTTACACTGACTGTTAAAGATTAAAAATAAATGACATGTGCCAAATGATTTTGGTAGAAAATGTATTGGGGCTGAGTAATGAGCATAAAAAGATAAGGAAATCAAGGTAAGTAGGCCCGCGACACCAATAAGAATTGTTGTTTTTATTGAAGATGATTACCAGCAAGTTTGATTTTATTTCACTGGTTCAATCAATCAATCTACTGCAGGATCTAAACAATCTAGAATGAATTATAGCCAAGGTTCTCTCAACATACGATGCCTATACTAGGGCTCAAGATGAGCTTTAATGATTTGACTGGGATATTAATATGTAACATGATAACCATGTCAAAGGTGCTGGTTGTGTCAAGTTATCGAGATTAACAACCTTTAAAAAAAAGTAGATCTTAACCTCGTTCCTGAATCCCTGAGGTTTTATATTGATCAGATACGTTTACAAAAACCCGCAACTTTCTATCGTTTATATTATAACTCGTTGACTAAGTGTGTTGGATATTATATTCCCGGAGGTGAAAGTTGTAACGTGGACTTGTTTTGGAGATTTGATGAATGCATATGATATTCGACTTTATTTCAAAACTATTCGTTTATATCACTCTGACATGCAGCCTTCGGATGAAGCTAATTCATTGTATTTGTTCCTCGTCGTCTTTGTTCTAGAAAGAAATGGAAAAAATGGAGAAAAAAAACAAGTATTTAAAAAGAAATCCTTAGGAAAGACAGATAACAGTGGCCTATTGCCGTAATGGTTTACATATTAATAATGATAAATTATGAAGCCGTATGTCACAGAAAAAATATTTTTTGTTTCTTTACATTCTTTTTTTTTTTTCTTCTTCTTCTTCCTTTTGATAGATCAAACCCCTCTTTGTCCCATGAAATTGCACAATCGACGGGCCTGTAGCATACAATTTTAAAATTTTGTTCATGACACTGGGCAGAAGGATAGCCTAGTTAGATTGAATGAGATGTTTAATAGTTCTCATGCATAAAGGCTTATAACGATTTTATTTGTTGTCTATAAATGCGAATTTGCTTAATGTACGTCACTACATTCATGTGCCATTTTATACAATTAATTAATATGTGTTCATTTCTCCCTTTATTTACTTTACACAGTGTTTACAGTATTATATTTGGTTTTGCTTGGGGCACTAGTCTAATTCCCCATCCCCCCCCCCCCCCAACACACACACACAGACACTTGATTTGCCGCTATTGTTTTAATACGAAATTTACTGAAGAAATCATTTATTTATTAATTTAGTTTATTCCCGAGTTTATTATGAGTTTTTGTTTTTGTACATGTTGTAAATGCAATCAAAATGCAGCCCGTCTCTAGCTCTGCATATAAGGTTCGTGACGTCATGACCAGACGAAGGCGGAGCTGGTTCGTGAAGACGACATCCCGATCCCGGCGGAAATGGGGGATAGATCTAATGGAAATTCAACATCATTTACGACCTGCAATGGAAATGGAAACCAAAAGGGAGGTTGCAGTCACTTAAGTGATAAAGATGAAGAAGATTACGAGCTAGAGATCGTAACTGCTGTGGCAGATTTCTGTGCAATAGATGATAGTCAGGTAAGCTCGATCCCTTTATTGTTGTCCCACGTGCTGAAATTGACGTTTGTTGAATTGTAACAAGAATGATATTGCTTAGAAGTTGGCTTGGAATCTTATTATATGACAAGCCTTAATGATATGAATCTGCAGTGTATGTCTGTTTGCACTATTAATGTAATCAATTAGCTAGTTGTTATTGAGGTATAATTATCTTGGCCAAATTGAATTATGAATTTGAAAGAGAGTGGGGCCGAGCGCGAGGTCGAGGTTGAATGAAACTGAACAGCTGAGCCTGAAGTAGCCTTAAGGGCTCTCTCGAAATGTTTTTTTAATGATATTATTCGAGAGAGCCTTAAACGGCTCCCATACCCCTGCACGGAGAGGCATGTAAACAAAACTCAAAAGTGGTCCAAAATCACACTTTCGCGCACCCGACCAATATTGGACAGTGGCTTTGATAAATTTTGTCCGAGTTTTGGTCTTAATTAGCGCTTTAATTTCAAAATCGGATCTAAAAATAACAAAATAAGAGCAATTTTCTTACCAGACCGATACAGCTCAGCTCCCTTTTCACGTGTACCGTGTGAATTCACGATGTCTACACAATGCATATGGTGATGACCTCTGACTGGCACTTCCGTAATTGTGGGTAAATTGTGCTGCTTCCGTATAATGCGCTGTATGAGTGTTATTCAGCGCATTATACGGAAGCAGCACATTTACGAAGTGCTAGTCAGAGGTCATCACCATTGTGTAGACATCGTGAATTCACACGGTACACGTGAAAAGGGAGCTGAGCTGTATCGGTCTGGTAAGAAAATTGCTCTTATTTTGTTATTTTTAGATCCGATTTTGAAATTAAAGCGCTAATTAAGACCAAAACTCGGACAAAATTTATCAAAGCCACTGTCCAATATTGGTCGGGTGCGCGAAAGTGTGATTTTGGACCACTTTTGAGTTTTGTTTACATGCCTCTCCGTGCAGGGGTATGGGAGCCGTTTAAGGCTCTTTCGAATAATATCATTAAAAAAACATTTCGAGAGAGCCCTTAAGGCTAGCCTGAAGCCAAGGTTATAATTATGATTATGAATATGAAGCTCATAATGATAGTCCCCTATCCAAAGCCAAGTCCACTCCTACAATACATGAAGTCTAACCGTTCACACGCGTGTTGTCAAAACAAATGGGTGAAAAATAAAAATTATTGTTGAAATGCAACTTTTTAATGCAATGCAGATGCTCCAAAATCATACTTTTACCATAAATCATGACCGTAATCAGCTCTGTAATTTCCAGCTGATTCACAGCTCACAATCATGGAGGCAAAATTTCTATGTAATAGCTCGATCCCGAATCTCACACTGATTGAAAACTGCAAAAGGAAAGATAGGATTATAAAGGGAAGGGGAGGGGGGTCATTAGAGGGTACAAAGACCATGTTATGGCATATACATCGTATTCAAATTACGTGCTTTTTTCACAAGAGTGACACGACCATCAAACACCGGTTGAAATTCCTTCGCTGAACATAAAAAGATTACCTGAAGAATTCCCCTTTTTCAGAAAGTCCACGCTAATACCACATGATGAAAATGCAACACTAAATTTGGCCCCACAGCAAGGCAGTAGATAATATTTTTGCACATAATCTGCCTGATTTCATTTCTCCCTAAGTTGTCATTTGTGCTGTATGCTCTTGGAACATGGAGAAAAGTTTTTGTTTTGTTTTCTTCCACACCTACTTTTTGTGTGTGGTGAATCTTTACAACCCATTTGAGTCTCATTATAATCTGTCTTCTTGTCCCCAGTTGAGCTTTGAATCCGGACAAGTGCTGTCGGTGCTGCGTAAACCCAATGTTGACTGGTGGTGGGCACGCAAGGGTAACAACACAGGTTACATTCCAACCAATCACATCGCTACAGAACCCATAGACCCCACCTCCAAACCTGATTGGCAAGATGATGAATACTTTGGTAGCTACAGTACTTTGGTAAGAACCATTCATTTTCTTGCTAGAAGAGGGATATTTCTGAGTTATCTAGGAATGACATGTAATCCAAAAATGTAAATATGCATATTTTCATAGATTTTGTGTATGATTTTTTTTTTAAACTAAAAATGGAGCCAAAGTGAGATTATTTGGTTTTATATTGTTCAGTAAAATTGCCATTGGTTAGAATTTAGAGATTCCCATAAGTTTTATACAGGGACGACCTAGGTCTCGTAGGGAAAGGTCTAAACTCTGTCAAAGAAAAACATTTTTAATGATAGGTGTAGGCTCCTTTGACATGGCATAAACATGATTTGTTCTGGCAAAGACTAGAGAATTAAGTAAATGAAGATACTAGGTTCATTATGAAAAAATAAATTCAGATGTTTTCTTTTAAATAACTAACTGTATTTGATGTTATTGTAGACCATGTGCTAGAAGCAATTAATAATAATGATAAAAATAATGATAATAATAACGATAATAATAATAATAATGATAGTGATGATAATATATAATAATAATAATATTAATAATATTAATGATGATGATAATGGTAATGATGATAACAATAATGATAATATTAATAAAAGTGATACCAGTAAGTATAATAATGATAATAATAATTGGATGTAAAAAGTGCCTTTTCCTGAGGAAACAAGACGCTGTCCCTTAGTCTAAGGACTAATTATGAAGTGTAGAAGTATGTTTTTTTAAGAAATGTCAAGTGAATTACTATATTTCCCAGAAAGGCAGGGAGTTTGTTTGATAGGGATGGGACACTTGGAAATAAGAAACTGATAGTGTGAGAATATCTAATATGATTTTCAAGTAGAATTGTCCTTTGGCAATGAGACAATTTACCTATTTTCATTGTGTGGTGCAGAGTAATAACACTTCATAATGATAGGAAAATATTTGTGTTATTCTTTCTTCGTCCAGAAATTACAGCAAGAAATGTTGAGCGACAAAGCCAGGAATGAAGCATATCAGGTTGCCATTGAGAGGAACAAGGAAGCTATGAAGGGGAAAGTATGTGCTCAAGTGTCTCTATAACACATACTCTCATAACAATTACTCAATGGTCTACTTCGTAAAATAAATTTTCAAACCCTAACCCTAATCCTGAACATATTGAAAACAAAAACCCAAATCACAACCATATCCCCTAACCCTAACCCTTTAAAAAAATAAAAATGTAGGCTCCGTCATTCTTTGTGTTGTAACTTGGGGAGGGGGTTATTTACGATAAGATTTATTCATTCAAAATAATTGAGTTGTGTGTATATTGTGTACTCTATATGTTATGTATTGCAATTTGAAATAAGTTGTAGGATGTACATGTATTGAATGAATACAATAAAGAATACTACAAGACAAGAAATCCTATATCTGTGATATAATAAAGCCTGAGCATTTGTCACTGGAATGAATATCAGATCACCACTCAGGAAACCACACAGATGTAGTTTGTTTCCTGAAAACCTTCTTTTACTGTTTTATCTGTATTTTTTTTTATAAATTGACCTTCATTGTATGTATTGTTCAAGCTGTTTCAGTGCAATATATCATTTCATTATAAACATCATTATATGATGACATTCTCAAGTTTAGATCATGAACATGAAACCGTATGCCCTAATGAAAGTGAGAGGAATTGAGATAGAGGAAAAACAGATGAGTTCATTAGTAGATAGTCTTCTGTGGTTAAAGTAGGCATATATCATTAAAGAAATCAATCAGGGCAATATAAAACAAATGATGAGGACCATTTTAATTAATACATAAATTATGTTGACATTGTTTTGAGAACTGTATTTGTTTGTCTATTACAGGTTGTTCTAGATGTTGGTTGCGGGACAGGGATTCTGAGCATGATGTGCGTCAAGTACGGAGGAGCAAAGAGGGTGAGAATCTAGCGATATTAAAGTGCTGCCCATCCTTTGTATTAAGTTTATTTGTATGAAAACGAAACTATAAGAGAAATAAAGCTGGTCGATAACAAAAGATTTTTTTAATATTTGAAAAGTGAGATCACCAAATCTGTGAATCTCTCAAATTGGCAATTTGGTCAGTGGATTGTGACGTTGTCATGGACAACTCTCCTGTTTGTCATGTACAAAAAATAACATTATTTTGGGGGGAAAAAATGGGAAAATTGGTTTAACATTTAAAATGCCCATGCATATAGTGATTACAACTTTCAAAATTGTTATATGCTTGTTTTGTTTTTTGTACGATTTTATTCAAATTTTCACTAGTCAGCTTCTCTGATATTTGAGTGTGAATTTTCCTTCAATGTCAACTGTTATCAATTCAATTACATCCAATTTCTTTTGGAGGAAACAGAAGCAACCTCGCCTTAAAAAAAGAATGATGTTGCTTAAAAAGCCACAGGGATCAAGAAAGTGATTTGGTTAAATTTCCATACTTTGGTTACACAAAAATGACTATAGAAATAGAGCATACCTACAAAAAATAAAATTGATCATTATCCCATAATGATAGCAGGTCTCAAAATACTCTAGTCATAGGTTCCATTATAATTTTAATGATAACTTAAAACTGTTGATGCTGATTATGGCGTGTTGTGACAATGTATCAAAATCAATCATTTGGTTATCTGAAATCATTGAAAACAGTTGCTTTTGTAGATCTATGTAATAATCCAAAGATTCATAGATCTCAATGATGAAATTGAATCTCCTGCCATGTTTACATTCATTTTCGATGATTCTTGTATGCTATATCGATGTTTGATTTTAATAGGTTCATTCCATTGAAGCCAGTGAGATGGCTGAGACTGCTGAGAAGCTGATAAACCACAACAACCTGTCCAATAAAATCACCCTCTACCATGGAAAAGTAGAGGGAACCACCTTACCGGAGAAAGTAGACCTCATCATTTCAGAGTGGATGGGAACCCTGCTTATTGTGAGTAGTTTCTCTCTCTCTATCTCTCTTTCTCCCTTTATTTCTCCTTCTTGCTGTATCTCTCTCTTTCTCTCTCTCTCCATCTATCTCTTTCTCCTGCTCTCTGTATCTCCCTCTTTTTTTCTCTCTCTTTCTCTCCCTCTCTATCTATCTCTTTCTTTCTCCTCTCTGTATCTCTCTCTCTTTCTCTCTCTCTCTCTCTCTCTTTCTTTCTCTCTCTCTCTCTTTCTTTCTCTCTCCCTTTCTCTCTTTCCTTCTTAACCCAATGACTAATCATTTCCTTTATTCCTGTAGGCTTCAAAAAAGATTCTAGATAGTACCTGTATTTTATTCTTAAATTATTGGTATTTCTAAGCCAGTGGTTGCTGAAATAACATTCTCTACTTTCCCTCAAAAGTATCATCATGTGACCTTTGACCAATCTACTTTGCTACGTTAATTACATGTAAGATTCCTTTCACTATCGCATTGCATGGTTTCTAAAAACCCGTCCAATTGGTCCTATCCTATCTTATCATGGCTTTGCTCGGGATAAATGACTGAGGGTTGCAGGTAAAATATTGCCATCTCATGGAGTTTGAACAATGCATTTTACCTACCTGGCTACCTCTCTGCCACCGTCAGTTGCTGGCAATTGGCAACCACATCTGCACATCTTCTTGTTGTCTTTCTCCATTTGTTTCTATCCTGTGCTAATCTATTGGCTTCTGAATATGTGAGACCTGTCCATTCTTTGATGTTATCAAACCACTGCTTTCTCTGTCTGCCTCTTTTTCTTTTTCCTTCTACTTGGCTTTCTTTTTTTTTGTGCTGCTAAGGGCATTTTACGACCATATTAAAAAAATCTATGACCAACAATAACAACTTTCATGAAAATTATCCTATCCTATTTTTTTGTTAGTTTGAGTTCATGGTTGAATCTGTCCTCATTGCACGAGATAAATGGTTGAAGCAAAGTGGGAAAATGTGGCCATCTCAAGCCCATCTCTTCTTAGCTCCTACCACTGCATCCAAACATCAGGATCGCATCCATTTCTGGGATTCTGTTTGTGGCCTGGACTACTCCATCTTGAGGTGAGTGCACTTTTTGCTCAGTACAAGTATGTGTGTAGAAGAAACAATTTCGCACATATCTTGACAGGAAAGTATACTTTTAAAAGTGGGATTTATGATTTGATGTCACATGCTCTGGTGCAGTTGATCTGCCGTCAAATATGTCCACATTAATCAAATTCTTAACTTCAAGCTTGGACACAACACAATACCTATCCTTAAACCTAAATCACACCTGACCTGCACCTCAACCCTCACTCTAACGTCACCTGACCCTAACCATACATCTTTCATGTAATAACCCCAGTAGCAAATGTGGGATCACCAGATTAATGATTCTGCATTGAATTGGACTACTGCTACTCTGTTGATAGGGAAACACTTAAGAATGTAATTGTTTTACATGTAAGGCTCCCATTCATATTTCAATGTTGTTTAATTGTTTTAAAATCTTGATCTTTGGGGGATGAGGGTGGGGGGGGGGGTCATAGAATCTGTATTTTCTATGAATTTGATTTTTACTGTGATTATGTCTCTGAAGTAAATCACTATTGTTGAATAACCCAATTTCAAAATCGCCTGAAGACATTTTATAAAATGGTTTATGAGTACTTGTGGTCATGTTAAAGGGGAAGTCCACCCTGAAATTAAGTTAGTTTTAATAGGAGTAGAAAAATGAGAGAAACAAGTCAGTGAAAGTTTGAGCAAATTCCGATTAAAAATAAGGAAGTTAGGATTTTTTAAGTTGTGATCAATCAAACACAAATTGGCAACTCTATGACGTATCATGCGAGCTCAACTTCCATTTGCTCAGTACTAAAAAAATCTAAAATTTTCATTTTCCCTCAAGAAAAATTTCAACCATACATGCACCCTAAATATAATAATTGCAAATAATTATGTTTCTATACTCCCCCTGCAAGGGACAAATATATATTCCGTCATCAATAACGAAGAAAACATGATTTTATGGAATATTATGCACAAAGCAAATGAAGGAGAGCTCGTATGATAAGTCACAGAGTTGCCAATTTGTATTTGATTGATCACAACTTCAATAATTCATAACTTTCTTATTTTCATTCAGAATTTGCTCAAACTTTCACTCACCTGATTTTCTTATTATTCTGCCTCTATCGAAACAAACTTATTTTGGGGGTGGACTTTCCCTTTAACAGTTTGTTGCAAGCTCTTCATTTGCATACATATCTGAAAATACACTCATAAAAATGAATTCTAAAATGTTCTAAAAATCCATGTTTGTTATGACAGAACAGCTGCCAAGTCAGAATACTTCTGTAAGCCTGTGATCAACGAAGCATTAAATGCCAGCGATCTTCTAGCCAAAGGAGAAGTTGTATATTCGTGTGACCTCAACACAGTTACTCTTAAAGACCTTGAGGTTTGTAATTAAGTATTGAGCATCAACATTGCTTTTAATTTTGTTCTTTGCATTTTGCATTATTTAATGTGTTTTTTTACCATACTCTACAAATAAACCTAATGCCTAATCCTGACCCTAACCCTTTTCCTAACTCTGATGTATTGTCCCGCCTGATCGGCTATTCTGCACTGAAGCTGGAAATGCAAAGTGATTAACCTCACTTCTAAAAAATCTTTGAATAGCTCCTGTGAACAAAAAAATAGAAAGAAAAAGTCTCTCTCTCTATCTCTCTCTCTCTCTCTCTGGTTTTGAATAATTATAGTGAAGGGCTCTACCACGAAGTATGTAAAAAGTATCCTGCTGTTTTGCACTAAAAAAGAATAAAGTTAAGATGGCGCTCTTTGAAATTCAACGTCGTGTACGTGCATCTTGTTTCATCATTGATGACACTCCAATTATGGAATATCCTGCTAAAACCGGTCAGCTTGCAAACCACTGTTTAATTGGGTGTTAATTTCCTCCTGCACTTGGGCTGAAGCTTGGGATATTTCACGAGGATACAAAGGGTCTGATTACAAAAATTAAAGAGAAGGTTGAGTTCTGAGAAGAGGTGAAAAATAATTTGTGAGCGTTATCATTCTTATTATGCAAGTGTGGAAGAACATCAGATAAGACATGTTCCCTGAAAAGCAAGGCTCTTTAAATGCCTTCATATTCTAAATATGTCATGTAACATCGTAAAAATCCAGGGTTGAATTTTTACGCCACGTGTTCGTGTAGTCCCATATACATCTTTCTGTGTACAGTGTTTGTAACTTCACCAAGACTTGGCCAAATTTCTTATCATTTTGATGATTCCAGAGCCTTGCAATACACACAAATTCTTATATGCTAGATGATCAACCTTTTCTGGTCGATTCCACACCGTTTCTTTCACAATGCAATTGCATGACCAGAACTCAACTTTATCTTTAACAACATATTTAAAAAGAATTTTTTTTTACATTAACATTTCAAATATTCTCATCTTTCATATTGTTGGCAGATGATCAAACAGGACTTTTCATTCACCATCAGCAAACAAGGAACTCTACACGGCTTTGCTTCCTGGTTCAGTGTAGAATTTGAAGCATTGCACAAGAGCCGTGCAGAATGCGTCGTATTGGACACCAGCCCGCATGTCCCGTAAGTCCTGTTGAATTGAATTGAATTGAATTTTAGAAGGCATCGCAGCCTAAAGGGCCGAATTGGGCATTGCTTTACAAATGTTAAATACAACATTTTAAAACATTCATAGCAAATGACATCAAAATTTATTGAATGTAACGTTAATTAGTAAATTGTATTAAAATTTTATTTAGCTTTAAAATTCTTATTTGATCTCCCTAGATTAATTTATATATAAAGGAGATAGAGAAAAGTGAAGAAGAACATGATGGTGCAGAGTAAAGAAAGAATAGAAAAGAGGATGTTTAGATGGAAAGATTGAGAAGAAAATAAAGAAGAGGAAGAAGAAGAGGAACAGGAAAAATTTGAAGAGGATACCCTTCATACTGATGCCAAACATATGTTTGTTTTGGTAAATGTGAACAATAATTTGTGAGATTTTTCATTCTTTATATTCCTTTGTGAAAGAATTTCATAGTATATGTATAAATGAAAAAGATTTTGTTAGGATTTCCCCCATATCCCACATTGCTCATACTGTGGGTATAGTCCCATATACCAATTTCTGTGTGCAGTGCTTTTCCACCAGATTGAGTCAATTTCTTATGGTATGGTATTTATTGACACATGTATCGCAGTTACATATAATGAATTGCACATGGATATACATTGCATTTAACAAAATTTAAAACAGTATGATTTACATAATTATAAGTACACGTATTACGTCACATAAAGGAAAGAGGTTAAAAAGGGAAAGGGAGAGAGAGAAAGAGAGAGAGAGAGAGAGGAGAGAGAGGGAGGAGGAGAGAGGGAAGGAAAGTAAGAAAAATAGAAAGAAAGGATAAGAGACCGAGAGATATAGTGAAGAAAGAGAAAGAGCAGGAAAGATAGAAAGATGGAGAAAGAGAGAGAGAGGAAGGAGAGAAAGAGGTGAAGGAGAGAGAAAGAGAAAGAGAAAGAGAAAGAGAAAGAAGTAAGAGAGAGAGAGAGAGCGGCAAGAGGTAAAGAAGGGGGAGGAGAGAAGGGGAACTTGCCAACAATTAAAAATTACATACAAATTGACGATAAAAAGATAAAAGTATGCATTGCAACATTGACATTACGAATAGTACTAATAAAAAGAACAAAAATCTGACTGACATGAGCGCTATACAAGAACCCACCATTATTATTATTATGGCTTACCTAAAAATTATTTGGTAAGTTGTAAAATGCATAAATGAAAATGTTTTCTTTTTTAACGCAAATGGTAGTAAAAACATTTTAAAAAGTATAATAAAAACCTGTTTAAGAAAATATTTATACATACATTATTAAAAAAATATTCCAAAACCTCACAACATACAATCATTCTACTTAAAACATATAATCAACCCTTTTCAATAATTTAAAGTTCTTTTGCAATACATTTATATGCCAGTACTCAATTCAATTTTAATCTTTAATAGACTGACCCATTGGAAGCAGGCAGCCTTGGTTCTAGATGACTGGTATGATGTAGAGCCTGGGGATGCTATCCAGGGCACCATGAGGATGGAGAGAAGCTACATGTGGAGGAGACACTTCAGAGTCGGGCTCTCAGGGACCATCACTTTCAAAAACTCCAGCAAAACAAAGAAGGTGAGATTGTTTTTTGGTTCTTTCTGTCTTGTTTCGTCTATGTAACAATGGTATGTGTACAGTAGGCTTGCGGTTGCACCATGTGAGAGGGGAAGATTGGGGAGTCCTGAAAAAGGACTCTCGGTAATCTTTCTTTCTTGAGTGTGTGTAGTCCTGAAAAGGACTGTTGGTTATCTTCCTTAGCTTATAGTTCTGTGAAGAACTATAGCGCCAGTTGGAAAGGATGGTGGTAGGATGGTATTTGTGTTGTATCTTGAGGAGAATAGAAAGATGTCGATTAAGATACAGAACATGTGTGGAGTAGACTTGAGAAAAGAAGAAGTGGAAGGAGGGAGTGTCATCGTGGCTTGAAAGGCAACAACCCCTCAAAAGAGAGAAAAAAATGACTTTAATAAACGATGATGATGATGATGATACTGACCTGCCATATGACCAGGAAGGGACTATGGACACTATATAAGTGTTAACTTCTTCCATGCCATGGTTGGAAGTAATGCCCTAGAATTTGTATGATGTTTTCTATCATATTTGTTTGACTAGTAGTTGTCCCTGCCTAGAATTTTCTTCCAGAAAACAAAAATAATAATAATAATAATACTCAGTTCTTTTATAGCGCATAACACATTACAGGATAGCATGTCCCTATGCGCTTCAAATAGAAAGGAAAGAATTACAAGAACAAGTCATACACATTAGAAAATCCACTTAGAAGCAAAGAAGTACATGTAGTGTTGGACGCTGAGTTCATGAGTGTACAATTTTAACATTGAATAAATACATTTTAAGAGAAACCTTAAACTTGTTTAAATTATTGTGATTTCTCATGGAATGTGGAAGTGAATTCCATAAAACTGAGGAGGCGTGCATAAAAGAACGTTCACCGTATGTTTTTGTTGAGGTGGGAGGAACAATAAATAATGATTTTGAGCTTGATCTTAAATTTCGAGTAGGCCGATATAATGATAAAAGTTTACATAAATAAGAAGGGGCAATGTCATGAAAGCATTCGTATGCAAAAACTAATAGTTTAAACAAAATAAAAGTTTACATAAATAAGAAGGGGCAATGTCATGAAAGCATTCGTATGCAAAAACTAATAGTTTAAACAAAATACGGGAGTGGACAGGAAGCCAATGCAGATTTCGTAGTACAGGAGTAATTGATTCGTATTTCCGAGTTCGGGTCACTAATCTTGCGACTGAATTTTGAATAGTTTGCAATTTTTTGATTTGTCGCTGAGGAAGACCGAAAAGAAGACTGTTACAAAAATCAATGTGGCACAAAACAAATGCATGGACTAATTTTTCAGTGGTGGGCCTATCCAAAAAAGCACATATTTTTCCAATCCTATACAAAGCATACGAAGCAACGCGACAAAATATGCAATGGGAAGTTTATCTCTAAAGAAGATTTCTATGCTAGAGGTTACAACCTGGAATTGAAATGAAAATATACTGTTGAATTTCTATTTCTGGTAATTGTTTATATATTATCATGGTGTGTTAGGGGTTCATATAATCTTTTGAAGAAATAAAGTCTTGATTAAACAGCATGCATACAAGTCATATTCAACGAAAACGTTTACATTAAAATACAAGTAAGTGTTGTTTCACTGGTAAAAATAGATATCTTGTTTTTGTGATATTTTAAAAAGTTTTAAATCATTTAATTGGAGTTACTTTTAATAGAGACAAGCTGAAAAGAGTTGATTGTCATAAATTAATTATCATGGTTCAAGTGAATTATGCAAGGACTCATGGTTTTTTTTTTTCTTTTTCTTTTTCTTTAACAGACTTTCATGAAGACCTTCAAAGTATGGAGATGACACTCTTCAGACAGCCTTTCTTCACAAACCCTTCTTTATGGACATCATTAACTCCTAGGACACAAGCACATCATTTTTCACATCTCAGTATATACAAAAACGGGTAACCTGGTTCTAATTGCATTGTGCAGGTATCCCATGAATTGGAGACTGGTACTATTATGTAACTTATATGTACATGAGATTTTTCTAATATACCAAAAATATTTAAACTGCTATGGTCAGTAACTTATTGGACAAAATACCTTTGACTTGCCCATATATTGATAATAAACACACTTTTCTCAGCAAATGATATTGATTGTGCTACTGACTGTGGAAATGTGTTTTAACCCCTTGCCTATAAAAACCAGGGGAGTATTTCACAAAGACTAAGACCGACTTTAAGTTGGACTTGACTATGGCAGGCCGTTCATGCCACCGTTTGCTCTCACCTTTTACTGGCATTGGTCTCTTAAGGAATGTACAAATCGTGGTCACAAATCTACAGAATTTACATTTTTTGATAACTCATTATTGAAGGAAAAATATTTATCTAAAGATCATTATGGTGAGAGCAAACAGTGGCATGAACAACCTGTCATAGTTAAGTCAAACTTAAAGTCGATCTTAGCATTTGTGAAACACTCCCCTGGTGGCTCTTGTATTGGAGCTTGTGGGAATGGGAGAATTCAATAGTTAATCTGTCTAATACAGTGCAAAAAGAAATTGTATGCAATCTTCCCTCCAGGGCACTAATGACTGCATGCATGTATTATCTAGGTGCTAATTTCAACCTCTCAACAGGAAATGGGATCACTGCTTGATAAAGCCAGAATTAAGGAGTGTCACTTCCCTTATGGGCCCCAAACTTAAAGGTATAGACCAGTTTTGGAAATGCCCCCCTCTCAAAAAAAATGAAATGGAAGCTCTTATTACCAATCATGTGATAGAAATAAAAAAATATGTTTTGACTAATACGTGATGATTTTGCCAGGAAACCGCCTACTAATTGATATATTTGGTAAATTATGATATCTATCCGGACTGGATAGATATCTCGTGGTCCCATATACATCTTTCTGTGTACAGTGTTTGTAACTTTACCAACACTGGGCCAAATTTCTTATCATTTTGATGATTCCAGAACCTTGCAGTACACACTAATACTTATATGCTAGATGATCGATCTTTCTGATCGATTCCACAACGTTTCTTTTACAATGCAATCGCATGACCAGAACTGGTCTATACCTTTAAGAACGGTCGGTCAAGCAGCTAAAGTCTTCCACTGCCCAATAACTGCAACTCTTCTTCAGCCAGTGTCGTGTAGGGATTCTTGTGCAATGTTAGCTTTTTAGTAATTATGTAATGTATAGTTAAAGAAGCAGAATATTGTAAATTGTGGACCAATAAGAAGAATAAATCAATGAAGTATGACTTTTTATCAATGAAATTAACAATCCCCCCCCCCCCCTGTATGTGAGTGTTTACTTTCTTACATTATAGTCTAGATCTAGAGTATAGATAGATATTAGATCTAGATCTAAGTTGTTAGATCTAGATTATGCACAAATTAAATTTGGCTGAATTATGCGAAAGCAATATCGGCAGGTATCGAACGTGTGTTATCAATTTTTGATGGGACATGTTTTGCATGATGGGAAGAACGAATACACGCCCATGTGATGTCAAATGACCAATCGGATTGCTTACATTCTACAACCCGTCTTATAATAGCTTTTATAGTGAATTGCAAAAAATGTAACTGTTGTGTAAGATGGGATTCCATTTTTTTAAGGCATGGGACTTGGCAAACCTGAACCATTCGCGAAAATTCATGAACAAAAATTTGTGCAGGTATACAGTGAATATGTTTGTGCTATTGTAATATTGTGTGTGTGTGAAAGACCAAATCCATAATTGCAGGGTTGAATTAATAATCACTTTCCAAGCTGGATAATTTTAGACATTCTGATAGGTATATTGATGTTGATAATGTTTTTATTGTTGTTCATTGTTTTGTTTTTTTCCAGATGAAGTTGAATGTAAACAAGAGATATACAAGTTATTTTGTCATCTGTATGTTATACGTCTGTTTACTGCCATCTAGAATCAGGAATGTTGCCTCCCCATTCTGTGCTGATCAAATAACAGATCCCAATGACGTTTTTTATAGTTTCTAATACATTTCTTGGTTCCTGATAATACCTGAAAACATTTGTATTTGTTTGCAGCTGTCAATGCAGTTGGCGCTGAATTTAAACTTCCTGCCTGAATTTGTATATAATAAACTTTGTAATGGATAGATATTTAGGTCGTAATGGTGCTGATATGTTAAAAATGAAGAAATGGAGAGAAATCACAAAAAAGTTGTAATTTCAATTTTGGGAAACAGAGAAGGTGGACTCTGTAGACAAGGTGGCCTTTCTAGACAGGTTCTCCAAAATATATTTCTCCTTTGAGAGATACAACGTTGTTAGCCACTGTAGACAAGAGACCCTTATAGAGAGGTGATCGTTATTAAAAAGACAGGATTGACTTTTTTTAAATAGGTATATATATTATGTAGGACACCAGTACATTGAAAGCAATAATCCACTTTGCAACAAAATAATCATCATTGTCTACCTCAAAATATGATATCACGGTATTAACACAATCTAATGCAATAGGTAAACCATCATTTGCAAACAGTTCTGTAATCAATTCTTAATGTTTTTAGAATTCAAATGTTTGATGTACTATCGCTAAACACATATTTCATGCCAAATTTAACCACCCATTTTTATGTACTGTATTCTCTAAAGTTATAATCATGGAGTTCATAATATTTATTGATCAATTAACACCATGTATGCATACTTGCCAACTGTTCCTTTTTAATCAGAATATCCTGATTTAATTTTTTCACATTCTGAAAGATTTTTTTAATGCCAAATTTGGCTTGTTTTACCATGTGCCACGATTTGAGAGTTCGTAAATTGCCTGCGTTGAATGGCTGCACGATCAAGGCTGGATACTGGCAATGGTAAATTCACATGTACACCCCAGCAGGGCCACTACCCCTTGACCCCGCTCAGGGTACAGATTTCTAATTTTCAAATGTTGGCAGGTATGTGTATGGATGTGCAAGGTCACTCATGAAATGTAATTCATAAGCAATAATTAAAGACACAGAGGGTGGTATTCTCGAAAGCGGACCAACTTTAGCTCATGTTTTAATCATTACCAAGATAACATGATTTTTTTTTTCATAGATATATTGTTGTAATTGATTGTTAATACATAACATTTCTTTAATGAAAACATTTTATTTTAATTTAGTGACAGATTAAATTATTCAAAAAACATATTCATATGGACACTTGGCATTCCATACTTAGTCGAAGGATTAAAACATGGACTAAAGTCCGCTTTCGAGAATACTACCCAGAGACAAAATGTCCACTGGGTCGCCAAGGTGTCTATCAGTATTTATGTATGTCAGTATTTATGTATGTGGCTCACAGTGAGCAATATTGAATGTTGATTGTACAGCCTCTATTCCATAATTGTAGTTATAGTTTGAATGAGTCAGGGTAGAGTGTTTTTTTTTAAGGAATAATTCACATGCGACAGTGTAAAAGTAGTCACCCGAAGAATCAAACGTGTTCTGAATTGATGCAAAATTCATATCATTGCAAAGGGGAAGCCTTACTGATCAAATATAACAACTTCCATCTTAAAAATATGTTTTGGGCCCGCAGTAGTCATCTCTTACAGATGTTATTTTTGAGATCCAGATTTTCCGCCTTCAGCGGTCCTCCGTAGAGCGTCAAGATTTGTGACGTCACATGCGAGACACAGTTAGCCACAAATTGCATTTTATGCCTTTCCATGATATCTATATGAATTTTCAGCAGATTATTCATGTTTTTCAAGAGAAGATCTTTCCATCCATACATAATTTGTCCATAATTATCAGTTGTCATGAATTTTCTTCGGGTGACTACTTTTAAAAAAGAGATCTTGTTGAATCAAGAATACTGTTTTTGTTGTGTATGTTATATTACGAGCATATGAATGCACTGAACTAATCAATGTAATTGGATTTTAGAGTAAATTATGTACTATTTATTGAGTTGATTATTTGATCTACAAATATATACTCCTAGGAATTTCATTGCACTGATATCAGTATTTCTTAGAATTAGGAGCATTTTAAGATATGCAGTGTATTCAAAAAAACATATTCAAGAAGCTTACGGACTATCATAAATTTTGGTAAGGCATAAATCCTTTCTGCGTTCTGTTGTGTAATAAACACAAATGTACATGTATATGTATGTGGACAGTCACTTGTATTTTAATTTTTTCTTAGATTAATTACAGATTTATATGCCTATTGTTTTTTCAGTAGCCATCATGATCAAGAATTGTAGATTTTTCACAAGAAAACTTTTACTCTCAGCTTCCATATTTTAGATTGAATTAGATGATGATCATTTTACTTTTATCAATTCCAAAAATTCTTGCCAAAATATCTGATGTTTGAAACTAAATTGCATAAACCAATATCAACAGTTTGTACGACACTTGCTCCCGTGACAATTGCTCCACAGTAATTTCCTACCCTTACTGAATTTGCAACCTCGACCTGACCAAACAACCCTTAACATAAAGCAAACCCCAATCGCAACCCTGACCCTTGACTCAAATCTATGACAAAAAACAAATTTGGAGCAAACGTCACCAGAGCAAATGTGGGATTACCATTTAGTGAAGCCCGTTACCCGTGTATCGCACAGAAATATAATCGATATGCCAGTGTAAGAATGTCCAATGCAATAATGACGACAGTAGCAACCGCATACCAAGAGGTGCTACAGAAATAAATTCATAGATGCAAGTTTTAATGGTTTTGGATTGTTATGTTTTCATTTTGTTTATCGTTGTTACATTGCTAATTTTTCAACACTTGGCCTTTCATACTAAGTGGACTGTCAATGCTGCAGCTAAGCCAGGTTAACTTTTAATTGGCCATGTAAGTGGTATATATTTTTTTCTTCAATTCTGTCATGAATCAGAGAATACTTACAAAACATTTTTGGTATTGGATGAATGAATATTTGTGACTCCTTTACAGATGACAAAACTGCACACTAATTTTAAAACATTTTTTTTTTTTTTACAAGTAGCAAACATTTATTATTGGATGGTCAAAGAACATATCTTTGTACATATACATGTAATATATACATAAAACAAATATTATTTACAAAAGGGCTTTAGCCACAAAACCATTAATGAAAGATCAAGTATATCTGGAGGAACGTGAATACTTCTTTTATACATACGGCTACCTTCCATAATAAAGGAAAATAGAATCTGGTACAAAATGCTAATTTATTTACATAGAATATATCATGTACAATATTTTAATTTTCTTTGATTTTGTGTACGGTACAGTTTTGGTACAGTATTGGTCCGTAAGCCAGGCAACGATGCGACAGGCATTTCCTGAACATCCAAAGAACTTACCATTCTATTCTGATATTTTATAACAAAAGACTATACAAGTATCTCAACTAAAAGCTTCAACTTTGTTGTGAAATAAAACCAAACAAATTATCAGTACACTTTTCAGAAAAGTTTCGTGATGAGGGTTTTCATTGGGACAAAATTATCAAAAATTTCATTTCAAAATGTTAATATCTCACAAAACTGTAGGCTTATATCATGTATTATACACTATGTACTATCCATCAAGGCAATCAAAAAGGAACTTTTGACAAATTCTCTCGTATCAAAACATTTTCTCCCACCAAATTACTTCTAAAAGGCTTGTATCGCCGCCCAAATAAATAAACATGTTGGAATCTACAAGATAGTTAAGAGAAAATACGTACATCATGTGCATAATGGACTCCTTTGATAAATAATATCATGAATTCAATAACATCCTAATTAAACACATGATTGCTAAGCAATCCCTCTCAAAAATTCCTGTGGTCTTGTCTCAAACAAACAAGAAAATATGAATCACTCTTCTGAAAGAACAGAAAATCTCTAAATTACACTAATAAAAAAGTTCACATTGAAATAAAGATTGTAAAGGCCTCATGTGAAAGTTTACAGTTTAAAGGGGCATTCATGTGCATTTATGACAAAATACAACTAAAAATTAACAGACAACTTGTATTTCAACCATTTTCAGCAAAAATTGTCTGCTTCTGTTTGATTTTCAGAAAACTTTGCATTTCATCAAACATTTTTTATGCAACGGGACAAATGTCTCCGAGTACAGCACTGATCGGTTATCCAGTTATTTTCTCATCTCTAATAATTGATAATTTATCAAAATGACCACGTAACAACTACTACCGTCAGTTATTGCTTGTTATAGCGATAATCACAGTACTAAAATCTGGTACTTAAAAATTAGAAAGATTTGATGGTGGAAGAAATATGATATTGCTGAGAGACATTAGGTATTGAAGAGATTCAAGCTGTAGATCAGCCCTCCTTCCTCCCTTAAACAAATCAAAGAAAATAAAAATATCTGAATACTATCAATATCTATGGTATCATTTTATTGAACATGATTATTCTCAAAAGTGTATACGTTAACATAAAAACATATAAATCAAATGCCATATACTGGATGAAGGATGGAAAGAATTATATATTTTGTAGGACTACATAAAGCATTACAAGAAATTTTTTTGAAGTCATTCCTAACTTACAACGACTTGAACTTATTCCAATATTGATTACCTAATGATGAGAACCACTTGCAAAACTATGGAGTTTCTAAACATTTGTACCTTATTAAAGGCAAATCTCTTGCATACACCATTCCATTTTCAGAACTATTTATATCACCAATTCGAAAGTGTGTTGATATTGTGGGGGGAAACGGTTTCAGATATTTTTGTACAGTGTACAAATGGGTTGTGCCTTGCATTCTAAATTCTCTGATCATCATTATCCACATTTGGACATGATGAACGGTCTTAGAATGTTCCAAATATAATCATCTCCAATAATTTGATGCTTATTCTTCTTTCTGGTCTTCTGTCTGTTCAGCTGCTGGCTCCTCCTCTGTGAAAAGAAACAAAAGAGTAGAAGAAATGATTACTCATGAAATCACTTATTAAAACAATAAAAGAAAAAAAGTATGATTCAATTTGAAATGTCATAGAGAATGACAAACCAAACTTATACAAGTGTTGATGCAGTCATCTTCTTCTCGAGTTGCTACACAAGCCAGGTCCAGTGGAGGATGCAGGATCTGGCTGTGGTGTTGAAACCCTCTAGGTCTTTGGGGGTACAGGGTTCTGGGAGGAGGGGCCAGACTAAAAGATGTTTCATCATCTGTTCCTCACACAGTTGCATATATAGTTTGCCATCTTTACTATAGTCCCATGTATGCATGAGGAATTTGCATCATCGTGTTCCAGTCTGAAGGCAATTTAGACATGCAGGTGAGCTATATGCCTCACTTGAACCCGAAGGCAGAGATTCGCTGGGTCCAAAGGAAAGCTTGTGGGGCACTGACTGAAGGTGATTGGCTTACAGGTTTATCCTTTAGTTTAAATCACTGGCAGAGTCATCATGGGCTTATTAAGTAGAGTGGAGAAAACTGTGTCTTGATTATAGTGATGCAGTTATAAAAGAAACCATCTCAAAGTTCTTTAAGATTCATGCATTCTGTGCCAATTAGGCCTCTGAAAAACAGTGTATGATATACTGACACTAATGAAACATTTTTCATGCAACTCCATATGTACAGGTATATCATATGTTGATAGCAAGAAGAGCATTAACTCTGTATTGGTGATCTCATGCCTTTCTGGCTCTTAACACATTATATACATACAGTACATTGCAGTATATTGGCCGAATACAAAACACATGTTCACAGCATGAGCCAGATGACCATATCTGAACTTCTTTAAACATCATTTGTCATACATGCATTTTGAAAATTCTTTAAGCTCAAAATTGGATGAAATAAAATTATCAGTACAGCTCTGTAAAAGAGAGAAATATTTGTATGTGCCAGAATTACACACCTTTACTGGTACACATTTTCACAGCAAAAACAATTAATATACCACACTTTACTCCATAATGATTAGTTGAAGGAAACCAGAAGTCTTTTGAGGTATTCGATAACATGCACTACATATTTTGTTGAGCACATGCAAAACATGAGAAATTGAGAGCATACATACAGCATCCTAACTGAAGGGAGAAGAAATTAAAAGGTATAAGTCAATGCTTAAAAGTGGTTTAATAGTTGGTAAAAGGTGGTTAGCTAGCTTACATCTCAAATCTTTGATCACAATATAGCATAGGAATAGTGATAGTATTTCTGCATGCTTTCTCTGTCAAAGTGACGCAGTATGGGTAAGAGACAGGGTTAGAGTTGCGATTAACTTCAGGGTCAGGTTTAGGTTTAGGATTAGGGTAAGGATAGGGTAAAGAGTACCATCCAGGGTGAAAGTGAAAAGTTTGATTAGTATAAGATATTGGCTGCAGAGCAATTGTTGCTGGAGTGGGTGTCATTCAATCGATGATTCTTTGTTGGTTTTGATTTTAGCTCACTTGACTAATCAGACACCTGTGAATTACCTCATAAAAAAAATCATACAGATAGCGAATTTAGCCTGCGGAAGAAACCTGAATTACTAAACTGTGTAGCCCTGCAATATCATGCTATATTTATGATTTTCATGAATACACTTCTTGCCAACTCCATGTGGCACGTCTCTAAAGAGCAAGACCTTTACTGAAACACCGCTGTTAAGTAAACCAATGGGAATGAGAGAATTTAGTAGTCCAAGGGTTATGGTAACTTCCTGACTGTCCACTACCATTACCAAATAAAGATGGCATCCCTCTATATAATGAGATGATTGATGATCATCACCTTTCTCTTTTTTCTCGTCTTCTTTCTCGCTGCCACTCGATGAGCCCCTGCGTAGACCGAAGAGACCGGATCCCCTCCTGCTGCCTTTGCTACTCTTGCTGCTTTTGCTGCTTTTGCTGCTCTTGCTACTCACAGAGGATCTACTACTAGACCTTGATCCTGTTTAATAGGGGGTTTACAGTTCTGTTTTTACCAGTGCCTTGACCCATAATATAGTCCCCAACATTAACCATGGTATTGCTATAGATTTACTATAGCATTTCTCCTAACCTACAGGTTTCAATATCTGAGAGAACTGTTTTGCTCAAGGTTACTAGTTCCTGTAGACTATGGTCTAAAATGTTAATAAAATTAATTTTGGTGAACAGTTTAAGGGCGCATATGGCTCATACTACTTTATTTTATGTAGGAAAAATATTGACTGGACAAGGAAGAAGCATTCAAATATCTGAATGATTCAAGTGGAAATAGGTCTTTTCCAATTACTCTTGCTTCATATGGCAATGATCAATGAAATTAAATAAATTCAGAAATTGTTCTCATTTTTGTTGATACAAAATACTGAGGTTGAAATTTTATTGTTTTAAAAGCATTTCTTCTGAGATCTTTCCTTTCTCTATTTCAAGTACATTTCTTATTACCTGAAATTTCCAATTGATATTTTACAGATTCTGAAAGCAGAATGCTAGTTTTTGTTTTAATATGAATCTATCTTTTCAAAATCCTCATCCTTGTTTCACCATCTTATATATGTCCATGAATAAATAATAGAAAGTTATTTATTTATTTATTTATTTCTGATATTTAGACAGGGTGACTCATAACCAGATGAGGTTTATACAGCCAACATACGAAGCACAGAACAGGTGACAAGTGTGAATTAGCCTCCAATCAACAGGACAGATGAATGCACAAATAAGACAACAAGAACAATGGTTCCAGAGTTGGTGTCTAATGCTAATGGCCTATATTTGTGAAAATATTTCCTAGAAGTATTTCAGAGCCTTAATTCTTACATTATGAGCTAGAGGCTAATGCAACTGCATTTTCCAAAATTGGTCTTATATGTACTTCATGATCATGTTTGAAAGAGATGAATATAGAGCACACGTATCATACACAGAAGCTGTGCTGATCAAAGTGTACTTACAAGCAATGAGAAATGTTATAATTAAAAAACATATTGAAATTGATATTTTTCATGGATATCTCTGAATATTGAAATATTATTCTAGCTTTTACAGGCCACAATTTTTGAAAAAAATGATTTCAACAAAAGCAAAAAAGAAATTTGGCAAGAGAAAGAGAAAAATAAAATATGCAGCATATTTCATGAAAACTCGAATCGACGAGTATTTTCTACTGGGCAGAATATTTGCACAATGTCACTGACATATTTCATAGAAAATACCACCATATGCACTAAAGGATTGAATACCAGTATGTTCTCACTTCAAATTATTTACAAAAGAATACTTTTTGCAAGTCCCAATGTTATGTAACCATATCAACAAAAGGCACAACTTTAAAGAAAGAGTGGAATGAAATGAACAATCTATTATATCACAGAACATGGTTTACCACTGTTAGCATCATCAAAGAGAAAATAAATATATGCATATGAAAGAACCGGTACCACTTTCCCAATGGAATTAAATGCAGAATGTAAATGCTGAAAAACAGAGAGATGACAAGCGCATATAAGCCTTGAGATAACCAGACTTAAGACATCTGCATTAAATGACTTGAGATAGAGCAAAGAAGGCTGCAAGAAAATCATGATGCAAATAAAATGTTGGTAAGCAAAATAAATATACCCTTCACCGCTTGTTAGCAATGGTAGCAATCCAGCCAAGACCATGAACAAAAACACCATGTATGATGACAAAGGCGACATGAGGCTTGGTGGGGTAGGAGAGGGTTAAGGGGGAGGAGGAGATGAATGCACTTCTAGCTTTGCTTTGACGATGCATTGATGAATGAGGCAAGGGAGGGGGGAGCTGGAATGAGATGCAATGTTTGATTACAGAGACAAGCAGGCCACCATAAGCACAAATCTTGGACAAGGAATTGTTTTCACCATCTCGACGCTGCTGTATATCTTCCTCCTCTTTCTCCTCCTTTTTCTGTGCCTCCTGAACTTCATCTTTTTGCTGATTATCGCCCTCCTGCTTCTCTTTGTTTGGTTTTAAAATCTCCTTCTCCTCTTCTTTAGGTTTGACAGTCTCCTGTTCATCTTTTTTGTCTTGTGTCGTCTGCTGTTCATACTGTCCTTCTTTCTCAGCACCACGGCGGGATAGCTGTTGTTCTGTGTTGTTAGTTTCATGGAGTTTATTGTGCATTCAATGTTAATTTAAGATATGAATGCTACATGTACGTATATATATTCCCAGAACATGCACTGATATAATTAATTGATAATAAAATGTGCATGCTAAAATAATGTACTAATGACATCAATTGTCTATACATTAAGTCCGTCATTCATACGATAACAACAAGAAATAGCTGAATGAAATAGGCGTAATTTGAAGTAGACTTAGCCTGAATAACTTTGCGCCATAATTTCAATTCTATTCAGTTCAACCCCCGTCATCCACCATGCTACTTCTGTCAAACCATAGTTTATGGCACTAAATCATGTAATACTTTATACATCATGTCACTCTTTAAGATTACATACCGTCTTCCTTTGTTTCCTCAACTTCCTTCTCCTTCTCCTTCTCCTCCTGCGTCTCCTTCTCTCCCTCCTCCTCTTGTAGGACGTCTCCTTCAGCCTCCTTGTCCTTGATCCCTTGCACGATCTTTTCATTTAGGTCCTCCAAGGCACTGGCAATGGCCTTCTGCGCTGGCTCGTCTCCTTGAACCTTGGCCATGTCGAGGGATCTCTCAAAGGAATCGATGGCCTCTTGCAGGTCTCCAAGTTTGACTGTGAATTCAAGCAGATGATTGGTTATGATTATGGAGGCAGAAATGTGCTTATGATCTTTTATGACTTGTAGTAGCTTAGATTTGTTTTTAAAACTATTAAAGACCGTCTGTACTAGTTTGGTCAGGAGGGATAAGACCTCCCTGCATGGTCACTGACTGGTGGTTATCTCATCAAATCAGCTCTCAATTAACATAAGAAAAGGGGATCATGGGGTACCAACAGGCACCAATTAGGCATTGTTTGCTATATAGGGGGTGCAAGTAGCTATAAGTAGTACAGTGAGGCTTTAACATACCACTCACTATTAAACATAAATAATACCACATTTCTTCAGAGCACCAACCCTGGAATTCACACCTACCTTCAGATTGTGCGATGAGAACACTGGCATTGAGCTGCCAGACGTCATCCCCGGCTTCCTGGGCGGCCTGAAGACTCTTCTGACCGCAGTCCCTCGCTTCCTGGAAGTCTCCCAGCTCTAGATGACATCGTCCAATCTCATGGTACAACCATGTGCCTTCCAGGGCAGACTTGACCAGTGGAAGCTTCTCCGTCCAGTTCGCGACTGCTTCGGTAAACTTGCCGATGCGAGCATAGACGCGACCAAGGTTGTCGAGCGCTCTTGACCTGCCCTCGTCATTTTCACTATGAGATGGATAAGAGGATGAACAAGATAATGAATAATTTTAGGTTCTCTACCATGAAATAAAAAAATGAGGACAATTTTGCATAAGGTTACAATATGAATAACATGATTAAATTTCATGCTAAGCAAATGAGACAGTCAGAGAAATTACCTTTTGGTATGAAAATTCATTAAGTGAAGTAGTCAGCAAGTTTTATTCATAATAATTAGTGACTCATAGCAGCTCTACTTTATCATGTACATTTATATGCAAATTATTCATTGAAATATAATATAGATTATACAATAATATTTCAATCAATTCATACCAGCATACGAAAAGAAAAGAAAAAGAAATAGTTAATTGCTATAAGCCTGGTTGCGCAATAAAACAAGATAGTGATGCTAAAGACTGACAGCTGCAAACAGAAATCAAATCCTCCAATCAAACACAAAATCAGATAGTGTCCAATTTGGTCATACATGACGAAAGTATTTAAATTACTTGCTATCACCATTTTATATCTTCAACTGGGGCCCGTTTCACAAAGCCTTTTTTCAATGACAAATGACAAAAATCAGTGACAAATGTGCTGATAACCAATCAGAAGCAAGGATTACAGTAGCTTATAACAAAAAACTGTCATTGGCACTGATGACAATTTTTGTGAAATGCCCCCCTGGACCTACCTTTGTGTGGAGAGGTCGAGGTCTTTCTGATGGTTCTGCTCTGCATCGGGCATCTTACCAAGGTCCAGGTAAGCGTTACCCAGACAGCTGTGAAGGTTGGCGATGAAGTCTTGCTTCTCGGGGACGTCGTTCTCTGACCAGCTTTCAACGTTCCTGAGGACCTTCTGGGCTTGCCTGAGAGCGTCACGAGGTCTGTTGTCAGCCAGTGCTGCAGGGGTAGAAAGCAAGGGAGACATGTTTTTATTAAACGGCTGGTGAAGCTAGGTACATGTAGATGTATTTACTGTAAATCTTTAGCCATTCCTACTCTCGTTTAAGACAGATTTGAATGAAAATTTTTAGGCAATATAAAAGGAAGCCATTAAGTTCGAGAGCTACTTTTAGGGACTATTTGAGTATTATGTGCTATACAAGACATGGCTTTTATTATACACTAGATTACGTCTATATCCTCATCAATTCATTGATCAACGCAGTCACTTGTGATTCATTTATGATAATTCTCATTCGTTTTTCTTTCCTTTAAAAAATAGGTAATAGATTCAGGTACTATTCCACGATTTCAGGCAAGCAATTATGCACAGCCGTGCAGGGGTAGAGGTATATGTGAGGGCAAATATATGTACTGCTATACACATTCAGGAGTACCTTTACTCTGTGTGAGACTAATTTTGGGATTCACCACTGATGACTTGACAAACCTTAAATTGTCTCCTTTTTCATAATGAAGTACAGATTTACACATTTTTATTTTCATAGACAAATGATGCCTGTCTTCCTTCATCAACAATCTTTTGATCTGAATACTGTTATGCACCTACCACAGTCAACCCAAGGGTTTTGCAAAACACATGTACACATGCTTATCTCATGTGGATAGATCATAGTCATGATCACATTCAGATTCATTATAAGGACATTATTATTATTATTATTACCTGCATCAATTTCTTCAAGGTTCTTGAGTATATACTTGGCAGGATCGGCTGGTTGTTGCTTGTTCTTCTCTCGTGCCCCTTTGGCCTCTTCCTTCTCTCTCTTCCTGGCATACATGGGTTTCTGTTGCCTCCAGAACTCTGTCCTGGTGTCCAGGTACTGAAGACCCTCGTTGACTAGATCGTAGATCCGGTTACCGCTGTCTGTATCTGATCTTGTCAGGTCTGGACAGTAAACAAAATGAAATTCACACATGTTAAAATAGGACTGCAATAAATAAATGAAGTAATTGGTGTTCATATACCACTAGTGACGATAGTAATTTAAGTGTGTATACATTGTAATTGTGTGTTTGTTTCACCCGACTGCTAAGAAAGCATGTGTACGCTTGTAAGTAACCAACTAGGGGACCAACAGCTTTAAGTCCTCTCCAAGGGACTTAGTAATGAGGATTAATACCTTACCAAAGGGCACTAGCGCTTTGACTTTTTTTTAAAACCCAATACCTCCCATTTACGAGACCACTGCTCTACCACTGAGCCATTGCACCTCCTTGTAAAAGGATGAACATTTGTACATTAATCCATAATTGAGCAAACTGATTTACTGCCATAATATACATATTCCCATTTTGTCTCAATTCAGGAACTCATTAAAAAAACTATAATGATGGTATTTAGTAAATAGATAACATTGACCAGCTCACATTCTTGACGAGATATAGGGCTATAAGGAACTTGATATAAACATTTGCACTCATCTATGACTTGAGCAATATGAATGAACTCAGGCACTATAGTCTCATATGCCCCTCTGGGCAAGGCAATGTCATACAAATGCTTGCACAAACTGCCTTTTACCTTCATCTCTGAGTAGCCTGTCAAGGTATTCCTTATCAGCGTAGAGCTCTCCTAAAAGTTGCTTTGCCGTCTTCTTTTCAGCAGCCGTCTGATCAGGTTTGGCTGGTCTTTTCTTCTTGTTCTCTTGTTGCTTTGCCATGGGTTTACTGTAGCCCATCCTTGCTGGTTTTTTAGTCTTAACCTGGAGTTGACAAAGAGGAAGCGAGAACAGATGAACAATAGTAAGTAGCACAGAATTCTAAATGTGAGCAATTTAGTGAAATTATAAATTCATTTTTATTTCGATGTTCGGGACATTTTGGCATAACTTGTTCATGAATTAGAAATTATTTCATAGATTCCAAGGATTACAGCTACAGAAGTAAAAAAATTATAAAGATCATGGTTTAATCTACTCAACAACCATAACCTTCACTTATAGTTTACCAGGAAGAAAACTACCCAACACTCTTATATTCGCTTTATTTTACATACATACATACTTTTTTTTCCTCTTAAAGCTTGTTCACATATCACATAACACGATAAACCACTGCATTTCCTGTCTTTCATTTAAGTGACATTTTATAAGCTTAAAGGTAAAGACCAGTATTGGAAATGCCCCAATTTCAAAAAAGGAAATGGAAGCTCTCATTACCAATCATGTGAAAGAATATGTTTTGACTAATACATGATGATAAAAAATTTGCCGGGAAATCGCCTACTAATTCATATATTTGGTAAATTTGTTTCTCTCATGGTCTGTGAGAGATATAGGGTAGTCCCATATACATCTTTCTGTATATAGTGCTTGTAACTTTACGAAGAATGGGCCAAATTTCTTATCATTTTGATATGATTCCAGAACCTTGCAGATGCTAGATGCTAGATGATCAACCTTTTCTGATCGATTCCACAACGTTTCTTTCACAATGCAATCGCATGACCAGAACTGGTCTTTATCTTTAATATGCTTCACATTGCTGTATCTTATAACAGACACGTATTGAATACATGCAGGATCTTTCTTGCATGCATACACTTTCTTTCATCACCACTTGCCACTCATTTTAAAACATAAACAATGAAAGCCACCTTGGTTTGTATTGGCACCTTGGCAGCATATGTAAACTGGCCATCAGATAACATCTTCATCTATCATTCATTAAAGGAAAGTAATAAAATACGCCGGTATAGCTTACCTCATCTTGCTTATTGAAGAAAGATAAATCCCCTTTGTTTTCTAGTTTTACCTTTGAAGGACCTGATGAAACAAAAAAAATGGATAAACACAAACATTAGGTAGCTAAAACTTCTATTTACTCTCTAAGGCGGCATGCAATAAAAAGAGAAAGTAAAATCACCAAATACTTTTAAATGAAAACTACATGTACATGTACACTTTGTGTGCACATCTTTTCACTCAACTGTTCGTAATCGGGGCAGCGCCAGGAGCGTCACAACGCGACAGATATGTGCGCTATATAAGAAGCCACCATTATTATTATTATTATTATTACAGGTGTGGTTGTTCTGAGCATACCAGGAGCTTTTGCAACGTAGAAGATTACAGCTGCATAGTTTCTGCACTTTATAAAATTCATATCATCGATAAAATCATTAACCAACAAATATTTCCGTACTTCCTATCGAGTTGTCAATTGCTTCTTGTGCTTTCTGGATGCCTAGACGGAATTCTTGGAGCTCTGGTCTTAATTTGTTGCCACGGTGATAGAAGACGAGGGCCATCTCAAAGTCTCCCATCTGATAGAGGGCTTCTGCTTTCTGGAACAAACCCTGTCAATGAAAACAAAGAACAAACAATATGTGTACTGTAAATGGGGAAAAACTCAAGAAGAAACAAAATTGATGCCTCTATCAAAGTTTCTACCTTTTAACAATCAAATAGAAGATTGGAATGGAGATTCTGCATGGTATTTCTCCAAGCGTTTGCATAATTTTGTTTAATGCTACATGCACTATGGTATTACATGTCCTTATTTGAAATGTATAAATTCACTGCTAATTATTAAACATTCCAGTGTGGCAGCCTATAATCTTTAAATATTCTTTACTATCTAAACGCCTATGGACATAAAGCAAGAGAGTATGACAGTTGATAATACTCAGATGCCTGACAAATACTTTCAAGGTCGATCTAAAGTCCGTTTGTTACGTACCTTGATATATTTCTCATCATCTGAGAGTGAAGCCTCTGAATCTTTCAGTGCTTGCTTGGAGTCACCGAGTTGGAGGTAGCACTTGGATCGGGCAACCAGGCAGTTCTTGTCTGTGGGTTCAATTTCTAAGGCCTACATTGAAATATAGAAAAAAAATGATAGCGAAATTAGACATTTATTGCACAACATGTGAATAACTATTCTAGATGACATGGTACATGTACACATAAAATAAGAATTATAGATTGTTAAGTTCCATAGTAAGTCTACATATAGTTTGAGTCAACCTCAATATTATTTTCTTTTTTACAAAAAGATAATTGCAATCACATTCATTTGAGATTGAAGCTATCGCCCCACGTAGATTTTGATACAGTAACATGAAGTGCCCATCCTACCAAAAACACAATCTCAAGTAATTTTGGAAACACATACAAGGAGTTTTCACAATGTTTGTGAACATCGTGAGCAATGTATTTATTGGGAAAGTCAATTACAGATACAATTTCATTCTGTTTATTATAGGCCTCTTTGTGAAGAGAATGTACAAGTAACAACTGTGTTACAAGTAAATAAACCTAAACTTGGACATAAACATAGAGTAAATCGAACATATCTTAAAATCTAATCCTCAAAATGGATTTGTTCTAATATAACGTGAGAGCTAAGCACTGTGACTTCAATATGTACATTCAGCTTACACACACACACACAACACATAGGCACATACTAAATTATAGCCCTCCATGGCACGTTTGTAATCTCTCTTTCTCATGTGATCCTCCGCCTCTCCAATGTAAGACTGCAGGAGCTTCAGCTGCTCCTCCCGCTCCTTCTCGGGATCCACGTATTCATCCATGATGGATCTGGGTTCGGACTTTCAATTTCTCCAACAAAATATCCAACTTGAGTACGGCAAAAATCCAAATTTATGTGTAAGCCTATGTCTTACATACAGCAGGCGACCATATTAACTATAGCATGTAGAGCTCCCTTTGAGGTAAGTCATAGCAACAAAGAGTTATGCATATTCATGCCCGGTTAAACCTATGAATATTCATGTATGCTTCAGTGAGTAGGTCCTAACAATAGACAAGGAGTAGAGTATCCCTATAATCTTGATGTAGGAAGGTACCAGCTCAAAGTAGTATTGATTTTAATTACAATGCTTTAATCAATAAGGAGAGGTTGAATCCACTAATTGAGAAGGGAAGGAAAAGCATGCAGCTAAAAAGTTTGCTGGAAATTTAATCAGATAAACAAACACAAAACTGCCAAAGAATATGTAGACCTACCCCTATTTTGTTGCTCTATTTAGCTAGGGATTGAAACTGAAGTGTGTTAAAATAAAATATTTTAACAGATTATTTTTTTCTTCGTACCTTTGGAAGTAAAAGGAAGTTTGCACTAATTGTAAACCATTGGGCATGGGCCATGGCCATGGGTTAAATCATCTAAACGAGGGTAAAACCGTGGGTTAAAAATAAACCTCCTTTGGCTTCGTGAATTTGGGTCAATGTTTTTTATGAATTCTTTCATTTTTTGTTTCTTGCAATCGATATCTACTTCTTCAAGTTCAACTGCAATATCAAAGTTCATTTTGAGAGCGCGCTAACTCCATTGAGATTCTTTGACTTTGTCATTTTTTGCCCCTCTGTTTAGAATTAGAGTATAAAATGATATAGTCTAGGGTCTAGATACGGGATAGGAGAAATCTTGGACATGGCTCGAATACATGTAGCCCAGTGTTCAATGTTTTATTCATTCACTCACTCACCGACTCAGGCTCAGCTCACACAACATTACATTGACATTCACAACACAACAATTTCACAAAAGATGTTAAGATCTCAGTGTTTTCAACTCTCTTCTGTTCATTCAATTTATTATAAACGTTTTTGACCTTGAATCTATGGAAAATTTATGGGATGTCAACTCTAGACTTTTTCCTCTTAATGACCCTCTGCCTCACTTTTTCATCTCATTCTGTGTCATTTCTCTCTGATGTGGCTCACTCTTTATCCTGCCACACACTGAAAATCGCAAAACAACTCACCGTCGTGTAACTTTGTAATGCTTTTTTGTACTCTCCTTGCTTGAAGAGAACATCACCTTCTGCCATATAGATGGCAAAAGATTCTTGGAGAAGTGCATCTCCCTCCATCATTGTGGAAGATGCCAACACTTTCGCTAAAGATGAATAATATCGATTATTTCGGCCCTCTGTCCTTAAGTTTCTTCGATCGAAGGTCCGTCAATCTCCATACAATACACATGCACCGTACGTAAACAATGCATGCAATGCATAACCTGCATTACGTTTACCTTAGCAACGTTACAGAGCATGCGCAATTAGAAAATAATTCTGTTAACGCCATCTCCCGACAAAGTCATTACATTTCCATGAAAAATACTACAAGGCCCCATTTCACAAAACTTGTCATCAGTGACAAATGACAGTTTTTGTTATAATCTTGGTTATCAGCAGTTTTGTCACTGATTTTTGTTTTTGTCATTTAAAAAGGGCTTTGTGAAATGGGTCCCGGATCAAAGAGGTGGGGGATGCAAGTTGTAAAGCACTTTGACCCCCCCCCCCCCCCAAAAAAAAAAAAATAAATAAATAAATAAATAAATAAATAAAAATAAATAATTAATACAAAAATAAAAAATAAAAAATAATTTAAATAGATAAATAAATAAATAAAGATAAAAAATAAATGAATTAAAACAAAATAAATAAATAAATAAATAAATAAAACAAATTAAAAAAAAAAAAAAAAAATTTAAAAATCAGAAACAACCACATCTCCCATTCTTTAAAGACCTAATTAAAAGGGAAGTGTAGGTCAATAGGGGAAACGAAACGAGCAATCAATGATCGCTGCCCAATCTAAAACGAAAATGTATTATTATGCCTTCTTCTTCTTCATATCGGGTCACTACACAAGCCCCGTCCAATAAAGATTGAGTAGTGTGTTTGAAGGATTCACAGATTTTCATCTGACAGGGACCGCGACGTGAACGCTCCTTCATTGGCTCCTTCAATGCATAAGCTTGTTATAAAAATCGAAGTAGGTAATCACAGACCTACAGTCCACAAAAACATATTCGTCAAAATATGAAGTTCTATAGAACTTCATATTTTGGCCTATAAGCCGCCTGCAATAACCTAAGAATACATTTTAAAACGTGAAAAAAATGTGTGTTTGGTTGGGACGACGGGTCAGGCCCAAAACATGAATAATTGTGCTTAGTACTGCTTTCTGTGCTTTCAAAAACATGATTTTGATATTATTGTTACTATTTTCATTGTTTTCATTGTGACTATTATTACTATTATTATCATTATTAATATAATTATGATACAAATTAAAATCTTTTTTGTTATTATTCCTGAACAAAATGCATCTTGCTTCTCAAACACAAAACATTGTCAAAAGTACCTGCCGATATGATAGTATAACGATGATTAGTGTCGCTTTTACAAACTTATTATTGGCCTCTGTTCCCATTCCCTCCCCTATCCCCACTACACTCGGTGATGACGGTGACATCCATTATCTTCTCTATCCCGTCTCTCTCTCTCTCTCTCTCTCTCTCTCTCTCATTATCTCTCTCTCTCTCCCCCTCCCCTTCTCCCCTATCCCTCTTTGGCCATTCAACCTCACCAGTTTTTTTTTAATTCCCAGATCGACCCCCCCCCCCTCCCTCCTTCTTCCTCCCACACATTTACACACACCCTCACTCTGAGTGCGCCTCTGTTATGGTCGGCCTCGACCACCTTTACGGCCGCATTGACATGAACACAAATTAACTCTGAATCATCTCTAAGCTGAATGTTCTTCTATTGAAAGTAATGTTTGCAGAAGCCAAAGAAGGCATTGTTATTTGCTCCACTTCTCTATTTCTTTTTTTTTTTAATCCCTTTTGCAAATCGCTGTAGGTTCGGATTGACCATGTAATCAGGCCCCTGGTCAGTTTAAGTTTCGTTGTATACGAGGACCGATTCGTCGTCACTTGATTCATACACAGCCTGCCTCCAAACAGTAATAACTAAAAAACTGAATAATCATAATTATTCAAAATGACAAGGAATTTCATATCTCGATTTCTTGAAGAGGAGCCTAGCCAACATCAATAAAGATATGTAGGCCTACAGGGTCAGATCAGATTTTCTTTTTTAAAGAGGGGGTACGCTGAACACAACTAAGGGCCATATTTTAGTCTTGGAGTATAGGTGGTTTTAGAATTTTCATTCAAAAATGGTACAGGTGGTTTTTGCCGCTTGGAATTCTGCATGTATGTATCTATAACTGTTATTGGTTGGTTTGTTTGTTTGTTTTTTAAATTTGTAAGCATACTTTTTTTAATTTTTTACCATAGCAAATAGTGGAATGACACTCTTGGCGCCCCAAATTACTCCGGCTCTATAGCACATCTGTCAGTATGCATCGCCTTTTCATCAGGCACGTACCTTCCAAGTTCGGTTGAACTTTTTTAGACCCCTCCCCAGGACGTCGATCAATTACATGTATGTGCCCCCCCCCCCCAAAAAAAAAACACCAAACTCTGGCTACGGCCCTGCTTTTCATGGAATTATTTCCTGCCAGGTAGGCCTACCCTTTTACCTCTCCTGGGTCGAGCATGGCAAAGGCGTGGCAGGGATTTGAGCCCTAAATAAGTTGTGGTTCACTAAACCACTACACTTTAATCTTAAGTGGTGGTTCGAGGAAGTTTAAGAAAAGAGGGCGCGGCCATTTCTTTAAAAAAAATCTTAAATATAACTTATAAGATCACGCCAAAAGAAAGGGCACCTCTTCGCACCACACCCAATAGGTTTATGCGTTTTTAGCCGAAGTTTAGTTTCTATGTTTTGGGGGCAAACGAACCTTAATTATTAGAGATGCCAGATTTGTCTTAGATAGTACATACTCCGACCTACTACTTTATATCTTCCTATTGTCAACAACACACAACTGCTTCTTTTATAACGATTTAATTGGATTTTAGCGGACATCTTTGATATCATTAAACCCAACAAAGACCCGATTGATCTTTTGTTGAGGTGATTAAGAAGATCCTCGTCATCCTCCCATCCTCACGAAGCTTTGATCCTTCTCAAGTATCATGATCTTGGTGAATCAATAAGACCTGAACGTCCCTTTCTTCGAAATTTTTGGAATTACGTCAATGAGATCTTCAAATTAAAATACGTAATCTGTTATTTCAACGTTAGATGCTGCTTGTAAGTGTTGTTTTTTTGTTTTGTAATATTCTTTATTGTATTCACTCAATAAATAATATTAATTCATACAAATTGTAATATATAACATATTGAAACCAATTACAGAGTACAAAATACATTAATCTCATTTATATTGAATGAATTAATATTGTTATAACCCCCCCCCCCTCTATATTTTGTTCTGTGCTACTAGTATCCCTATTACATATTATAATTTATAACATATTGGAACAAAGTACAGACTACAATCAACTTAGTTATATCGAATGAATAAAGTTTGTTAAATCCCCTACCCCCGTTAAAAACAAAACCAACAACAACAAACACAAAAAAAAAGAAAAAAAAAAAGAAAAGAAAAACAAAAAAACAAAAAAAAAAACAAAAAAAACAAAAACAAAAACAAACAAAAAAAAACGATACAAGAAGACGTGGGCAGCCTATGGCAGTCGAGACCGGTCAATCACACACAGCTGTGAACCGGGCAGGCCCCCCCTTTCCTCATCCCTTGCATTTTCTTGCATATTATCCATGTTTACCTTGAGATGTTCCCATTTTTTATAGTGGAGCGTCAACGTATTTCGTTCAGTAGCACTCTTTCTTTCTTCCTGTTTACTTTTGAATATTTTCTCTCTTATTTCTTCAATACTTGGAGGCTTCTTTTTTTCCCTACTAATAAATATCAAATATTTAATTAATAAAACCACGTGATTAATCATTTGCCTATCTTCGGTTATTTCGTCTAATCCAATGTGAACTTCCTTCCAGCTCATATCTTTAAGGATTGGAATATCCAAACTATCACTACATTGTGGAGCATTAACCGTGATCGATAAAATTCCCTATTTTTGAAAAAATGGTAAGGGAAAGAATGGGACAGCGTTGATTCGTATACAGGCCGTCTGTTCTTCTAGTTTTGTGGTGAGAATCGTACAGTATTCCGAGAGAAAATATTATTGTCATCATTATTATTTGACTCTGCATCAGGAAGAAGTGACTTACTTTCTTCTTCAAACCATAGAGTTATGAATTTTCAGTCTCCCCGTCCAAGCTTTGACAACAACAAAACGGTTGGTATACGATCTTCACTCGGCCGATGCCGAGTACAAAACACTGTTGTTGTTGTAGTTGCTATTTTAGTTTCAACGCATCATTCAGTTTAATTTACTTTAGTTTAGTTTATTATTATTAACTCAAACACCCCATATTTTATGTGAGGACAGAATAAAAACGATACGAAATATCATCAACATAATTATGTACAAAAAACCAAAGGCAAGATCAACTTGACAATAAAGGTATTAACACAAAACATATGTTTGTAAAGACAAACAGAAAAACGTGAAAATATAATAACGTACCATAACCATAACTGATTATTGTGAATCTTTTCGCATACTCTGTTTATGTTTAGACGTTTATCCGGTTATTTTATTTAAATTGCAAAACTTTCAATAAATACAAGCGCAAACGTTGTTTAACGTATAAGCTGAATTATTAACGTCATCATTGCAAAGTCTCTTCGAGCTTATCAATTACAGAATTAAAGTTCATGTATATAGACATCCTTCAAATATTGATTGTTTACACGCAGTCCAATATGCACCGTCAAGGTGAGATTGCCTGAACCACGACTAGATGCTAATGCAGAGAAAACTGTATACAGTTGGCATGCACACGCCCCAACGCACAGCTATAGTGGTAGAAGGAATCGCAACAAGCGACGCTCGCTTTGAATTGGACATAATAGCAACAGGACGTAGAGGTGACGCAAGTAATTTACAGGATCAAAGAGAAGAAGAATGATATATTGGTTTACCCCCAGCCTGAAAAGAAGATTTCTGTACCAGAGAGCTACCAGTCAAAACAGATTAATTTTGGATATGACTCAAACTTCAGAGGAGAATATCGAAAGAACGGGAGCAGAATAATATCCAGCGCATCTCCAACGTCTGAGCTGTGTACGTACGAGAGATCGCACGTGAACATTCGCATAATATTCAATCGAGATTGCTGTGGCAAGTGGTAATATACCAACGCATTAGGGGAGAGAGATAATTCAGGAATAAGTCATAAAATAAGATGCTTCGTTGACTCTATACAGTAACGACACTTGCGATTACTGGAGGTGCCTTTTAGTGCTTTCAGAATCAAGATAATGGACTAGCTGTATTGAACAGAAGAGTGAGTAAGTATAGTAAATGGATATTATCATCAAGACAGTGTTATTACGAATTCTTGAAATTCTAGACACCATTGGTGTTCGTAATAATGTTGCAGTTGTTTATAAAGTACTTCTGTTTACCTTTGGTTGTAAAGGATTTCCCTTCACGTAAGTAAACAATATATTATAGTACTTAATTTAATAATTAATTATCTTATTCAGGTAGAAACGACCTTGCCTATCACAGATACGAGAATTTTGCCTCTGTTTTTTTTTCAGTGAAGTCAGTTCAATTCAAAGGCAAAGAATAATTATAGGAAGAAAATATCAGCATTGGAAAAAACTATGCAAAATGCAACAGCGGAAAAAGTTGGACCTGCGAATCTTGGATGATCGAGTGTCCACCGGTAAAGGAAGCATTTTCATAACGAACTCACTATCAAACAGTTGCCTTGGATGAAATATAGGCTATAGCATGTCATTTCTGTACAATGCCAATGGAGAAAAATTAGAGATGAATCGACTTTATAAATCGGTTGCATGCCTTATACTGGGAATGCAAGGATTGCGATTGGTTTGCCGATTGTTCGAAGAAACCAAATTGCTAATGGATAATTAAAATGATGATCAGGGGGGCGCCTACATGGGAAGCTGGAATAACAACGCGTCATGCATGCCTCGGGCTAAAAATTATTGATCGAACAATGTCCATTGTTTATTAGGGTGGATTAAACACACACCGGAACTAATGCATATACATTAAAATTTAAATGCACTTTGCTTCCTCATATAAAAATTAATTATATACTCAAGAATCGAGGGTAAAACTGTGCCAGAAATATCCAGCGTCATGTTAATGCACAACATAACTGTCACATTAATAATCTTATAAACGTGATATGCATGCCTACATGAAAAATTGATGATCGCACACAAAAAGACACCAATACTCTATGAAGTTATGCTGGAATGGAACTCAACCTCGCTGGAAAAGATCTCCACCATTCCCTGGAAAAATATCATGTCTGCTGAATGGCAGATTTAGGATGTTAACACTACAATATTGGAGTTAACTACTTCTTGTCTCTCAAGTCTCAAGCGACTCATTCTGCACGGACCTTGAATACTATTCAAAACAAAAATCTACATAAAGCAACTTTGAAAGGGGTGATAGTGACTAGTGAAAAGGAAGATTATCTTCCGTCCTGGGAGTCGTTTCTCCCGTAGTTATGAGGTTTCTTTTGCCACATAGCTTCTTTTTGTAAAAACTGTAAAAAACCTTCGATAGGGCGGCTTCATTAGGGCCTGAACCAAGTCTTTCGAAAGGCGATGCTTGAAAAACTAGTTTTGGCTGTAGTGATGGAGCGATGTGAAGCTGAACATATACGATTTCATAAAAAGGTCTCCATTACCGACTGGGGTGCCGAATGGTAATGTGATACATTCAGATAACTATAATATAGTGCCGCTGGCAGTGTGCAATAACAACTTCAAGGCGAACAATGAACAAATCCACTTCATGCAGCCCTTGCCCGTGGTATACCATAAGGACAATCATGCATTATCCAATTTACCCGTTGCCATAGAAACATGAAGCTAGTTGCTATTCTCGCATAGCAACGCAAACGAACCAGAGGCTGTGCGAATACTATACCAAGGATCGAATCGCTTATACCAATACTAAGGTGTTCTTCTGTTCTTTTGTCAATATTTATTTAAAGCTATGGGGTACTATAATACCCAGGGGGGCTTACAAAACACAAGAGGCACTTATACACTGCCATTATTTCGTTTATTGTGTAGGGTTGGTTTCACGTATATAGGTCAGATGTATAATATACATATATTATGTTTTTTGTTTCACAGTTCTATATGATTATCAAGGTTATTATTCAGACGCGACCCCCCCCCCCTCCTCCTCCTCATCACAACTTTCCATTCTATTTTTGCAGAGGAAATAATACAATTTACCCAAGTTACACATGGTAACATTTTGTAGAATTCCATCAAGGTTTTAGATTTTAGAGTATATTATAACAGAGTGAGAGAATTTGATTTTGGAGGCTAATAATTCTATGAGCAAAATAATACCAACAAGATTGACTGTGATGGACTGTAGACAACAAGATGCATCGTAAAGAGGTACCAACTAACGGTCTCCGTCGTACCAAATTTCTAGTGATGATATATTCCCAATACCCATATGGTTTTAATTTCTGTAGGCCAAGTATAGACCCAGCCCTACACATCAATACAAAATAATATTGATCTAGCGGATGATTGGATGACCAGTCATATTATTCTCTGCCATAACACCGGAAAGTGTTTATTGTATGTGTAGTTTAGAAAGAGAAATGGGGAGAGGTGAGGGGAAGCACGCCACGTTGGCAAAGTCAATCGATTTTTGGTGATCAAATTGCGAAGTACAATACATGTATATTGTAATACATTTAGGTCAGCAAGCACGAGAGGTCAATTATCAGCTTTCAAGCTGCTTCTTTTATACTTACATTTCCTCAACTGTCAATCTTAATTGCGAAAGGCCTAATATACATTGATCCTTCATAGCTAAACCCATGTAGTATGTTATCTGTTATAATAAAGTTAAGCCATTATACTTTTCTTGAATCTTGCTTCCAAATAGTATTCAAAATGACTTAACTTTGTGAAACAACTTGCTTTGTACATTTGCCCCCCTCCCCCACAATTTTGGATTAGAAAAAAAAGACAAACCAGGACCTTAGTTTTTATTTGTCAGATTATTGTTATAGCACGATAACAACTAATTTCGAATATCAACCTAACGCAATTCTAAAAGCCTTTGTTGTACGTCACCAGTCTATTGAAAGCAATGTACAAACATGACAATGAGGGCATTCATAATTCGAACATGCTTTCCTTGGGATTTCCGATGGGTATTGAAATTGCGCTTGAGTTTATTTTTCAGAAATAATTGTTATTGCGATCGTGTTTTATAAACTCCTGTTGCATTGCATAAGCTATTGACTAATGTGGAAATGATTGGGAATGTCACCAATATATTTCAAATGTCAAAGTCCTTCACTGTTGTCTTCTATTTATCTGTGCAGGTAAAGGAACATCAACGCAGGATCCAAGATGGCGACTGACCAACACGATGGCGACCCTGCAAGCCCTGAAACCGATATCCACAGCGTGCAGTTCATGGAAGAATTCACCACCTGCCCGATATGCGAACGGGAATACGAAGACCCACGGATGCTGCCATGTTTACATACCTACTGCAGGAACTGCATCGGGAAGAAGCAAAAACAAAATGGCGGCAGTTTCACTTGTGATTTGTGTAAGGACGGTGCGATTGTGAAAGTATCCGCGGTGAACTTGGCAATTAATACGATGGTTGCGAAGATGAAGTCGATGTTGACGGGAGATCAGGCCGAGTCAAGCACCGAATCGGAGTCAGATGCAAGTCTCACAGAGAAGACGTGCACCTCGTGTGAAAAAGGCAACGTCGCGACGTGCCGTTGTCAAGACTGTCGAGAGTTCATGTGCAAGGCTTGCAAGAGGGCGCATAATAACGTCAAGATCCTACGCGATCACACAGTGGTGTCCATGGAGCAATGGCAGAAGATGAAAGAGAAGGATCCTCATTTGGACGATACAAATACCGTCAACAAATTATGCCTTGAACACAAAGAACCCATATCATTATTCTGCGAGATATGTTCTCAGTTGGCTTGCAGTGACTGTGTTGTACTGTATCACAAGGGGGAGAAGCACCGCTGCGTTACGATCGAGGAAGCTGCAGCAGCGAGGAAGCAAGAGTTGGAGGCTGCCATCCGCAAGACGCAACAGACGGCAGCGAAATTCCGCGGAGCCTGGGAAATCCTTGAGAAGACGCGAAATGAGTTGAAAGGCAGCGGAGAACAGCTTCGCACCGAGATCAAAGAAGCCATCAAAAGCGAGAAAGACGACTTGGAGGACCGCGAGCAACGGTATATTGGAAATGTTGATGCTGTTGTAAAGAAGAACGATGACAAAATCGAAGAAAACATTGATAAAATTGAGATGGCGTTAGAAAAGCTGGCTACAGCTTTTGAGCTCGGTGAGAGCGTTCTTGATTTTGGTGATGAGTACCATTTATTGTCGTTAGATCTAGCGCTGCGGTCACGACTTGCGGACCTGCAGAAGCTCCAACCTAGGCTTCCTTCAGAGGACCTGAGCATCATTGACATATCCGAAATCACAGGAGATGACGCAGCAGATGCAACTGATGAAACGGACGGAGGAAAGAGTGAATCGACCGAATCAGAGCAAGATGTCAGTGAGGACACGACTCCGGTGTGGGAGCTTGCATCTACCATTGGCGCACAAGGTTCCAAAGAGGGAGAGTTTGACTGGTGTAGAGGCGTTTCGGTATCACTGGATGGACACACTATTGTCGCCGACTGGGGGAACGACCGCGTTCAGGTCCTTGATAAAGATGGAAAGTTCGTGTGTCTGTTAAACTCTGACAAGAAACCTGCTGGGAAGCTCTCGATGCCTCAAGATGTGGCATGTCTTGCCGATGGTCGTTTCGTTGCCGTTGATAAGTCAAAGTTCGTCCGTATATACGACCCTCAGGGCCGCTTCTATCTCCGCTTTGATACATCGAGCAAAGATGAGGAAATTAAAATGCTAGACGTCGAGCTGGCCTGCGTCACCGTCGACCGACGGAACCGAATCCTGGTCGGTGACTGCAAGCGAAACGTCATCACGTTCCATTACGCCGACGGCACCCTCTTGAAGACACTGCCTGTCGTCGGTCCCAGTCATCTCGCCACTGATCTACGGGACCGCATCGTTGTCAGCTGTCCCAGGAAACAGAAGATCCGAATCATGACCAAAGAAGGGAAACTCCTTTTGGCTATTGATTCGTACGGTGAGACCGGGAAGCTGAAGCCGAGTGGAGTCTGCTGTGATGCAGAGAATAACATCTATGTGGTCCACAAGGAGCGTGGAGGAGAGAAGGGGGTCCACATGTACAATGATCGGGGCCAGTATGTAGCAAGTGTTGGTTCTTCTTTCAGAGAGCCATTCGATGTTTGTCTCTCTGCAGAGGGCCACGTTGTTGTTTCTGACGAAGATGCAATCAAGGTATTTCGCAAGAAACCCAAAGGCTCACCTTCGGAGTGACCCGACCGTGAGATGTATTCATGATGTCAATTTAAGTTGTGTCCGACAAGACTCTTGCAATGATGACCAAAGTAATGGCCCAGATTTTGCTCCGGAAATTCATGGGCAACCGGGCATGCTACACATTTATTTTTTGCATTTCCGAATTATGAAGTTTAATGATCGAAATGTGCTAATTTGGATATTTTTTCTCATACTTTACTCGTGGCTGGTTAATATGAACATGTATAGAATTATTAATACATATTAATATTTATCACTATACGTGACTATATAATTTGATGCTGAAAGGTCTAGATTGTTCAAAGTAATGACTTTGAGAGTATAATAATAAGTGATTAAAAGTGTTTGGAACTTAGGCTTCATGGTAGTCCGATCTATGCGTCAACCTTTTAAAGGCACACTGCCATACTTGTAGCTACTTGCTCCCTCTATATAGAAAACTTCCCTAATCGGTGCCTGTTGGTCCCCCATGATCCTCTTTTTCTTATGTTAAATGAGAGCTGAGTTAATGAGATAGCCACCTGTCACAGTGACCTCGATGGCTCTCTGTGTGGTCTAATCCATTCTGGCCCAGTAGTGGTGACGATTTTTAAGTATTTCGATCAAACTTACTTCATCTATTTTCCTAGTAGACATTCAACTTTGCGTTTAGAATATTTACCGCGGTACATAATTATAAAACATCATGTATTTTCTATTACGTAATATATTCTCAAGTCTTTAAACTTCAGAGAGATAATTCAGTTACATGGTATCGAAATTCCCAAATATTTGTATTGACATTGCAAAATTGATGGTAGGATGTTGTGGGAGAGGGGCGTTCCGGATGGAAACATTAATAATTAGTCGTCAACGAAAGAGCGAGGTAGTTTTGAATAGAACAAATTAGTGTATTGATTCCGCTGTGATTCTGTACCTATAATTATGTATGAGGTGAGGCCTTCATCGCACACAAATTATGTTGTACCTTGTTACCACTGCCATTGTAAAATATCAAACGCATACCTCTAAAAGTATTATAACATTGTGTTATAAAAATTAATCGACTAATTAACAACCACCTTCGACCCTAGTTTGGCATAACAACAGTGATAACGATGTGGTATTATATTTTTCCGCCAGTTAGTGAGTGCCAGTATAATTTTCCCAAGTTATATTATGATTGTTGTTTTAAATAGTATTTTGAGAGGGATCGATGACATGTGAATTCTTGGTGCAGCGGGTATATAATATTCGTGATCAGATTATGATAATAGTCACAGAGTCCTTCGACCTAACCTCCGCTTATCAGATTCTGCACTGCACAATACTATACTCATATATTCTTGGAGGTACAAAGTTCGCATAATACACTTAAATTCACAATCACAGACGTGATCAGAGTTCGCCTCAAAGGGCCCAGTTCCAATTTATCATTATTCGTGTTTGTGCCAAGATCTTTAACAATCGAAATCATTCATCATTTATCATTAATTTGTGCATGAAAGACTGTGTAAAGTGAAGATAACATTCACTGGAGAATCGTTGAAAAAATGTTAGTTTTGATATTTTTAATGACTTTATTGATTGTGGAACAGATATAAAGGATACTTTTAACATGATTAATCTGGACACAGTTGGTATTCAGTGAGCGACGATTGATTTACATGTACATGTATTTAATAGCGTGTTCATTTAATCTGACTGAGTGTTGCATTAGCAAGAGAAGAGAAACGAATTCTTACATATTGATCTTTTCTATTATGTTGAAAAGGAATACAATAGCTAATCACGTCACAAAATGTAGTCTGCAGGCACAGACTCAAATTTGATACTTTACCACAATTCCTAAAGCCTCGGGCAGAGCTTAGCCTAGGCCATCAACATACAAAACGTCATGTTGTCTCACAGTACCGACACTGTTACCTGAAACCACTGACAAGGTTTTAGTCTGCAAACTATAACAAGTGAATGCACCTTTGTATAAACATAATGATTGGAAAACGTTACCATTACTCAGTCGGATGGAAACAAATGTATTACAATGCAATTTTATGATTTATTTATTACAAAATTTGAATATTTTGAAATAGAGACAGTTCCCAGGGTAGCATAAGAGGGTCAGACCAAGAGCAGTGCATGCAGTTTGCAATATACAGTGTATAAGTAAAATTTGGATTGTAAATACTTTGAATATCCTGACGTTTTTTGCTTGTCTGTCGGGTAAGCAAGATCAAATGATTTCCGAATTGGGCAAGTGAACAATTATTTTTTGAGGTGTGTTTCAAATACATGAACCTTTTGTGTATCTACAATCGCTAATGTATGATATGATTTTAACAAAAGTTTTGTTTTGAAATTTAATATTGCCAAATGCAAATTAGCATAATGGTTTCCAACTTATAATTGTTTGTCTTTATACTATTACTGATGAAATCAAATGGCAAGGCTACAGTAAACCAGTGTAAAAGTAATGATTGTATATTATTTTAATATTGATGACCAACTTGACAAGCGCATATAGTGTAATGTATAATTATTTTGCATATTTTACTTCAATGAAAACATAATATAATGACATGTTTGATGAAACTCGACATTAGCCTATTTATGATGTAAATAAATAATGAGTAAAAAAATGAAATCAACATATTGCTTCAAAGACACATTTGTTTTACCCTAGCCTTTTTTCTAGACATACAGTTAGCGGTTTAGCCAAATTTGATAGTAATATTTCGCATGCAAGATATTACAAAGCATGATAATTACTGGGTTGTAAATTCGTTTACTAAGAAAAAACAAGAAGAAATGAGAGTGAACGTGAAAGATTCAAGGTGCAGAGAAGTAGAGAAATGAGAAAGTATATACTTAATATGTACTGAAAGTTTAAAATATTTCGTTACTGTGGGTTATAAAAGGCTCTGAAATCCAGAAGCGGACCTATAGTCCAAGATGTTTGGAATATGAATGTTAATAACAATTCCGAATATTCTTTTCTTCTTGAACGCACTGGAAAAAGAAACACCGATGATATATTGATAATATTACCAAGAAATGTTCCGATATTTTAGTATAAGTTTATTACCGGTTCAAACACTCGAATGTTCTTCTTTTTTACACTGCATTGCCCAGAGAGAGAATGGGAGAGAGGAAGAGAGAGTAACCCACGTTGTAAACGAATTATCTTGATCTGAAAATCAGTTATGTGATTAATACAAAATATTTTCAAGAAAAGACAGATAGAGAAGTGGATGAGAGATAGAAATTAAAATTGAAAGTGTACAATTTTATATTTCAGAACGAAAATGATAGTGGTTTGATATTAATCACTAGTTCCTTGAAAAAATAAAAATAGAAAAAAATCGCAAAATCAATCACAATTTTGTTGGTACAATTAAATTTACCACTTGTAATAAGAGCGTATATTATGAGTGCACATTAGAGAAACATAATTATCTGATATATATATATTCTTTGTGTTTGGATACAGATATGAAGAAAATAAATGATGATGATAATAATAACAGCATTAAACTGATAATATAAGTACAAGCAGAAAAAGAAGGAGGAGAAGAAAAAGGAGGAGGAGGAAGAAGAGGAAAATAAAGATGAATAGCTAGGTTCGGTTCGATATAATTATGAAGTAATGATTCTCATTTTAATTCAGAAATATGTAAAAATAAACCTAATCATGAATTTATTCCAGTACTGTCAGCGAATAAAATGTGCAAAAAAACAAAAAATGTCACGTCACGGACAGGATTCGAACCTGTGCGGGGAAACCCCATTGGATTTCGAGTCCAACGCCTTAACCACTCGGCCACCGTGACTTTCCCGCCAAATGTGAGCTTTAACAAGATATAGAAAAATTGACGGTATGAAAAGCATTCAAGAGAGTCAAATTGGATGTAATAATGCGTTTAACGAAAACAACTGTTAAAATAATACCATTTATTCATGATAATATGAACAAAATCCAAAAATTTTGACACTACTTGCTGTAAATACAATACACATACCCACTTTTATGACGAAACATAAAATATCCACAGCGCCCTCTACGCCAATTAGATTCACATCTTTTGCGTAGCCTGCTTGCAAGTGGGGAAAAAGAAATGGAAATTTTGTTCTTGGCCTATCCTGCAAAAAAAAAAGGCAGGCGACGGTGTAGGGGTTGCATTCAGCCATTCCCATTATTTTGCAACTACCAACCCCCCCCCCCCCCCCCTACCCCCCCCCCCCCAAAAAAAAAAAAAATAAAAAAAATAAAATTAATTTTTTTTTAAATGGTCATATGAGGGGTGGAATAAATTCCAATATTTAGGGGGCATCTCGGACATCCGGCCATCCTCAATTTGTGTGTGTCTTTTCATGTCCTCTCATTCTACTTTCCTACTACCACTATACTGACAGGATATGGTGCATATATGGGGTGAAAGAGATCCTTATATATAAGCTCTCTTTTTTTTTGGTGGGGGGGGGGGGGGCTCTGACTCGGCTAAACCCGACAGCTATGGTCAGACTCGCAAGCCTTTTGATGGTCCGGGGTCGAATTCAATGGCACAGTAACACAAATATTTCGGGACAGGTCACCTGGCCTAGCTAGCTGTAGGTCTATTTATGTATTTATTTAACTATGAACATTTAATAAAAAGAGGCTAGGACATGTGAGGCAGGAGCCGCGGTAGCTTAGGCCTATACGGCTAGAGTTTAGATGCCGGATCCTCGTTTCCTATTCCTGTAAGTTACTTTTTGTCACACGTGACGTGTCTAGACGTGCTAACATCTAATTGCCAGGGTAATTCTGTGTTCCCTGATCAGTATTATAGCATAGGAATTTAGCGGCAAAGTTAATCGTAAATTACTTTTATTTTATTTCCTCCCTTTTTTAAAAAAAAATCACAGGCTATATGGACCTATAATAATATTAACGGCATTCAACAAAACGGTCATAATTCCCGAACTTATCTCCCCTGTTTTTATTTAATTAATATTTCTTTCCTTCAGTCTTCTCACTGGCTATGGGTTTTGATTCCTCTCCCTTTATCGCCCGTTGTTCAACTTCATCTTCAAGTCTCTTTACAAATTTGTCAACACCTATAAAATTTAATATCCAAATATCTCGAACTCCTACTTTTACCAGTGAGCTCAATAATATATGTCGGCGGGATGACAAAGTTTGCATTTTAAAAGTAACTAACAGCGGCTTTATCAAATAGTTTTGTCTTATAGTATAGCGCCATCACACTGGTAACTCTCTCAAAATACGTCTGCTACGCTACGAAACTCCCGAAACAGACGACAGACAACGCGCGAGTCAAGCCGCCGGGATCAAATTGCTGGCACAAGCAGCGTCGCAGCATTCGCACCCTGTCACTCACTGTGCATAGCCGTGTCGATTTACCAAT